AATGCTAATCTTTTTCCCCCTGAATATTTCTTCTAAATTGAACAATTTCATGAATGATTTACAGACCTGTGTATGTTGTAGGTTCAGTTCCAATATGTTCTGCAATATTGTTTTCAGTTGTGCAAAGCTCTACCCAAAGAAAGTTTATGTTTGTTGTAAATAAGGCTGTATTTATTCTTTTGCACAATGCTGTGAACAAATTAGAATTGAAAAGAGCAAATGCAGTAAAAATGTGAAACATACATATTTAGTGACGTGCAGTCAAATAAATCGCTAAATGCAGTGGTCTAACTTTACTGTACTTTTCAAATGGCTGTGCAAATATAGTGCTGTCTTGAGCATTTTCAGAAAGTGTCACCAAAATCTGACTTTTTCATAAACAATGTTCATAAACATAAACATATGTTCATAAACAATGGTGTCTAAATTCCACATTTAATCTAGCATAGGCTATATGAAGAAAATGGTAGAGTTGGGCTCAATGACCAGGGAACCCTGCTGAAAAAAAACAGCGAAGACCAGCTTAAAAAGTAGCCAAATCGACTCTAAAACTAGCCTGACAAACCAGCTATGACCACTGATGACCCCTAATAAATATAGAGACTAAGCCGAAGGAAAATAAATGAATGAACAATAATTGTTTAAAAACTATTTTAACAACAACAACAACATTGAAAACATATACTTACATTTACATTTTAACTGTTCATGTTAATTCAAATCAAGAACTATGTGATTTTTTCAAATCACCAGTTAGTTGTAATAAGCATTGCATATTAAATGGACATTAAACTTACTAAGAGCTGAAAAAAAAAAACAGGCATTTTAAAAGAAAACACTGTACCAGCGTTCACCAGTCACAAACTAATTAGAAAAAGAAACTTGAACCTACATCTATGTGGGAACAACTATTTAAATTCACAGAAACTCTTTATTTAAAGTGAATTTTATTGAATTTTTTTCATGTGGATATATGGTATTTACCGCAGCCAACCACCAGGGGGTGATTAAATTGTTTTGGCTTCATTTTTCAAGATTTGTGCAGCACAACTGGTGCATATTTATAGACTAAATTAAAAAAAAAACTATATATATATATATATATATATATATATATATATATATATATATATATATAAAGCAGTTTTATTTACATACATTATTTCAAATTATTAGAGTTGGAACATCAAGCCTAGCATGTTCAATAAGAAAAGGTCTGGACAGGGTTTTCTTCAATGCCAAAAATATTAGTAATTTAGTAGATACAAATGAATAATTCGATGACAGAGCTCTGGTTTACGTTACCCCAATGCAATACAAGAATTACATTCAAGAGGTTTGCTACTAACATACATATCCTTACTCCAGCATAAAGTGATGAAAGTAGATTTATTCTTATTCTGCTATTTGTCAGCAGTTCCTTCTAAAAAAGTATGCAGCACAGTAAAAAAGAGGAAGTGTGTCTGGTCAATATGTGGTATAATACAAAAGAGAAAGATTGATTAATCTGTTGTTAGTCTAAACATTTTTCTAAAAAGTAAAGACACAATAGTAATTAAAAAAAATCATTTTTTTCCCATATTAGTTAATATATTATTTTTCTCCATTTAATCTAGCATAGAATATATAAAGAAAAATGGTAGAGTTGGGCTCAATGACCAGGGAACTCTTGCTAAAAAAAACAAACAGCTAAGACCAACCTGACCAAGTAAAACCAGCTAAAAAGTAGCCTCTAAAACCAGCTGACCAGCCTGTGAAATCAGCTAAAACCAGCCTCACCAGCTAAGGCTGTTTTTTCAGAAGGGAAAATGTACTTGTATTTACAGAAGTAGGGACAGAATTTAAAGTTTTAACCTATCCCTTAAAGTTAATCTATAAACTATTCTATATATTTTGTTATGATATGACAAATAATGAGTATTAACTTATAAATCAGACTAGCACATTGATTTTTAAATTTATATAAATTATAACATAAACAATACACGCTGAACTAAACAATTAAGTTTAGATATAACACAATAGCCTTGAAAAATGTCAACATTTCCATGCAAAAGGTAATTTTTGAAAGGCAGCTCTGCTTCTGATATAGTCTACGTAAAGACAAAATTATTCAATAATAGGTCAATAATCATAATGTAAATCGCTAGCAACGGTTGCAGCTTATTTGATTCAAGAACATGGATTGCGGTGTGATTGTATGCTTGTCAGCAAAAGATGTACTCAATCAGGACATACTTTAAAATCATTTTTATTCCGATTAGGATAAAACAAGTTTGTTTTAAACATTACAACACTATTGTAGCTAATTTACAAAGAGTGTGTCAAAACAATGCTATTTAAATCAATGTTGATGTTTTTACGTTTTCAAGTCAATCATTTCATATTCTCAAATTCCAGTTCTTCATCCTTAAATTTCACACAGCCTGTTACTCTGTACCTCCCTCCATTGCTTTTTGGTTGCACATGATCAGTCAATCTGTCTCATATGTTCAAATAACTTCTCGTATATTGCTGGGCTTCTCTGTTTTTCTGCAGAGATGTGTGCTGAAAAGCACAGAAAGATTTGCTTTTGTGTATGGGGTTGCCGCAGTGCATTCCTTTCTTTGGCCTTGAGGACATTTTCACTCTATCTCCAGAATTATTGCACTGAACACGGGCCCGCTTCAAAATAACCTCCTCAAGCCCTTGCTTCCCAAAGTGATTGCTCCTTTCCGAATGTTTCCTGAGCAAGGAGGATGATAAATAGGTGGATTTATCAAGGCGGCATGAATGTTCAGAAAAGTTCCATGGACAAACCAATCCAATAGATATTGTAGCAGAATTTTCAGAAAAACGTCTTCCGTTGTTATCCTGGTTGTTTTGGAGGCTGTGGGATGCATACAGGGGACTCTGCAAAGCAACAGCATGCAGTGGACTGGGATAGCGATATATCCCCTGGTGACCTGGAAGATCAGAACGGTAATTGGGTCGCAAGACCACTTTGGGCTGAAGTACATCTGAAACATCTGGCCAATGGAAGTCTGGATAAAGATCTGCCACAGATCGGAAACCAACTTCAGGAATTGCTTCATCAATTGTTTCATCTCTCTCTTCAAGAGAGCATTTTAAGGAGGCCATTGACCTGTAAAAAGAGCTGACTGAGTCTTCACAAGTTGAAGGGATAGAGTGGCTTTCACAAAAACCTGAGCTTGACCTCGACTGAAGTTCTTGGGGGCTTCTTTCCATCCAGCACAGATGAAGCAGATCTTCAGATGATCGACTGGAACATGACCAAAGCGCTCTAGATTTTACAACCTCATGAAGAGCATCTGCAGAACGACTGCGCTTGAGTTTTAGCCTGAATGAGTCTTCATCCACCCAGTAATGATGCTGTCCTTGTAAAATAGGAGTTGAAGTTGAATTTTCAGAAGCAGCTTCAGTGTTTCCCAGTGCTGTCTCCACCATTACTTTGTGTTTGACTCTCAGAACCTCCAACTCCAAGAGCCCAGCTACAGTTGCACAAAATCGATCTCTTATGCGTTTTCTCCCTGTGCTGCTGCATGGTGCCGCTTCAGGCTCTTCTCTATGCAGAGCAGTAGAGAACATGCTCAAAACAGGCTGAAGGCTCTGACCTTCTGTTTTGCATGCAGGTCTTTATAGAGTCCTTTATATCAATGCAAATGCATTTCAGACCTTTTTGTTGTTCTGTCTATTGATAAGATTTTAACTCACCTTTGACCTCAGGTCAAGAAAATGTTAAAGATAACACATGATGCCATCAGTGTGAGATCAAACTTAAAAGTGTTAAGATTTTTAAAATCAATATCAACTTCAGTTATACTTATTCATTCATTTTCATTCGCTTAGTCCTTTTATTCTCTAGAAGTCGCCACAGTGGAATCAACCATCAACTTATCCAGCATGTTTTACACAGCAAATGCCCTTTCAGCTGCAATCCAGTACTGGCAAACACCCATTCACTCTTACATTCCCAAACATATGCTATGGACAATTTAGTTTATTCAACTCGCCTATACCACGTCTTTGGACTGTGGGGGAAACCGGAGCACCCAAAGGAAACTCCACGCATGCCAGTCAGGACCCGAATCAGCCAGCCCGACGACAGTGCTAACCATTGAGTCTCAATACTTCATTACTATCCTGTATATTATTTTGAGCGTCAAAGCCCCATTAAGTGCCTGCATCACATAACATTTACACAAAGTTCATGTAAAATAATATAAAACATCACCTATTTTGATTGTTAATTATTAAAATACATAAAGCACCAGCTATTACAAATAAATTATTTCTTAAATGTTTAACTACTCTGAAAATGGGTGAAACTGAATGCAATATATTGTTAACAGACAGTTGAATTTGAGAATAGGCAAAAAGAAAAAAAGGGAAATTTGCATGTTGAAAAATTGCTATGGGTAATAACTATAATAAAATGGAGATTTCTGCCTCAGTAGATGAGTACTTTGAATTAACAAACTTAGTGTAATTAATTTGCATTTTATAAAAAAAATATTTTACACTAGTTGAAAAGATCTAGATATAAATTTAAAGTGAAATGGATCATCAAATTTAAAAGACCTTGTCCTGCAACTAACGCACAATTCAAAAAACATATAAATGCACCACTATATTGGTCTTAAACACTAGTTGCCAAAATAATGCTAGTAATTTAATCCAAATTCTAAATTAATACAGTGGCTTTTGCACCATTTCTTAATGCTATTAAATATTTAACTCTTAAAATTTTAAATGCAGCTTGATTCTGAGTTTTCAAAACAAGACTTAACAGTCACATTTACAAAGCATGTGATACATTTAAATCTTAATCTCTTCATGTTCACGTACTGTTACTACTGTAATTATTAACAGAGTTTCATCACAGCCACAGACTCACCTTATCAGACACCAGCAACTTTCTTAGACTCATCCCACCTCGATTTTTATAATAAAGCCCATCACAAGTCATTTACCACAACAGAAGCAAACAAGAAACTAAATTTTTGTGTGTATCCTTTTATTTCTAAACAGTCAACAAAAACACAGTCTTGCATTTGAAGCTGGAGCAGTTTACACAAGACGCAGATACACCCATCAGGCATATTCAGTAGTGCTCATTCATCAGCATCAGACTCTTCATCATCTTGACTTATCTGGAAGTAGCGCAGCTCATAGCTTTCCTTATCAGATGCTACAACCCTCAGCCAGTCTCGCAGGTTATTCTTCTTCAAGTACTTCTTTGTGAGGTACTTCAGATACCTGAGAAACACAGGGTTGTTAATATACAGACAAAAACAAAAGGGGAAAAACACTTTTAAGAAGCTGGGGCTGGAAACACAAATCATAAGAATTTTTTTCTGGACTGCCATTTTTCTTCTTGGTAACTACTACAGACACTGTGTTCCATTCGGAAGGGCTCATCCATATGCCCTAATCCCTTTGAAGCTGTCACTCTAGAGCAGGGGTGCCCAAGCTCGGTCCTGGAGGACCACTGTCCTGCAGAGTTTAGCTCCAACTAGCCTCAACACACCTGTCAATATATTTCTAGCAAAGCCTATTTAGAGCTTGATTAACTAGCCCAGGTGTGTCTGATTGGGGTTACATCTAAACTATGTAGGACACCGGCCCTCCAGGACCAACTTAGGGCACCCCTGCTCTAGAGTGACAGCTTCAAAGGGATTAGGGCATAGGGATGAGCCAATCTGCATGGAGCACAGGCTGTTTCTCTTGCGTATTTGTGTTCTAGTATAACATAATCATCAACTGGCAAGTTCAGTTCCTATACTCAAGATCGCAAGAAAAGACGATGTAAGAACCAAAATGTTTTTCGATAGAGGATGCATTGAATACTGACTTGAGCGAAGCAGTTTTTACAAGTACCAAAAGTCAGTCACAAACTAGTGCAGAAAGTGCAGCAATTTATATTAATGTTTATTATTAAAGTTCAGAGAGTAGCCCTAAATAGGATTGTGAATGAGGAATTCACAAGTTAAAGCAAACACATTAAGGCCAAATCCCAATTCTATTTTTGTAAATTTTTCAAAATTTACCCCTAAAAATGTGACACCACTACAGCACCTGCACATGTCATCATATGTCATTGCGATCTCATGCTTCATATGAGATTGACGATGGTGACTGCTGTAGTTGTTCCAGTTGTGTTTATTTTTGGTATTTATCTTCAGGAAATCACAGAACGCAATGATATCATGTTATCATAATGATATAATGTGTCAATGAGATCATAACTATACTGTGCATTTACACCGTGGCCATATTAATCCATGTAAACACGAAAACAACATTAACATTATACCAATGTAAAAAGGTCATTCCCAGCCACTAGACTTTTCTGACAGGGTATTCCAGTGTCACTGAGTGACAAAATGTTTCAAGGGCTCAGTTTCAAGGGCTATCTAGCCCTTCCCCTAAGCCCTAAACCTTCAAGCTTAATAGAATTAGAAGACCCCCACCCTTGTAAACGCGCAAAATGAGAGGTAGGGGAAGGGCTATGGGGTAGAATAGAGATTGGGCCTAAAGGTGTTTACTTGCTGAAATTCATATAAAAATCTTCTTTATTTGTTTTGTGCAAAGTATCTTTGTAAGGCTTTTGTACACATAATATATATTGGAAAGGAAAACATTTGTATGAAAGCTGTAATGACCATCAGGAAGATCGCAGCCTTTCGTATCTCTCAGGATGCTTTGTGTTCTTGTGGTCTTTCAAGGTAACAGCATTAGTAAGTTTCCATTCTCTTGGTTCTGAATAATGATAAACAGCAACAGTGTACAACACCAAAAAGTCATCAGTTGTATGCTTTGAAATCCCCTTCAAAATGGTGGCCACAACTGTTTTCACAATGACGTTCCCTTTGGAGGAAGATATATCCTGATCGGAATGCACAGAGAATATTTTCCATTCCAAAAGATCTTATAAATGTTTTAATTTTTTTCCCAATTCTTAGAGCCGCTATTATGGGTTTCTGAAAATCACCTTCAATGTAGTAAAACAGCTCTGAGTGAATGAAAATGTCCAGCTTTTAAATCTGAAAGAGCCCCATGGATAAAACTATTGTTTCTCACTTAAAATATCACACATTTCTCATTTTTATTAAACTTCTAAAATTTTTCAAAAAAAAAGATTTTCATGAATCCAGCCCCAGCACTGCTGAAATATTGGATGGGCCTAAATTTATTCTGTAATGAAGGAGCAGATCTCACCTTTTAGAGAACTGCTTCTCTGACGTGACGTTGATCTTGTTCTTCTGACGCACAATTTGCACTACATTGCCCAGGTTGCCTGTTTTGCCATTAACCTTCACCTTCTCTTTCAGAAAGGTTTCCTGTTAGTGATAAAACAGCATGACCACTAGGGAAGAGAACCCTAGGCATTCAACTAGGGAAGGGAACCCTAGTTAAGACACAGCATTAGTGATGCAACTATCTGAACCAAACTAATAATATGCATGAAAAAACTAGTGTTTGCTAAAAAAGGTTTAGAATAATATCGTTACTTCCAAATATCTAAAGAGATCTACAATATACATCATGGTGTTAATTACAGAGGGGGTTGGAGGGATTGAACCCCTTAAAGGACATGAAAACAAGGTGTATAGGGGGTCAGCCTTTTAATACTGAAAAATAGTCTGATCGGTTTATTAAATCATAATGTTATTCATTAAAATAATAAATAACATGAACATACATTTGACCACCCCTATAATGGTTCATACCATTGTGAAAGCATAATTATGCCAATCAGTCTATGTAAGAAAAAAATTTATTCAAGTTTGAAACTGCAGATCTAGAGCACTGATAGACATTGTGAATGTTCACGAGATGTAATAGATCTCATAAAATAGGTGTCTTTATTTACATAAAGCCTGAAAGTGAAGTCAAATTAGACAGTCTGATCTAAAATAATGCCAGAAATAGATACTCAGAGAATACTGTAGATCAGAATACACGAAACCTTAAAAAAACGGAAAAGTTAAATATGTTTAAACAAATTAGATGCAATTTAAATTAATATATAATTGACTTAAGCATTTTTTACACAAACTAACATTACTGAAAAGTTGACCCCCTGCTCAACGTATATTTCGCACACTGATATAGGACTTCTTAATGTCTTGGAATTTAAAATAGGGTATATGCCGAGCTAGTGTTTTTCCCATACTGATAAACTTCCGGTGACCTGTTATTGTGAACTTTTTTCCATTTTATATGGTTCCTTTTACAGCATTGATGTTGTAATGTCATTAAAATACATTGTTAAATAAACTTTGGCATTCATTTAGTTGATCAAGTGTAAAACGAAAAAAAAAGCAGTTTACTCGCACGCACCCGTCAGAATCAGCAGGCTTGCGCAGAAGATTTATTAAATATACTTGGGTTACATTAATGCTCATAAAGACATACCGGGGAAAAATGTAATTTAATGCAGTGCTTCTTGTACAATTTGAGACCCACTTTATATCGGATATCACTCAGCAAATGGAGATTGCAGATTTTTAAAGAAAACAGACCTTAAACGCGCCGGATTTTGCTTTGGCATACAATTCGCCGAAAGCGCTCAACCCAGGTTACTGGCAAATTAAAAGTCCTATTAGCAAGCTTCGGCATATACCCTATTGCCAGACATTAAGACCAATCGGTCATCGGTTTTTACCATTTATTAAAATAAAACTTACAAAGTTTGCAGAATCGAGAATCCCATCCTCCACAGGGTGAGTGCAGTCCAGGGTGAACTTCCAGCAAGCACCCTTTTTATTCTTTCTCACAACAGTCTGCCTTTTCTGAAGAAATATACACCATTACAAATAAATCTTGAAATAATTATGCTATAAAACAAATGATCAAACTATCCAAAAAAAAAAAAAAACACACAAAAAACGCATGTTTTAATATACAAGAGATGAATTGTTGATCACTAAATAATATTGCTTTTGTTTTAAACTTCTCAAAATACATATTTAATAAGATAAATTGTAAACATTTTATTGAAAGTCTGACAATACTTGGGTATTTTTTGTAAAAGCACCCCGCAAACGTGGAGCATGCTGAATTTATTTGATAAACTAAAACTATAGTATGAAAAATGTATCATTACACCAGATGGTGAAAGTTTGAGTAAGTAAAATGATTTCTTGCTATACAAGTTAATCCTGCTGTATAAAGCCATGGTTCCTTTGGTCCCTGCTTTTGAACGCTTTACCAGTGTTAAACTTGATAAGGTAATTTTTTTTACTCCACTAAAAACTCTAAATTAAGTTATAATGTAATGTAAATTCAAATAAACACCTAATAAAACAATGAAGACTGATGTGTGTCTTTAAATATTAACCAAATACGTTCATGTTTGAATGAGTTGGTCGTGTTACATGCTCTTCCACGTGTCTCACAATTATAACTCCATCTAATGATATCACATGTAATTTCATTAGAAAAAAGGTAACTCTGAACAACACATTACACGTAAAATATCGAATTTGGTATTTAATTTACACTAAAATAACAAATTAACCACATTTAGAAATAAAGTCCGGTCCACAGTCGAAACATACCGGTGCCATCTTGGTGAGGTTGGCGTGAAAGAGGATGTGACGTATGTTCGCGCGAGCCTTCGCAACATTTCGCACACCTGATTGGCTGCTGGTTTGGGAGGATTCAAGCTTGCGTTTCCTTCGGTTCAGCGGCAAAGAATTTGTGAACGAGTCATTCTTTAGAGTCGACTCTTTTGAATTTGTTAAACCACCGCGCATCTCCGATCGGTTTAACAGTTAAACAAAACAGGTGGGTACATTTGAAATAACTTATGAATTAAATGTATTATTGTGTAAGTTCGGTAACCACATTTTGGGTAGACTGACTAGCGTCTGTACACCAGTCCAGTTTTACAACAAATATCTTTAAACTATAGTTACTCAGTAAAGAAAAACCATGTGGGATTTCTGGTACAACCACGTTTAAAAAGATCTATCAGAATTTCGGTATTTTAAATTCTAAATAGCCTTTCCCCCCTAGACATCCCAATTAGCATTAATCCAATAATAATTAAATAAATGAGGATATATATATATATATATATATATATATATATATATATATATATATATATATATATATATATATATATAAACTGTATACATATACTTAAATTAAAATTAACTTGAGTGTTAACTTACTTTTTTTATGAAAAAGTTTAAAAGAAAATGTACGAAATTTGCTTGTTGAATTTTCATATCAAACATCATATAATTACATGCAACATTAAACATTTAATGTGATTAAGAACTCTTAAGTATAAAATATATTCCACAACCAAGTTTTTCTTTCACAATTGAATGTTTTATGATTTTATTTTTATTGTATTTCCCTAATATTGATTACACAAACCTACTTCAATTCAACATACAACATGCAATAATTTGCATGCTTGGTATCGGCAATTTGAACCAGATCTTCAGATCAGATTATCACCCCAATGAAGACTAACAAGCACATATATTTGAACATTTACAAATACACAAAGTCAGAAGGCAGATCTGGGATCTGCTTACCTAGTAAGGAAGCATGACTCACCCTTACATCACTGCAGGCATACCAGGACAAAGCTGGGTGAGGCCTCAGCAGCCACATGGCCACAACCTGACTTGCCAGTTTTTGGGCATATTTGTAGACCTCTGCAAATTTAGAGCTTTTGCTTTGCATAAAATTTTAATGCCTATCAGCTACAAAATTGCTCAAAGATTGAAATGAACCCTCTTGACTTAATTTATGCAAAGACCTGATCATACATGTAATATGCTTTGACTTTAGAGAGTGCGCTCATGGGAGCCAGTTACTAAATGAAGTTTGAGTACTGCAATGCCACATGCCTCCCAGAATGGACTGCAATACTTTCATTCAGTCAGCGCTGTCTGGGCAGCCAGCCATAATCGGGAAATGAGTGTTTGGCTCCACCCATGCAGAGGATTTGGCAGTCCATCCCAACAAATCTTTCCATTTTATTTCCCAGTAACTGTGCCGACTTTCTAAAATTACATCTCATATCATTTCAACATTTATGTTCTTGATGCGTTAATTTATCATTCAAAACCATACAATACACATATGTATTTGTATTCATGTTTAATATATTTTACCTTTAATTTGAGAACATATAAACATTGCAGACTGTGCTACTAAACAATTGTGATGCTCCCAGTATAATAACCTCATAAAGTCACCGTCTAATTAAAGTAGAACATCTGTACCTTATTAAACTGTATTGTCCAAAACACCAGACACGTTAGAATAGGTAATATTTAAAGAAACACAAAAATTCTCCATTGTAGGGCTGGCTGACCATACAGACTAAAACGATCACAATCTGAATGGATTATCCCTATTTTGAGATTTATCATCGAATAGATCCAGACCAGAACAAGTCTAGGACTGATTGAACAACTTAAAAATACTGCATTAAAGATCACAAAATAAAAGAGATCAGCCACCCCTACTCCAAAGACCGTGTGATAAAATTGTTCATGTGTTAAAAGCTTTGAAAACAAGCTCTACCATACTTCTAGAAGTTCTTAATACTGATCAAGCGCTTTATTAAAACAACATAAAATAAATAAATAAGGTAATCTATTACGTTTTTATTTTTGCTCTCTCAAGTCAGGTGACAAAGGCCTCGAGTGATCAAAAGGAAGAATTGAACTCACATCAAGATTTAGTCCTTTAGAGCTTGAGCTCATTCTGGGGCAGCACTGATAAGAGCCTACCTGGAGACAAATACAGGCTTCAACACTTTATTTAAGGTTGCCAATGACAGCCAAAAATCAAGCTGGCTGCTATTGTGTTACAGAGGTATTCGCACATGGCCATCACATCCTTTCCACTTCTGAACAATTAGAGACTGGCATTGAAGAGGACATTTCACTGGAGTTTATTTCTCGGGTTTACTTGAGAAGGTACTCAAAAGTACTGGGAAGTGCCAACTACCAGCGTGCATCTTGTTTTGGGGTGGAGGTTGGGTTAGAGGCATTCAATTGAGCAAAATGAATTATAGTGCCAGCGTGGCACAGATCATGTAAGGAGAAAAATATGGCACCCATAGAGGGAGGAGAAAAAAAAAAGTTCAGTGTCAGTTTGGGGAGGTTTTTCTCTTCCTTGTATAAATCCTGCAAATTAATTACCGTTTCGAAATTCAAGAATATATATAAAAAGGAAAAATGGATCCCATTATTTAACATTCAGGAATGTAAGTGGTAAAAACTTGAGGGGGGAAAGTGTGGAATGGGGAGGTTGAGGTGGGGTAAACACTGACAATAATAAACCTCTTACCCGAGAGAATGCCAACTGACTCGACAAGTCCAGCACAGTATTGGAAGGAGAAGAAAAAAGGAATACAATCACAACAAAAAAATTGAGGTTGCTTGTGAAGGCCATAGCTTTGGTGACAAATAAAACCAAAAGAAAAACAAATGCGAGAGATTTGTTAAAGTGTAGCATGTTGCAGCCTGAGCAGCCCAGTCTCTCTTTCTATTTGGTCATGGGTTTGAGAGCCACTGCAGATTCTTCGCCCATAGCTGAAAGCACAGTCACCTGCCAAACAATGGAGAGCAATGAGTGGCTGACATTCACCAAATAAACCAAACACATTTGCTCAAACAGGTACACTTACCAACATTTCTTCACCAGCTGCAAATTTGTTTTCGATTTCTTTGCCCAGGTCACCGTCTGGCACACGCAAGTCCTCACGCACATCACCGTTGTCCATCATAAGAGAGAGGAATCCCTCGCTGATGTCAACCAACTAGAAACAGCAGAGAATGACGGCTCTTTTAAAGTTACAAACTCTTTGGGATAATAGGGCATTTAAACCATCAATAGCTGGAAAGGATTAATCATAGGGAAAAGATATTACAAATGTAAACATTTTAATGTAGTACAAAACAAAATTTTTTAATTTTTATGATTAAAACTAGCTAAAAAAGCAACTAAAGCTTAACAATATACGAAAACTTCAATTGGCTAAAGTGAGTTTAGAAATGGTTAAATCACTAAATAAAATAACTCAACACAGATAAAGCATTTGTAAAAGTTAACTTCAATTTCTAAATTGATTTAATAAATAATATTCCCCTGGTTAAAGTTGGTTTAAGTAATACAATTCCAGTGGCAAACTTAATAAACTTGTTACTAAAAATTAATAAGTCATAAATGTTAAAAAAATGTTCATATTTCAAATACCAAATCTAAACTAGCTCAATTAAAATTGTTAATTTAAAACCAATAGCAAATAAAAAAAAAATAACCATACACTTGCTAAATGCCCCCAGTGGAAAAACACTTGCCTCAGGTAAACAATTAAAAAGAAATGACTGACCTCAAAGCAAAAAAACAAAACAAAACCAATAGAAAGAGACATACTAAATTCAATTCAAATGCAATGCAAAATATGACAATAACATTTCCACACTTACCAGATAATCATTATAACTGAAAGAACTGTGACAACAAAATGCTAAATAAACCGACAAGTCACTATGTTGGAGGCTGTACACTTTGCCTTCCTTATGCAGAACATGAGCTACAGGCAGATTTATTCAACTGAAATGACTTGTATGTAGTGACAACAAACTACACCAAAAGAGCATTTTCTCCCATTTAAATATGAATTACAAAGCCACGCAGGGCTCACCTGGTAGTCATTTCTTTTGATGTTAGGCACGTCCATGTTGTGGGTGGAGGGGCAGATATCTTCATACTTCTTATTTGTGAAAATGTCAATTCCAACCAGGTGAACCTACAAAGAGAGACCGGCATAATAAACACCCACAATCTGACATTAAAACCTGCCATGCAAAAAACCCTATCCAAACATTACCTTTGCATGACCGTGCTTGCCAGTCTTAGAGGTGGACATTTCAACAATTTTGCAGGGGCGACCCTTCAGCACCACAAACCCGTTCTTGCGCAGGGCGCTGCACTGCATGGGGTAAGTGGCAGAAGCCCCGGCATCTCCGCTGGCGAAATCAAGATCTGGATCTGCCATGATGGGGATCTAAACAAGGGGCACTGGAGGGGAGAATGACAGTATATGAGTGGGTTTGGATGTCAAAAATAGCACAAAAGAACAAGTGAGAATGAGCCAACTTTCTAATCTATGAATTAGTCATGCAATTGAACTTCACCAAAATACACAGTTAACGCTAAAAGCTGAAGTATTTAATATTTAAACAAATTAAATCGACTGTATCAGCCTTTTATCATTCAGTCAAACCTGCCGCATCATGCTACTCTAATTTCAACACTCTGTGGATCCGATTGCGACAAACCAACTGTTTAACTTGATCAAACTGCACCTGACAGGTGTTTTAGTGGACGAATGTGTCTTTTAAACACTTATCGAGCTCAACGCCACACTTTACAGTTGCTATTTTGCACTCGATAAACACAATGAGTACGTCGAACCAGGCCAGATGGGCTTTCAATGTGCTAGTTATGATAACTTGGCATATCGCGCGTTCACTAGAAAGACTAGCTAAAATCGATAAACAGAGTAACTCGTGAAGTCGTTAATTAAACGTCATTGGTGGCAGAAAAACGAGCATTAAACCGCGCGAAGCATGTCCGATTCGCGTGGCGCACGTCAACGTGGTTTCGCCGCTGATCAATGACTCGGCTAATCGGCTAACGCCCCATTCTTCCATTTAACGGAGCATTTCCAACACAGGTAAACACAACAATTGTTGAGGTGTACCGACGCGACCAATGCGGGTAAAACACGTCTCGTGTGGTTAGCGAAAGTTCCTCACGTGCCTGTATTTCAGTCAAGTCACCGCGCGCTAGGAAGGCCTGCGAGTCGCGCGTGCGGCTGTTTGCTTGCGGCCTGTGAACCAGAGCCGCTCCACGAGCCGTCCGTTAACCAAGCGCCGTTACGCGTTTTTTTCAAGACGATCCGGTCACGTTCACCGTCGAGACGCACGCGCTCAACGCAGACGGCGTTTTCCGGAAACCATAAACGCAGAAAAGTTGTGTGTTATTTTTCATTACAGTTCAAACACGCTCCATGCAGCACTTACTTCCAAGAAAAAAAGGAACGTCAACGCGCATGCGCGGCCAATTTTAATGCGGCATCCGTACAGTGGGCGGGATTCCTCTTCTTCTGCAGGGTGGAGGACGCTTCGAGTCGCGTGTGTGTGTTTGCTGCCTCTCAGCGCTCAGGACCACGGGATTGAATTTAACGAAAGGTGACTTTTTATCCATAGAAATCTAATATAAAGCCCTGTTTTTCCTCTTTTTGGAATTGTCAGAATTCTAACCAAACTATTAATTTTACACTTTTGCAATTTTTCTGGGACTGGTAACGTTTTATTGAAGCATGTTTTGTATTTCATTTAAGCAATACAATTGCACAATACCCAACAAGTATTATTTGCTTTTAAAAGATGTCTCATAGACATCTAAACATGGTAGTCTTGGCTAAAATAAGACTAAAGTTGAGCTGTCTGTGAAAATCTAATAGACGTCTAAGAATAGGCCAAAACTAGACTAGTCATCAAATAAACAGAAATCAACTACTACACATATGAAGTCTGTCTATTCTTTTGGGCTATTCTCAGATGTCTAGTAGATTTTCATTGACATCCCAAGTTTAGGCTTGTTTTAGCCAAGCTGTCTATGTTTAGATGTTATAGATAAAAGCTCTATTAGACGACTATTAAACTCAAAATAGTTTGCTGGGTAGCATTATATATATATATATATATATATATATATATATATATATATATATTAGGGTTGGGCATCTAAGCTATAATGTCGATCCGATACGCATCTCGATACAAAGAATACGATCCGATATATTAGCGATACATTTGTGACATATTGCGATGCAACACGATACGATTCACACCCATATCACGATACGATGCGATATTTCAGCACTAACTAATTAGATCAAGTTTATGAGATTATGTGAAAGAGGATGCTGTGCCATTGAATGAGTTTGATTATTTATAAACCAAGCAAAACCAAGACTTTCTTTTACAAACTGGCTCTTCTCTCAGAGCCAGAGTGTCAGTTTACAGTAGAGGGCCATTTTAGAACATATAGCACATATTATTTAAGTATTTTTAAGATAAACAGAATGTATAAGTGCAATATATATTAAAAATATATATATTTGCACTCTTTCAACATAAAGGTTTAGCATTGCACAACAAGAATTGTGATTTAACTTTTCAACTATGAAAACAAGTTTTACAAAGATATATTTTGCCACTGATTATTCAAAACTTAAGGTCGTGAACTAGCAGTGTTATGCTGCTTTGAAACATCACTGTCACTGTAAACAACAGGCTAATAAAAATATAACAAACCAGCAATCTTCTTGCTGTGAGGTGGTCAAACTACCCACTGTGCCACCGTGACACCCATTATTATTAATTATCATTATTATTATTAATATTATTATTATTATTATTATAAATAAATAAAAATTACCAGGAGGAGGTGTTTAAAACCTTTGTTCTCCGTGACACTAGGCTGAATATCTTTGCAGGTGAACAATGCAATAGCATTCGTTATTGGCGTAGAGCGCACAAAACTGTTGCGCACGTAAAAAAAAACTTGCAATGCTTTTCTCACCACTTTTGGAGCTGGTTGAAGCAGTGCAAAAGCCGGGGATGCAGGAACACTGGAAGATGCTTTCACAACAACACCGTGGCGCCGCTTCAAGTGAGATTTCAGATTAGTCGTACTGCCCGCGTATTTTACAGATGCGCGGCACATTTTGCAAATTGCATCTGTCCTGTCATGTCGTCCATCCTTAAATCCATAATGTTGCTTGCCATACTTTAGATTTAAAACTCAGTGGGGAATAAAATGTTTGTTTTGCTTCTCGCGCTTTCTGAGGGTGCTCCACTAGCTTCATCCGCACACCTGATACACTGAGTTGTAGTGTAAGTGTACACATGCGCAAATCCGTTGCTAAGGCTTACTTTATGTAGGTCGATTAAATTGTGCGCCAAAAACAGGTTGACAACACTTGTTAATAAATAAAAAATACATTCTATATTAAAAATATAAGCTGTATCTCGGAAAAATCGATGCATCTCGCAAAAACCGATGCATCTCGATTTGCTTCCAAAATTTCATTCATCCTCTGCTGCTCAACCGATGCACTCGCATGACCGCGTATCGATACATATCGATGAATCTTCCCATCCCTAATATATATATATATATATATATATATATATATATATATATATATATATATATATATATATATATATTAAAAAGCGACATATATATATATATATATATATATATATATATATGTTTGGATTCATACACAGTCAAATCTGTATAATTGTCCTATAACATTAGCAGTGGCAAAGAAAGTTAGCAAACAAACAAATCTAATTAATCATGTAGATGACAAAACACTTAAAAAAAACATGTTATATTTAAAAAGGCAAAGAAAATGCTGTTTTAGATATACACGAGCACACTGTGTGAGTTCCCAAAATCTGAAATATTTCCACGTTTCCATTTTAAAGTCTCCTCATTCATAACCTCTTAACTCCATCTGTATTAAAAAATTTGCAAAAATTGGAGATTTGAAATAGAAAAGAGACTAACGTGAAGCCTGACTAACGTGAAATCCTTCTTCATGCTTTATCATGTTTGATATGCAGGGCTTCCCTCTAAACATAAACACACAGAGTATTGATTATAGGCATGGGACGATAACTGTTTTCAAGTTATACTACAGTTTGGAAGTCAAGGTTTTAAAACTGCCAGCATTTTCTGCTATATCGTTACAGGTATGTGTGAGATTTTATTTTAGTTTTTAAGGACAACAGTATCTCCAGCAGAAAAGATCTCCAAAAATGCAGTTTTAAATTGTAAAGAAATCAGTGTTTCTGAAACAAATGAAGACAGAAGTCAATGATTCATATGCATTATTTAGCCTGACATGTTTCTCAAAATAAAAAGTGCAAAGGGGAAAAAAGGTTCAGTTTTTTACCCAGACATTTACAAAGAACATATTTTAGAGCAGTAGTGATATTTTCATCCAAGGCTATCATTATCACATCAGAATGTTTTACCGGCCCGTGCCTAATTGATTAACAAGACCAGAATAGATCCACAGACAATCCTAAACTAAAACATTTTTGCAGTTATCAGGGTTGAATTTATTTCATTAGGAAAGAGCAAAGAACAATACTGCATTAAAATAACAAACCAACAACTTATAACAAAACAAATCAACAAAGTTCACTTTTATCTTAAAGCACTATTTCAAAACACAGCAAAAGAAAACCATCTTCTTGAAATATGAAAACAGCAATAATAAAACTGCTGCCTTCCATACCTGCGTTTAAGCGCTGTACAAAACAATAAATTAAACAAATCAGGGTATCAAGTGAAACTAGATTGTAAAAACATATTACAACCTTAAAAGATTCATTTTTAGAAGCTTGAATTGCACAAAAGGGATTTTAGTGACTGTTGTTTGTTTGATATGCACCACATAATTGTTAGTAATAAAAAAAGGAACACTCACTATATGGACTAGGCACAGATTAGATGGGATCGCCATCTCTTAAAATCCAGGCTACATTTAAAGTTACCATTTGGAATAAACCTCTAGTTTAATAGCCTAACATATATATTAATATAACACTAAAGCCTCAATAAATGCCCAGTCTCAGCTTTGAATGTTTAACAGAAGGCTTCTGATCTTAAAAACGTCACCACTTCTCATTAGAGTCAAAATGCCTGTATTGTGGTTGTTTTACAGGCTTGAAAAACTTAAACACACACATACGTCCAGTCACACCATAAAAATAACAGCCAGTATCCAGAAAGCTCAGTTGTGCTATAAATCTGTTTAATTATACGCAAAAATTAAGAAATACAGAAACAAAACAGCTCACTCAGCCCGAATATAAAGGATGTACTTACGGTCCATATTTATAAAGAAATTGAGCTCAAGCACACATCGTAAGACTTTTCACACATGAGAGAGGGAATGATAAAATCGACGACCTCACAGTTTACATGTGTTGATAAAATGAATGGGAAGACCCCATCAGAAAACCTGCACACACATCCACTCAGTTCACAGTTTGATGGACACACACACACACAAAAACAAGTCTCAAATGATAATAGACGTGTCAAGTGAATTTCACACTATTGCCCTTACAGAACAGTAATGAAAATATACAAAAGTCTATAAAGGACTGTTGTGTCATGTTTCTATACATTTGGAAATAAAATGCCATGTCATTTGGACTTCAAGTCTATTAATGGGTGATTCTGCAATTAGAGGCATTTTTGAATACTTAAATTGTTGCTTTTCCCCCAAATGTTATGTAAATGATTAGAAATGAATAATTAAAATCTGATGGCTTTGGTGTTTATGGTTTCCAGATTGGGCGGTTTTGAATTTGATTGTGCAGGTAAAAAATGACATAGGCGGGTAATGAAAATTTGGGCGGTTTTGTAATGGCATGCCCGCCAGCTCCGGTTTTCACTTATAAACCTGTTATGATCTCCCAAAGTGATGACATACCCCCAGTTCTTCACCTACAAATGCTTAAAACGGTTTTGATCTTCCAAGGACACTGGAAGTCTTTGGGCTGGAATCAGTCAGCTACATCTGGCAACACTGATGGTGTTAATGACAATTTTGAAATAATGTGACAGTTGTGTGCTTGTTAAAAATTATGAATGTGAAATAAAATTTCGGTAATGACTTCTATTAAACCTACATAAATGTAGTGGCATAATAATACTTGGTGTGGGGAAAAGACAGAATTTTTAATAATGTGAAAGCTTTGTATTTGTGAATCAAAATTCTGCAAATGACTCTTAATCGTGTGATATAAAAGTCAAAATGCTTGGTATTGTGGTAATGACAGTACTATTGAACATACAGATTTTTGTAAAATTCAAATTTCAGTAATGACACAAACTTTTTACAATAAATTATAATGCTTTGAATAATGAAACTGGCAGATAAATTACCAAATTTCAAATAATTAAAATAATTTTGATAATGGTTTAACTTTAAAGAAAATATATTGAAATAACTTGATGGTTGTTTGTTGAATGTCTGATTCAAACCCCTAATAATCTAATTTTAAGCCATAAAATTGTACACCTTTTAAAAATTTAAATAGATTTTGAAAAAAAGTTTGACCACTCACTGCGTTTATTTTTTGAGAATCAAAATTCCGGAAATGACACTAAATAATCTGATATCAAAATCTAAATGCTTGGTATGGACTGTTGTTTGTTAACTATTTGTATGTGAATTTAAATTTCGGTAATGACTTCTAGTAAATCTACATAAATTTAGTGACATAATAATGCTTGATATGGTGGTAATGGCAGTATTTTTAAAATTGTGAAGGCTGTGTAATTTGATTTTGTTAATCAAAACTCCGGAAATGAATTCAAACCCCTACTAATGTGATGTGAAGCCATAAAATTGTATTCATTTTCAAAATTTAAGCAGATTTAGAAAAATTTATTTGAAAACTCGGTTAATTTTTTGTGAATCACAATTCTGGAAATGACACTAAATAATGTATATAAATATCAAAATGCTTGGTATTTTGGTAATGACAGTACTATTGAAGATACAGATTTTTGTAAAATCAAAATTTCGGTAATGACACAAACTTGTAACAATAAAATTATAATGCTTTAAATGACAGATAATGACCAAATTTCACATGAATTAAAATACTTATGATGACGGTTTAACTTTAAAGAAAATATTGAAATGACATGGCAGTCGCTTGTTGAACGTGTCCGATTCAAAACCTTAATAATCTGATGTAAAGCCATACAATTGTACTTATTTTCAAAAATTTATGATTTCGAAAAAAAAGTGTGACCACTCACTGTTTATTATTTTCTGAATTGAATGTGTGTAAATGATACTAAATAATGTTAATAAAAATCAAATGCTAATGCTAATTGTGGTAATGACTGTACTATTGAAGATACAAATTTTTGTAAAATTAAAATTTCGGTAATGACACAAACTTTTAATAAAAAATTAGAATGCTTTGCATACTGAAAATGGCAGATAAATGATAAAATTTTACATTAATTTAAATTTGATAATGTTTTAACTTTAAAGAAAATATTGAAATCATATTACAGTCGTTTGTTTTGTATGTTTTGTTTGTTTTGTATTTGTATGTGAATTCAAATTTCTGTAATGACTTCTAGTAAACCTACATAAATTAAGAGATATAATAATGCTTGTTGTGGTGGTAATGACATCATTTTTTATAATGTGAAAGCGGATTTGTTTTCGTAAATAAAAATTCTGCAAATGACACTAAATGATGTGATGAAAATCTAAATGCTTGGTTTGGTGGTTATGACAGAACTATTGGAGATGCATATTTTTGTAAAACTCAAATTTCGGCAATGACACAAACTTGTAACAATAAATTATAATGCTTTGCATACTGAAATTTCAAATTTCACATTAATTAAAATATTTATGATAACGGTTTAACTTTAAAAAAATATTAAAATGATATGACAGTATTTTGTTCAATATTCAAATGCCTAATAATCTGATTTAAAGCCATGAAATCGTACTCATTTCAAAATTTAAGCGCATTTGCAATGCGGTAATGACAATAGCACTGAATATATCATTAGAGAATAAATTAAAGAGACAATTTAAATGAACTAAGCATTTTATTTATAAAATCCCTTTAATATCACCTTTGGGTACAAAAAAAGTTTCCCTAATTGAAGAATCCCCCTAATATGAAGTGTAGGCTTATTTTGGCTGTTGCACGAGACATTGCACCATGATTTTTTGTTTTTGTTTATTTAAAAAAAAAAAAAGCTTTTCTGGCACTCTACACTCAAACCACCTGTGAATCGACATGTAACGACAACAGAACTTTCTTTTACATGAGTTAATTACAACATATTCATCGCCAATTGCAAAAAAAAAAAAAACCTATTATGATTTATTAAACTTGAAAATTCACCGATCTACTGTTGCATTTCGAAAAGACATAATTCCTCCCAGAGAATAAATACTTGCCTCTTCGAACTACGATCTTGAATATTGCCTTAAAATCATGTCACTTATTTACGGCATCATTACCCACACAGAAAAACTGAACCGATCTGAACAGGTGAACAGAAACGAGGTAGCCTAAAAGGAAGCTCTACTCACAAAACACTACCCTTTGTTCACGGATTCATACGGAAAAAAAGATTTGGATCTAATAGAACCATATACAGCATTTCTGTCACACCCTCACAGTTCCTATGCATTTGATTCAGAGGCATTCAGAAGTTTGTTTCCAAAAAAAAAAAAAAATGTAAATAGATATTTACAGAGGGTGGTAGTGAAAGTCCCTCTAGAAAGAGTTGGAGATTATATAGATCAATCTTGAGGAGGGGTGAGCGACTGACTCACCAGGCTCTGTTCCCTTGGCCTTTATTGCACTTTGCAGAAAGTCATGAGAAAACAAACTTAAAAATACAAAAAACGCAGCGCGTTCTTATATCCTAATGACATGTGGAGGTTTGCTGCTCCTGATATGAAAACAATTCGAGATTGCTGGTATGTCAATGATAACATATCTACACCTTTTTTTTTGTATTGTAGGTGGAAATCATTACATTTGATCATTTATTCACACACACACACTCATAGTACGCAGCAACTCGCAACAGAATCTCAGTGTACTTTTTTATGTTTCAATACAAAGCTCTGTAGTATTTAGCGATCGGTTGAAATATTCAGAACATTTCGTAGCGCTGTGATGTTAAAAGGGTCAAATTTTTCACACTCCATGAGGACAATTTGTTGTCATGTCTAAATATCCAGTTGGTTTATTTCCTTATAGTAGGTGCTAAAGCCAAGTGTCAAGCTGGATTTTGTTGATTTATCAAAGCTATTCCTTTTAAAAAGACATCTAAATATCTTTTTTTTGTGTGATTGAAGAAACTGTAAAAATAGTGGTTAATTTTTCATTAAAATGTATAGGCTGTTCTTTTTCAAGCAATACATGTGAAAAGAGCAGGATTATTTGGCGAATTAAGACTTGCATTTCGGTTCCTAAGAAAAAAAATGTCTTCAGAAACTAAAGTCTATTTTAATGGTATGTTTTGAGACTTACAAGTATCTGGTCACCATTTATTTGATGTAAAAGAGCAGCTCAGACAGTAAGCTAATCATCTGTTTTTGTGTGGGAAGGGGATCATGTAGGATTGAGGGGTATTATACGAGAATAATTTTGATTTTAGGATGAGCCATATAGTAAATTCTCCCACATATGCATTATATCCATGAACTGACAATGGAAGAAACGTTTGGATCTGCAGCACATTCAAGGAAAACGGTGCCAAATCACAGGCTTCAAATGTGATGTGAATACTATAGAGCTTTGGCATAAAACTAGGAATGCACAGTATGAATATTCAGAATCATTTCCATTATTCGTCCATATCAGCAGGCATTTCCGTCCCAAAAATAATGAGCATTTTCTGTTCCTTCCAGAAATATGCATCAACGTCAATATATAATGGACTTAAAAAATAAAACGAGCAGCTTTGCGAATTCATATTTAAGGCATTCTGTGGACAGCCCGAAGTGTGTCTGCTCCAATGCAAGTCTTAATTATTAGTTTCGATTTCACACGTTAGACCGATATCCACAAGACACAAACATCCGTGTGCATTCCAAGTCGAAACATAAAAAAGAAAAAGGGTCGATCACACAAACCAGGCTCGATGGATTCATCCCGCAAAGGGAGGTTCACTGACGTTCAGCACAACCGTGATATTATTGTGTCAAAAAGTGTCTTAACAGTACAAATATTCACTCTACTCTGTGGGTTTGGTTTCCACACTTATGTCTTATTTCCAGTCTTCACCTCCAGAAGAATCTAGATACATATTTGCAAGGACAAAAAAAACATCAGAACCCCACGTATGTTAATGAAAGAGTCATAAAAACCGGTTGTTTTCCTCTGACGCCCCCGTGTGTTGTTCATTTGGGGTTATTCTTTGACTCTTTCCAGCAAAAGTTTGGGTCTTTTTTTGCCATCTGATGGATTATCCAGTGCACCTGGATTTTTTCTGTCTTTCCTTTTTTTCCACACTTTTCAATAAAGTAGAAAAGGTCCACAGACACAATGCAGGGGAGGGTGGAGATGAATTACCAATTCATCATGGAGTTTCTGTTCAAGGTCATGAAGAAAACTTGGCTGCTGCCTCCTGATCGAACCGAGGCAAAGAACACCTGTGCAGAAACAAGAGGCCAGATGGAGGACACATGATTATTTTGACTATTATTCATGCAAAAGAACAGAAAACGTGACCGTGTGCAATAATTTATTTGAAGCAACCATCAGAGCTTCCCACAGGTTTGAAGTTTACTTGCGGTGTTAGCCGGATTGAAACCCACAGCACATAAATAGATAACTATATGTGGAAAAACAAAACTAAATTTGATTTTTAACACAATTTTTACTATTATCTGTTTTAAACTTTTTCTTTTTAATGGTTTAAAGTTTAAAAAAAAGACTGTTGAAATAATATTAAAAATTCTCTTTTATGCTATTCAGCAGCCATGTGCACCCACTGACAGGTCAAATCTGCTTCCCTCTATCTCTCATTCAAGTTCAGGTTGCTTTATTGGCATGACATTTTGTACAGTATTGCCAAAGCATTTTAAATGTATAAAATATGTATTATATATTCACCATCAAATTAATAAAATATACAGCATATGAGAAATAAATGACAGGAAAAGGAATAAAATCTGAAAAAATCTCTAAAAACCATAATAATTACAAGAATAAAATGTGCAGATTATTTAAATAAGACAAATGAGTTAAACCCATTTCCAATGGTGTACAATTATTCTGCAGCCAATTTAGATGTGATTTTGTCCTTGCAGAGTATTTAGTAAAGCATTTCTGAGTCATTTAGATGAAAGAATTCATTATTTACATGGCTGTGCACTTAAAATTAACCACAGCTTCGAAAACCAAAGCAAAACCAAATCCTGGACATTTTAGATTTAGAAACCCCGGCCGGACACAAAGTTTGCGGGTCTGGAGAGCACGCGAGTGTTAACAGTTCTCATGCACACAGAACGAGCAGTATAAAACTGGTAAAGCAGAGAAGATTTTCCACTTCTTATTAGATCTCGAATGTTTGTTTATTTTGGGCGGATACAAAAAAAGGGTAAAAGGACAATAATAATAAAAAAAGTGTAATTACATATACTTTGACTTTCGTTAATATACCTAGGCGGCCTGCCTAAGTAAGGTCTATGTGTGGGAAGCACTGACCAATTTTCCATTTCTATTGATCCTTAAATATATTAAATAAATATTCTAATAAATTAATGTTAGTTCTTCTGTTCAGCACTGAAGAATGTTTTTCCCATATGGACATCGGCTGTTTTTTTTTTTCAATTTTTTTTTTGTAGAATTTCTTGTTTTTTGTTTAACAGAAGAAAGCAATTCTTAAAGGTGCAGTATGTAGGTTTGACACCCAGTGGCTGAATTAGGTATTGCACTCCTGAATCAAAACACATGCAAGCGCAGGTTGCCATATTGATGTGAGTGTGCCTGACTATCAAGCCTAAAGGCTGATTTAAACTGTTTTAACTAAAAGCAACGGAAGGAATATTTACAATATTAAAAGGAGGATTTGTTCTAACCAAAACCTTTAGAAGCAGCTTCTATTTTTTGCAGCTGAACAACAAATGACAATGTTTACCTCAAATACACATCATGTGCTTTTTATTTAGTGTTAAATGCTAATAATGCGAGTTTGAATGCCATTTTACATTATATTTATTGCCATACTACTGAAAGCCGCAGCAGATATTTCACCTCAGATCTTGAATATAAAAAACTCTTTGAATCTGAACTTTAGAACTGTGACTCAGTGCAAGCCAACACACATCAGTGATTCACCATGTACATATAATAATGTTAAAGAGGTTTAATATGTATAATTGGATCATAAACTTTACCATTTTGTTGGACAGCAGTGAGTACAATATTGTGAATGGCTGTATTTAAATTTCTGTCGTGTTTCGTCTGGTGGAAACAGCCAAATTGCTTATCACTGCAAAACTCGTCACGTAGTGTGTTGTTAGGACACGTGGTTAAGTTACAATGTAATCTGCTCACCTAATATTTAAGTTCATAATATTTATATTACTTGCTAATTATTAACCCCATGTGTAACTGAATCTGCGTCTCATTTCAGAGGCTGTTACGGTTCACCAGAGGTTGCATTTCAGTCACGGATGCATGCTTTGAGAGCCTTCCTGACTGATTGAATGTAATATGCTGTTTTCCATCAAGGCAACCCAGGTGCAGAAATATGACTGGCTAAAAGTTTTTCAGATAAACAAGATTGTCACTTAGCATGGTTTTTAAATATCTGCAAACATATTATTGTATTATTGAGTCAAAAATGTACATACAGCACCTTTAAAACATCAGAGTATGAGTAAATGGTGAGCTAATTAAACTTAAACTACATTAAATAAATGAACATTTAAATCGACACAAATGTTATATAAAAATGATAAAACTAAAATTTGATAAAAATTCAAATAAAAACTTAAATAAAAAGATTAAAATATAAAAAATATATATTTTGTATTAAAACTTTATATACAAATATAAAAAACTTGTAGTTTTCATTATACTGAAAAATAAACATTTGTATAACAATTATTAACTTTATATAACAAACAATGAAATGAGACATTTTTCCATAATGTCATATAAGGACTGTTGCATCAAACACTTAAAAATAAAAACACACACACAAAAAAATTAAAATAATAAAATAGAAATTACATTATGATGCATTTTTAAAGGATTAATAAAATAGGGGCAAACAAAACAACAATCCTGCTGACATACTTTATCATTTCTCTCAGACAGGAACTTCAGTCGCTGTGCTCGCTTGTGCATGAAAACTCCGTCGAGGTGTCCCGTTTCCACGGAGCGGATCTCAATGGCTTTCTCTCCCCAGCCCATGATCTGGTTGGAGTGGATATAGGCTGCAGGACACACAGTAGTGAACACACACACAAAAACACAAGAGAAAGAAGTGACAGGAGAGCTCCAAAATACATTAAAACCTCATTCCTGCACATTCAGTGTCAACAATAGGGCTGGGTTTCCATTCAGGTGTGTGATTCGATTTGATTCTCATTCACTATCCCCCTATTCCATTACATTCTTAATTAGATTAAGTGAATGTTGTACACATGCATGTGCTTCAGATGCATGGAAGAAGTAGTCATAATGTGAAATATTGAACACGCCCGCTGAGATTTTTCACAGTGCAGAATGTCTTGTATTTTTTAATAAGACTTTGCACTGTAGCCACTGGAACTTCAAAACATTTAGATATGGTCTCGTAGCTCACAGGTCCTCACTGAGCTCCTTTGTCTCAAGCAGTCTTTCCACTGCACACAACATTCGGACATGACTGTCAGAATACGCCCCCTTGTGGCAGTCGTACAGAATATTCTGTTTTGTCGTGCACCATGGGAGAGAATAAAGGGGAGAATAATATTTTCTATTACTCATTTATGAATATAAAAGTTTTATTTAGTATAGATATTTTTATTTTTTTATTTACCATTTCTCATCTCGCGCACACGGACCTGCTTGGACAGCACTGGAATGCATCACATCCGGTCGGCCGGTCGCATATGGCCTAGTCGCAGGAGTTCAAGTATTTCAGCATATCCGCAGCTCAATTCGGATCTAAATTTTCCACATACGGAGATGATTGGAACTACGCAGCTCCTGGACTACTCTCCATTGAAAATGAATGACTTTCGTCCATTGCTTGTCGTGTGCAGTGGAAAGGCCACTTTAGCCATGACTGTCCACAAACAGTAAAAAAAAAAAAAAAAAAAAAAAAAAAAAAAAAAAAAAAAAACCTGCAAAGTGCTTCTGTTTGTCAACTGTTGAGTTGATTAAAACAGCTGTTCCAGTAATTAGGATGCTTGAGATCAACTTGGACTATTTGGAATGGTATAGAATTTTAGATTTTCCCATGGACTGTGACAGATTCCAAAGAGTATGAATAATTTTGGAAATGCCACTTTTTTGTTTAAAGACAAAAGCTTAAAATTTTTATATATATATATATATATATATATATATATATATATATATATATATATATATATATATATATATATATATATATATATATTTATTTATATTTATATATACATCTTAACTTTTGACTTTAAACAAAAAAGTGGCATGTCCAAAATTATTTGCCAGGGGTATGAATAATTTTGCCCTAGACTGTACAGTTGAAATAAGAATTATCAACCCTTTTTTTCCTTAAATTCTGTTCAATGGAAAGATTTGTTTCAACACATTTCTAAACTTAAAAGTTATAATAACTAATTTCTTTTATCTTTTTCATGATGACAATACATATTAATTTTCTAGATATTTTTTATTTAAGATACTAGCATTTAGCTTAAAGTGCAATTTAAAGGCTTAACTAGGTTAATTAAGTTAATTGAGTTAGGGTAATAAGGCGCGTCCCAAATTGCATACTTATGCACTATTCTACGCCATTTTGTAGTATAAATAGTGTAAGTAGTGCGTTAACACTGAAAACTCTAAATAGGATAAGTGCACTTTAAATACTCGGATGATGCACTTATTCAACTGGTAAAATGAAGTCTGTAAGGTTGAACACTTCACACACTCAACGGCCGCATCATTGCTCACAAAGCAAAAGGGACGGAGCTTTCAGGCGCTCATGTTGGATTACATTATTGATTTTGGATTGTGAAACCAAAATTCTCCTAAGAGTGAATATAGCGCCTCATGATGGGGAATGTGGTTATATTATCGGCAGGTATTATTTGGTACTTTGGTAAAGTACATAGTGCATAAGTGCACATACATAGTGTCCCATTTAGGACACAGCTATTGCTTAAGGGGGCTAAGTATATTGAGCTTAAAATAGTTTTTAAAAATTTTAAAGCGCTTTTTATTTAAAATAAAACAAATAAGACTTTCTCCAGAAGAAAAAATATTTTAAGAAATACTGTGAAAAATTCTTTGCTCTTTTAAACATCATTAGGGAAATATAAAAGAATTATAAAAATAAATATTTAAAAAATTATATTTACAGGAGAATCAATAATTTGGACTTCAACTGTATGTGTGTGTGTGTGTGTGTGTGTGTGTGTGTGTGTGTATTTCTACATTTATTCATGAAACTATGAAATATTCCATTGTTGTTTGGGTCTTTGATTGACCTCATGACCAGGGATTTTTTATTTGGCTGCTCTTTAAGACATCATGCTATAACTGATTGTTTACATAAAACCCAGCAGGATGGGCATTTTGACACATAAGTGTACATTTGACCATCGAACTGGCCATGAGTCAAAAAAAGTGTAGTCAACTGAGCTCCATCACCTTAGTCACTTTCCTTAATGACTCAAACATACTCTTTTTCGTATTCATCCATGTTTCTTTATTTTTCTAATCTGCTTGTTAAGTGTGACGTCACGCGAAGCAGCTTCTGGATCCAAGCGCTCTATCAAACTGTATGGGGAGAATCAACAAATGGTAGTAATAAACGCTTACAAAGCAATGTAATACTTTCGAAAATCACGATTGCAATATATATCCATGCCTAATATCAGATGGCCAGAAAGTGATTATTCATTCATTTTCTTGTCGGCTTATTCCCTCTATTGATCCGGGATCGCCACAGCAATATGAACCGCCAACTTATCCAGCAAGTTTTTACGCTGCGGATGCCCTTCCAGCCACAACCCATCTCTGGGAAACATCCACACACACATTCACACACACATTCACACAAACACTCATACACTGCGGACAATTTAGCCTACCCAATTCACCTGTACTGCATGTCTTTGGACTGTAGGGGAAACGGGAGCACCCGGAGGAAACCCACGCGAACGCAGGGAGAACATGCAAACTCCACACAGAAACGCCAACTGACCCGAGGTTCGAACCAGCGACCTTCTTGCTGTGAGGCGACAGCACTACCTACTGCGCCACTGCTTCGCCACCAAAAAGTGATTAATTTGTTAAAATATTGATGTCTGTGAAGTCCAGAGACTGTTGTGTACACTATGATTTTATATAAAACTAACTTTATTGTGCGATATGACTAAAAAGTAAGGGTGTCACGATCCTACAAATCCTCGATTCGATTACATTTTCCATTCTAAAGGCACGATTCGATTCAATTTTTGATTATGAATAATTAATTAATGACCAATTAATTATTAGTAGCCAACCGTTTAAACTACCTGACCTGCATGGTCTTTGTTTTACCCATAAACAAATCATACAGTAAATGAATAAAGGCAAGATACACACATAATTACCACCTGTCAATCACTTTTTCTGTGGGACTCGTGAATAGGCAGTGATCTGTGTCGTTATAATGGCGTCGGTAAAGACGCACAACAACAGGAACCAGCCAAAAGTATCTGAGGTGTTCGCTAAAATTACTAAGTACAAGTGAGTGAAAGATTGAAGCAGTCTACTAATCCTCTGACTGCCTGAACCCGCTGTCTCGAGCCCATGGCTGTGTGTGTGAGTCTGTGTCACTGTGTGTGTGTGTGTGGTCACGTGATGTGCGTTTTCAGAGGTAGTGAGGAAGGAGGGCTGCTCAGAAATGCTTCACGCCACTGTGGATGTCAAATCGTTGTCGTTCTAAAATGCCATTTAAAAACAAAGACAGTGTAAACAGGGCCTGAGTGCGTACTTTTCACGAGCGGGTTAGCAACGGGGGCGGGCGGAGGATCACAATGCCGGTGTTGTCTATCGGACGAACCGTACGTAATACGTACATAGCAGAGCTTGCAAAACTGTGTTTTTTTTGTCGACAACACGAACGTTGTCAACATAACTCACTGGAAATCCAAAATGCTTACACACCGGCGACTTCATTAAAAGAGGAGAGGGTTTAAGTTCTGTCGACGGGTCTCCTGCTTCTGCTCCTGCAGTTTAACAAGCACTTCAACAAGCCTGTTTTTTTCCCCGCTTGGCAACACAAGCTGACGTGACATGGGGGCGTGGCAGCATCGACGATTCTATTTTTTGATTTGATAATCGAAATTGAGCATAAATAGTGACACCCCTACTAAAAAGTGGTCATGAATGAATATTTTCTCAATTCAAATGAGTAGTGGCTTGGACCCGGAAACGGTGTTCCATACATCACGACTTAACAAGCGGATATAGAAAAGTAATGCTGCCCAGCTCTACCATGCTTCCACTGATGTGCTTACACACAATTTGAAAACTCCTGGAATATAAAATAAGGGAGGAAAAAGACAAAACCTTTGAGAAATACACATTGACCATAATAACAACAACAATTTAAAAAAAAAGATTGATTGAAAACTTGGATTTTTATGCCCAGCCCTAGAAAACAAGCCTGCCAAAGCCACCCCACATCATCAGGAGGTCATTATTGCAGCAGTTTCTGAGCATCACAGATCATTACATCAGATATTATTGCACTTTTACGTAGAAACTGATGGCAAAAAGGAACTAGCCTCCAACTCCCTGTGGCTAAAAGGGCTTTTGTGGAAATCTCTCAAAAAAGATCAATACAGTCTGGTCGTTTTGGCTTCCTTTGTGTAGAAAATACATGAATTATGAATGCAGAATCACTGAAGAGTTGAATACAGTTACTCTAAATTATATGAATTGGTTGAAGTGAGGCAGCGGGTGGCTGCTGGTCTACATCTGAACCCTCAGTATCAGCCGACAAATGACAAAAGACAGCCAGATAAACCGAAACATTAACATTCTTCACACATGAGACATGGAAACACGGATACAAACAAATGTTGAAGCTGCAAATTAATTTGGAGGCACATGGCAGTATATGGTCATAGTAAAGCAAGAGTTCAAAACATTCATATTTACATCTAAAATAGACAAGAATAACTCGCATAGAAATGGATGTGCTGGCAAAAAATGTTAATGTTGGATAGGAAAATGTTCAAGTTTTGCTTAAAGAGATAGTTTGGATAAAAATGAAAATTTACTCGCCCACATATCAGTCAAGATGTAGATGCTATTCTTTCTTCAGCAGAATTTTAAAGAAGAATCTGTGTTCCATGATGCTTTTTTTTTTATAATGGCAGTCAATGGTTACAGGATTTAGATAAAAAAATAAACGCATACAAACAAATCCAAATCAATAGTCATGTGTTCTGGCAACACACTGATGTCTTTAAGTAAAACGATTGGTCTGGGTAAAAAATTCAACACAGCCAAAGCCTGGTCAAATGCATGCAAGTCTTGCACAGTGTTGCCATATATAGCTGACTTTTTCCAGCCCAAAAGCTGTCAAAAACCCACCCAAACGCACACTAAAAATGCCCAAAATATTAGATTAATATTACTTTGACTTACCTAGTTACTTTGTCAAAATTAACCATACACCAACCAACACCAGCAGTTACACAGAACTACAACATAACTGGATTCTGCTTCCCCTCACCCACAACCTGCACTTAATGTTGTGTAGATTACACTACCTTTTAGAGAAAGTTTTACTTTTGAAATAGTGTATACATTCGTCCCATTTGGCATTTTAAACTCTTAACATAATATAGGTGCTGCTAGACACTGCTTCTATGTTTATTCTTGCGGTCAATTGCGGGGAAAAAAGATGTATCGATAAGTGTTATGATAAACCGCTGTGAGCTTAACTGCAGGGACTGCGTGATGCGTGTGCACGCGAAGAGGAGTTGGCTTTGTTCGGGGAGTCAGATGTTGACAACTTTCCTTCACCTATTCTTGCGGGTGGAACCGCGCGGTTTGCGCTATGCACTGGTCACAACTAACTGAATGGAGTCGGAACACAGGTTTATGTTTTTAACTTGCATATAAAATTTATGTTTCAAAACCAACCAAATTGTCAACCCACCTTTGCCATTTTTTAACTGCACAATCAATTACAAAACCGCCCAATTATGCAGGAAACTGCCCAATCTGGCAACACTGGTCTTGCGCAAGTTTAGTCAAACGCAAGCTTTCTGTTGCTTTGAGCAGGCTGTGGATTGTAAATATTGTTACATTTCTTACCCACGCTTTGTGTCAGCCTTTTTAATTTAATAAATTTGCATTTTTGGAGCCTTGGTGTTGCCGCCTTTGATTTACATTTAATTTGCACTTTTTGCGGTTTTGGCTGAGCACCCAATTAGGAGAGATGTGCGTGCTTTTGTACAGTTTTTTTACATTTCTTACCCAGACTGCTTGTTTCGCTTCACAAGGCATCAGTGTGTCACAAACATTTTTTATTTCTTATCTTTTTTTAGGGGTTTTCACCTTTATTGATAGGACAGTGGAGATTTACAGAGAGTAAATGTGGGGAGCAGAAATAGGGGAATGATAAGCAAAGGACCTCAAGCCGGGAATCGAACTTAAGTTCTTAAGAACTTAACTTAACTCCTAGCTTACTGGCGCTGACACTAGTAGACATTTTTATGGATTTGTATTTGTTGGTATGCATTTATTTTAAATCTAAAAAAAAAAAATGTAACCATTGACTGCCCTTATAAGAATCACCAAGAACCACAGATTCAGCTAAAATCTTCTACTGAAGAAAGGCACTTACATCTTAGATGACATTTTGGGTGAACTATCCCTTTAAATCTAATTAAATCAATTAATATTTCATCACAAAATTACAAATTAAATATATTTTACAAGAAGAAAATCAAGTGTACTTTGACAATACATTCTCACAGGAATACCAAAATGGTTAAAATGGGCTAAATTATTTTTCTGTAGGGTTTCTGTCCATTTAAGTATACTTTATGGGAAATTCTAGCTTTTAGTTAATCTTATTAAAATGGGTTATACTGAACACTGATATCAAAAAGAAAAAGAAATAGATTTTTTTTATTTTGGGAGCCGGGTTTTTGGGCATAGCGAATTTAAGACAAACTTTTTTTCCCTCATTTACATACAGAAAAAGGGTTGTCAACTTCAAAATCAGTTAAAACGACTAATCATTTTTAACATCTAAATCTATTCAATTAAATTAAATACAGACAATTTTGAAATATTTACATTTTAAAATATAGCAAATACCACAATTTTATATCTCAAAAAAGCGAGTTACATTTCACCCTAAAATGAAGAAAAGAGTATAATTGTTTCAATCACAGCTAAATACATATTTCCCATTTTCATACACTCAATTTTCTTCATGCACAACGAACTCTTGTTTTAAACTAGTTTTAATGTGAATCTGATATTTCTGTGAGATTCGACATGAAACAAAACTGCAATCAAAGCCAAACAGTAACATTTCTCATGCTTTTGCTCTGAAACCAATTGAAATTAAGTGATTATTAACAACAGACGTTCATATAATTGGTTAAAAGTGTGACGACAACGATAAACACGATGTGCTACACATACAGACAAACAAACATTGCACTGTGTGAGTCAGGGTTTAGCCTAACCGAGCCGGGTTAGCATAAGGCAGAAAAGGGTCAGTTAAGAAAGAATAGTGGACAAAGACATGCGTGTGTGTGTGTGTGTGTTAGTGTGCAAGGACTGAGTGAGACTGAGGGGTGTAAGGGACGACAGATCGCACAGATTAGGGCTCTAGAAGGAGAACAGGAGCGTTTTGTGTGAAATAAACAACCAAAACCTACCAACAGAGGTGGGCATCTCTCCCCACTGGAGCACCACGTCTTTAGTGATTCTGCCGTATGTGTTCACATAGACTCCCTCATCTTCATAACACAGAAGCATCTCCATGCCGTCGGTCTTGGGAAGCACCACAATGGCGTGAGGGGTAACACTGCCCTGAATCTGGGAAGGGAGGGTTGGGCGCAGATGAGCCTTGGGGTGACAGAAAACGAGCCGAAAGTGCAAAACAATCCCCCCACTAGGTGACGCTCTCCCCCCTCCCCGGGCCGGCCATGTGTCTCGTGCTTCTCCCTTTGAGAAACTGCTGCAACAATCGAGACTCCTTCCCTCTGCTTCAACATAAAATGCGCCCCCGGCTAGAACCGCTTTGATTTGTGTTGGTGTTTGGTTTTGTCGGGATTTGTGTTTCTACGATCATGTTAGAAACTGGGGATGTCATGAAATCTGCTGATTTATGAACATTCAATCTGCACACAGAACATTCATACGCGCTTGCTTTTAGCTGTATGAAAAAAAATCAGGGTCCAAAATTAACTGGCCGCCAAACGTGGCGATTTCAGGGTTACTTTAAGAACATGTACTTTGCAGTAATGATATACAGCATAAAAAAGAAGGTAAATAATATTTAATTAAATTAAATTTAGCGCACCCTTTTGTACAGTAAGTGATGCTTACTAGCAATTTCAGATTGTTTCTACTTGTATTATTATATTAATGTATAATTTCGTATATGACTCAGCTGTTTCTTTGTAACATTTTTGACAAGTAGCACATTGTAAGATTATAATGTACAAGATGAGCTGGTGTTAAACTTGCCTTATTAAACCCATCATGTTTGAATTTGCATATATATTTTAGTCGTAGTTTGTTTTTGATAGTTGTATAAAACATAACATGATAATGCATTATTTGTATTCAGAATTGCAAAATATCAACTTTTATATATATAAACAATTCTGAATTTCATATGATTAGTAATTCTATTTAAAAGGATCTCTGGCTATTCATTTGTATTCATAAGGCAAACCAAATACCTCAAAGTTCTAATGAAAAATAATAATTGCAAGTTAGCTTCTGACTAGGGATGCAACGATTAACTGATTTCACTACTAGCAGTGTTTTAATTCGTCATGATTAACTAATCGTAAAGGCTTCTCAACACCACGTTTCTCTTGCACAGAACGAAACAGCTGCAACTAAAGTTTCACCAACTCTGCACTAGTTTAAAGTTCTAAGCTTCTACACCTAAGCGAGCGTTTGGCGTGACCGAAGCTGCCTGCCTTCGCGTAGTCGTGCATTTATACTGCTGCACGCTGTTTGTGTTGCTCTGCAATAACACTTCCGAAATGCTAGCTGACAGTGAGGTGTTTATATTCCTCTGTGTCGAGGAACGTAACGAAGAACGAAGGTGTTTATGTTCCTTTGTGTCCTAAAAAGGCTGCGCCAGAGTTTACACCTGCGCTTGACGCAGAAGTATAAATCAGCCTTAACTTTGTTTCGTCTGAAAAAGCACCTGAACTCAGCAGTTAGGGTTTCTTTTGTGTTCACAAAGAATGACCAGGGTGGCACTAGGCCCTTTCACACATACAGGTCTGTATGTGTGAACAGGCTCTTTTTGAAAATACCGGTAAATTTGTTCTGGCTATTTTCCGGACTGAGAAGTTGTAACATTATTTGCTGGAATGCTACGCTGTTTGAACACAGAAGGAAGATTGCCGGAAAGAGCACGTTCACGTCTAAAACGCGCTGACATAAGACATCTACTTTAGCCAATTCGAACACTCGCGATTTATGCGGTTTATGAGAATAAAAGCCTGTGAATATATTTCCAGACACATTTAGCTGCTAGATGTTAGTCAGATAACGTTTCAGTTTTCCTTCTTCATGAGGACTGTTTAAAAAAAAATTATAAAATGATAAACCGCTGTTTGTTTACTTTCAATCTCTGCTTCCTTCAGTTGCATGACACATGTGCACGTGAAGCAGTCGGTGAGCGCCAGCACACACACATATGATGTACATCTCGACATGCGAAAGTCTTCCTCCTTATATTTTCATCGAAGTTGTTCACAATACTCATCCATCCACAGAGTTTGTAATGCAAAGCATGCTGTAAAAAGGTTTAAAAGCATATGCGTATGGTCTGGCGCAGCCTTTGCGCGGTTGCATAGCCTTCGCAGTACCTCTTAAAAAACAAAAACTACACAACGCAATGACACATAGCGCAAACTTTGTGATTGGTCAGCTTGGTATCGATGACGAGTGTGGGCGCCACTGAGAGCTGCGAGCCCAAAGTAGCGATTGTTCACAACTGTTGAGTTGCGCGAAGTAGCTCAAGATAGAAACTGTTGTTTTGTGTTGACCTTATGATTAATGTTGTTCTATGTCGTCCGGTTCCCGCCTCTGAATGATTGAGTTTTAGCTACTTGTAGTAAATGCACGTCTCAGCGCAACGCAGTTGCCGTGGGTCACGCCGATCACTCAACGCAAAAGTATAAGGGACCGATCACACAGGAAGCCATTTTCCATTCCAAAAATGCGAGGCGTACCTCACTACCTTTTTTGTTGACAAGAAAAAAGAAAAAAAAAGAAGTGCGGTGCACTTTTTATGTTGCTAGGCGATGACTGAATCAGCTGGGTATTGTGCGAGAGTGTTGCTGTTGATATTAATATACTTTTTAATTGTAATAAAATTGTGATGTTCAAGATTTGTGAGTCATACAGCACCAGAAAACCCAAAACAGCAAACCAAAAATCTCCATCTGCAAAAGTCTCTATAGCTGTCTCGACAACACAAACACTGCAGGCACATCAACGGAAACCCCGCCTCTGCTTTTATTGGATTGGAGAATGAAATAGACACGACTGATGTAACATGCTTTCTTCCGCTCAGAGTTTACTTTTTTCAAACCGCACGGCGCGCAAGGGCAAAAACGCGAGGTGCAGCAGGAGGTTAAAAACGCGAGGCATGCAGGGCGTATAAGCAGCAAGCACAACACTCTCGGCCGTTAGTAAATCATTCAAAAAAAGGCACCTCTCAACGCAAAAAGCATGTTCGGTGTGATCGGCCTCTAAATCAGCCTTGATTTGATGCTGCACCTGCGGGCTGCTCAGTATTTATTTACGGAGTAGCAATAAATGACACTTTAAAAAATGAAGAGTTTTCGTGTGATTTTCTAAACTAGTAGTATTAAACTAGAAGAACTCTAAATTAATGAACGCATAATAATCGTGATGACCGTGCTTATTTCTCAGACTATAATCATATACCCGAAATCTATAATCGTTGCATCCCTACATTTCTGATTCATTTCATTTCTTATAACTGGAAGAAAGAATGTTGCATTGTAATGGTGAGAAAAGATATTAACTTGCAATTATGAGAAAGTCAGAACTGTAATTGTTAGCTAAAAATACAGAGAAAATATAAGCGTGGTAAAAGTAGTCAGAATTGCAAGAACTTGTAGATTCATTTTTTTAAATTCTGTAAAAAAACAAGCTTCAATAATAGTAAAAAAGCTAAAAAATTTTGGGTCAAATTTAAGTCAGAGCATACATTACACATATATAACCTATTCATTGTTTTTCATTCTCTAAACAAACACCAGCCAACTGGAAAGATTTTATTTCTTTCATCCAATCTGTTTCTTTCATTTTGTTCACTTGCATCTGGTGCGAGTGTTAAATTTGGACCCTGTCAGTAATTAAAAGACACATATGTGATACAGACATCAACACTACAGTGCATGCCGGTGTCCCCGGGGAGCAGTCGTCCTATTTAAAGTCCCCTGGAATCAGGGTAAGGAGGGGAGAGCAGCCTCCCGCTCAGCACTTACGTGGGATGGGATGTAGATGTCATACGGATTCCCAGAGTCCACATCTATCACATGAAAACCAACACTGGAGCCGTAGATGACCTTCAACCTTTGACCCTCCTCCACCGTCAAATCCACCAGCAAAGGCTTGTGCTGAAGGTCCGTGAAAGACTTTGGAGAAACAGAGGAATGAAAATATGATTAAAAAAACACTGGTGAACTGAAATGGGATGGTTTAATGAAGGATAATGTTCTGTGTTCTCTAAACCCCAATACAACACTCTAATACAAAACACTGGATTTTTTTCCTCCACAGATGGACATGCACACAGGTTGCCAGATTGACAACACCAACAGGAGTGAACTAAAAGCAAAATTAAGTATTCACGCAAGTAGATTATGTTGTTTCTGCTTGTTTTTTTTATTTGGTATTTCTTCTCTTGTCTTGTTCCTTTTATGCATTATTAGTCTACCATTTTCTCTACCCATTTACAGTTTTGTTTCTTGTTCTCCTATTTTGTTGTAAAAGCATCCTTGAGCACTGGAAATACAACCACAAATCAGAAAAGGTTAGGAAAGTCATCCGTCCTTCCTTTGAGAAACTGAATTTTTAAACATTTCAATAATTTTCTCGCGTATTTGTTAGCAAACTGGCGATCCTCTGCCATTTTTGCTCCTTTCTTGGATGCTACTTTTGTACAATCATAATTACAATCAGCTGTTGACATCACCCATTTCAAATCACATCATTATTTAACCAATTTACCTGATTACAAGCCCTAAACTGCTCCTGTCCCAACTTTGTTTGAAATGTGTTGCAGGTCCGAATAACAGGAAAGGTTGTATATTTAAGTTAATCGGACAAAACATAATATATTTTGTGTTCATATTGTCTGCAATGAAATACAAGTCAATTTAAACTTGGAAATCTCGTTTTTTTTATGATCCCAACTTTTTTCTGATTTGAAGTTGTATAAAAACTTATTATTAGAAGTATTATTATGTACTAAGTCGATGCAAACATGGGTGAATTTCTGCCAGGCATGGCAAATGAAGTGAAATACGCAACTAAGTCTTCAAATAATTCAACTTTACCTTGAGATGAAAAACAAACAAACGTGAGTAAACTAGAGCAAGTGACACTGTACTCCACGTTTGGTGTGGACATAGCATTACACTGTAAACCTCCAAGCTAATGTTTACATTTATAATATGTATTGTTTATATTGTATTGTCTTGCGGAGGTCGGATTTTTGGCTGCAGTCATATACATTGAGGCAGCCTTCAAGACTGAAATGAAATACACAGTTTTTCATCAAGGCAATCCAAAGTGCTGGAATATAATTGGATAAATATCTGCAAACATATTATGGTACTTTTATGCTTTAAAAGAGTCAAAAACATACACCCAGCACCTTTGAATAGCTACTATTTTTTATTTAACTAATGGAGTTAATTTAAAACGATTGCACAGATGCTCGTTCTCAAAGGACCAGAAATCTGGCTCACCTTGAAAGCCATGAATTTGTGGTAGGGTTTGGGAGCCCAGGCGTAAATCTCCACTGCGTTCTTCAATGCAATCACCAAGAACTTAATCCTCTCGTATTTGACTGTTAAATGACAAATACATCAGGAAATATGATTAGGATTTAATGACCTTCTATGAGAAGGAACGAGAGAAAATGTAAACAAACCACAGACAAACAGAACAAATGGCAGAGCAAACTACTATAAAAAAGACAAAATAAAATAAAAGAACAAACAAAAATTCTTTGAAAATTGTAAAGCATAAGAAAGATAGTGAACAAACAAATGACAATACAAACCGAATAAATGACAAAAACAATTGAATGAACAGTAGAACAAACAATAAATAGACAAAATGAACAATGCACAGACAAATCAAATGGCAGCTACAAAACAAAACAAAAAATAAAGCAGACAAAACTATTTTGTCTATAGCAGATGATAAGGTGATTTTATTTTATATAATATTATATTTTATTTATAATTTTTACTTTTTTACTATTGGACAAACCAATTAGTCTTTAAATATTTTCAATACTTCTTTTGTAGTTATTTGAGATTTAAAACAAGTATTTTGCCAAACTGACCAAACCACCTACCGACTTTATAATGAACGCAACCCTCCAGATCACCAACAGTGATCCATCCTTGTTTCTTTTCCACCTCAGGATCATTGTGAAGTATTCTGTTTCTGAGCCATGATAGATAATACACCCTCAGTTTATTCTTCTTGCCTGTGACAAAAAACAAGTAGTAGTAAGTACCTCTCATTAGGAATAGATAAGGAACAAAATAATCCAACCGGAGAGTTGTCCCACCTGAAATGGTGACCAGGACATTGAGACCCTCCAGAACATCCATCTGTTGAAATCGCCTGCGGTTGATCAGATTGTAGACTTTGCCTTGACCGCTGCGATCGAGTAACATGAGGCCATTTTCTGTTCCTACCAGGAGGTTCACTCCTATAGTAAACAAATACAGAAAAAATGACACATGCTTTATAATACAGACATTAAAGGGACAGTACACCCAAAAAAATTACATTTGCCATTAATTCTGCAGTCATTTACGTGCCAAAATGTGGTTTCCTACACAGAGTGGTCATTTCATTATTAATTTTGTTTAGCCAATACATATTTTTTTGACTCTTGAATTGAGAGTTGGTAGCTGTTGACTTGAATCTATTAAATTAATTTTGCTTCATTACTTGTTTAGTGCAAGAAATTAACAGTACGATTCAGATTAAGTCACCCTGATCAGGTTTGCATTTCCACTGCCAATGGATTCTTGTTATAAGAATGTTATGGCGGGTTTTATTGTCATTGGAATTATAAATCCTTGGAGGTTTTTAATATTTTGAAATTCTAAAAAATGTTTGAACATGTAATTATTTTCATGTATGTATGTATTATGTCATCTTTGCATCCAATTACAAAAAACTCGATTTACCTCTTGCGTGAGGCGATTGTAATGCAGAGTGTATGAGCAGGACAGAGGTTATTCTCCATTCTGTCTAACCTTATTAGTCTCACAATATTATTCCTTTTTCTGAAAGTCTTGATAACACCAGCATGGAGTTTCTTTTGTTATTTGAGCAAATAAGATTGTAAAAACAAAGATTTCTTGTACTCTTCCATTCAGTTTACCCAACTATGACGACTTCCGCTACTAAGAAACCCGGAAATGTCAAAAGGGTTCATTGTGTACCCTTACTTGGTAGCTGTATTAGACATTCACATATCACGTCTTTTACTTGCTCAAGTTCCTAATTACATTACTACATATAGACGCGGCATAGTACGTGGAGCGAGTTGTGCTTTTCACACTTTCCTCAATGCAATGCTTCATACGGTTTGCAACACTGTGCAGTAGGTCCACAATTGCAGAACACAAGCTGCGAGCTTCCACTTAGCTTGCCGATAATGGTAACATATGATACTGTATCTATGTAATCAGTATCCATTTATACAACAGATTGAAGCCACCCTGCCACATCTTTAATATTTTAAAGTTCATCTATGTTTGTCAAAATGAAGCAAATTCAGCACCATGCACCTGTCAACTAGTGCTGGACTTTTGAGACCAACTGGTTCTCAAATTTTAGAATTGTCGATTTCCTACTAACATTTGAGCACTGTTGAGGACACACTAAGAGCTGATTGGCTATTGTGTTTACATGCTCAACAGAAATGACTGATTGGCCGTAAAGGTCACCAGTTCACCAAATGCAAACACAGGTACAAAAACACTGAAAAAGTCGCGTCAATCAACAGGTCTGTCTATATGCTGACATATGAGCGATCTGCTGATAGACCAACTGACCTACGCGGCTTTGAAACGATTCAGTGTTTCTGTATTTGTGTTTGCAGTCGGTGAACAGCGGTGAAAAGCATTCAACTGGTAAACTTGACGGCCAATCACATTCATTTCTGTTGAGCATGTATACACAATAGCCATTCAGCTGTTTTTAAGAACACGCTCAACAGCACTCAAATGTTAGCAGGAAATAGATGTTTTTAAAATTTCAGTACCAATTGAAACCGGAATTCCAATATCGTGAAAACAGTACCATACACACCATAACTTTTTTTTCTGATTCTAACTCACACCTATGCAAGTTTGCATCATTGTGATCTAATTTGTACACAGAATTAATTCTTAACATTTGAGAATCGATTTAGAATAGTAAGAAAAAATTGTGATGCGTCGATAAATAGATTTCTTTTTACTGCTGAAATTTATATTGGATGGCCTAAAGGCAAGTTAATTAACGACAAAATCTTATTATCTAATCTGACAAAATCTTCAACTATCCTGACATAAAATAAAAACATTAAAAACAGTTCTTAAATATAAAGTCAGAAAAAATGTCTTTAAACCATCAGTTTGGACTCACCCCAGAGTGCCGCACACAGGATTTCAGAGTTGAAGCGCTTCTTGTACTTGCGGATTTCTGGCGTGTCGCTGTGTGGCCGGATATTAGTGGGATTGACATTAACAACAGATATCTTCCGAGCTTCGTTCAGTCGAGCTTGTTCCTGTTCCTGCTCCTGCCGCAGGAGCTCATCTGCGAAAAGAGCTGCACGACCCCCCCCAAAAAACCCAGAAGTTCATTATTTCCAGTAGGATTTGGAGAAGGATTCATAGACTTTAACACCCTGTAGTCACCAACAAACAATTCAGTGGCCCATTCTGTCATTTATGAGCAGAAAAAAAAGTTGGCATTGGCTCTACCTGAGTTATAGGAAGTGTGTTATTCACCTGAGGCAGGGTTGTCCTCATCATCTTCTGTCGGGGACGTCTGATACACTCGAGGGTCCACAAAAGGAGTGAAGGAGGCTTTTCCCATCCCAAACTGACAAAATGGAGAATCAAGTTATGAGAAACAAGCATCCATGTAATGTCTCATGTCCAACGGCGGACTGCAGTTTCTTTTCTGAACTAAATTGCAACAGTTTTTTTTGCGAGTAGTACTTCTGTTGTTACATGTTAGTAGAAAAAGCAAGCACAGCAATAGCCTTTTCTCAAATCAGTATTTCATCTTGTTTTCCAGTAAAATATTGAAAGAATAAATAGATATTTGTTTTGTATGGGTCTGTATTATTTTCAGTTATTAAAGAAAGCAATGCTGAGTTCACAGCAAACGCAGAGCACCATGTCACTTGATCTACTTTAAGAATGAGATGATTTTCCCCACACACAATTTTTTAACTTGAGTACAATAAATTCTGTGTCACTTGTATGGCAATAATTCACTTCTATCCGTGTGTTTGAACTGACTTTGTATATAATTTAATGGGAAAAATACTTAACTCTGCATTTGATGTGACCCAGCATAACTCTTTCATTCAGTAACCGCACATTGATCCAAAATGTAATTAATGCTCTGGTGCTGGGTGGTCATTTCAATTAGTCAAATTTTCGAATTCCTGCCCATTTTAAATAAATGATACATAAAAAAAAAAAAAAAAAAAAAAAAACAGATTAACAATTTCATTATAAAACACTGTTTGCAAAATATCTGTCAAAATTAAAAATGAAATAAAATGATTTAATTTTCATTTTCACTGTTACAACACATCGTCCCTGTCAAATCGATAAATAAAATGAAGTTTCCGATTTAACATTTCATTTTCACTGCATTTCGTGTCTTGATTCGCAGATGATCCCTAAAATTGCGAGTGCAAATGTCCGGCAAATATCAAACGTTAAAACCGACTTTATCACACTAATTTAGATGTCTTTCAAAGATTTTAGTACTAACAAGTTTTTAACGTCACAAGAACTAATACAATATCCTATAAAAATTCATCACAAGGCCCACCGCAGTTACGCTGCACAGTTTTTCAGAAGTCTACGACTCCTGCTGTGGGATGAACGTTTGATGATTGTTTATCCTGTGTCCTCTGTTCCTCTTGTTGTATAAATGCAGCAACTGCTTCACGTAAGAGCTTACTAACAGTTTTTGCCATTTTACTTGTTATATATACAGTTAAAGTCAGAATTATTTGCCCCCCCTTTGAATTTTTTTCTTCTTTTTAAATATTTCCCAAATGATGTTTACCAGAGCAAGGAAATTATCACAGTATGTCTGATAATATTTTTTTCTTCTGGGGAAAGTCTTATTTGTTTTATTTCAACTAGAATAAAGGCAGTTTTTAATTTTTTAAAAACCATTTTAAGGACAAAACTATTAGTCTTTTTAAGCAATTTTTTCCCCGATAGTCTACAGAACAAATCATCATTATACAATAGCTTGTCTGATTACCCTAACCTGCCTAGTTAAACTAATTAACTATTTAAGCCTTTAAATGTCACTTTAAGCTGTATAGAAGTGTCTTGAAAAATATCTAGTCAAAAATTATTTACTGTCATCATGGCAAAGATAAAATAAATCAGTGATTAGAGACGAGTTATTAAAACTGTTATGTTTAAAAATGTGTTGAAAAAAAATCATCTCTCCAATAAACAGAAATAGGGATAATAATAAACAGGGGGGCTAATAATTCTGACTTCAACTGTACATTAGTAACTCACGCTGTCATATCCATCAAAACGGTGCTTCTGCCCACAGGCTCTGAAAACACTTGATGTCACTTGATTAAGCCCCTCCCACTCATTAGCATAGGCTTTGCATACAGGTTGAAGTTGAAAATGAAATTGAAAATGAAAACTGAAGTAAGTGTTAATAAAAGCAAAACTTAAACATTTAAATTTCAATTGTGTCACTATTATAGCGTGAACATTAATAACAATTTTGGAAGATATTTTGTGAACAGTGTTTTATAATGAAATTGTTCATCTGATTTTTTTTTTTAATTTCCAATGTTTATTTGATTGATTTATAAAATTGGCAGGAATTAATTTCCATATGTGCTGGGTGGTCATTTCAACTTGTCAATTTAGATCTTTAACACTTAAAAATATGTCATTTACCTTTATTATGCATGTAACATGTACTTCCTGTTGTAACAACGGTAAATCATATATAGTTTACATGCAGCAAATCCAAAAGTCCATGATGCTGATTAATATCTTCAAGCACAACTAAACTGCACTCATAATGACCCTGAAACTTTAACATTTAAAATATTCCACCCACAAAATAAATGAATCTTTATTAAAAGGAATTTTTTACTGAAAAATAAGCAAAATACTGATTAAAAAAACATTTTTATTTGCAGTCAGACCACAAAATTGGGTCACTTCGCAAGAAGAAAAAATGGGGCAAAGAGAAACAACATCTAATTAACAGGCCACTGTCCTACATGTTTGAATGTTTTAAAAAAAGAAGCTTAAAATAAGAGCAAACAAACAAAAAAAAAAAGGAACAAATCAATAAACATAAAGAAAAGCAATGTGATTAAATGAAGTCAATCTACAGTGCATTAGATTTGAATGGGAATGGATTAGATGTGTCGGGTTAGAAATCTGAGGGTTGGAGTGCAGGGTGGCTCTAACAGGCTCGTCCGTCACCTACTTCAGCCACAGAGTCCAGGTCCAGCGCACTAGACTGCCGCCCAGGGCCCTCGGCGGGCGAGTGGCTTTGCTGCACTAGATCAGGCAGATTGGAGCTACCGGGGAAACCATTGCTCTCGGCATGACCGAGCTTTCTTTCCCCAAACGTCTGCAGAGAGGAACAGAAAGAGGAGTAGGGCGACACTACTGAGGGCCCTTACGTGGCTAAGCCCCCTTGCAGAGATATTTGGGAAATGCACAGAGCTGCCTCTGTCTGCGAGTCTGCCAGCTTGATCAGAGGTTTCGGTTGGAGAATTCAAAGCAAAGAAGATGGAAGAAACACCAAAACAGAACCCAATAAAATAAGGCTTAACCAAGGCAAAAACAACATGAGTTTAACTCAAATGGATGTAAAACTAGAGGAAAGAGTGTAGGAGTTTTAGGAGCCCTTCTAGGTAGATGCACCTACCTCACGCATCATCAGGGTACTGTCTTGTGAATTTTTGCCGAATGAATCATTGGAATGAGAATCCTCCTGGTTGCCCAATGAGTCAGTGCCACCCTGGCCAGCAGAAGGCCTGATGGAAAAATTAGGATAAAAAAAATAACATTAATGGCTTTTATAGAGATATTTTTTACAATAATTCTTATAATATTTTTTCTTTTGGAAAAATGCATTTTTTCATGTAGTATAATAAAAGTACTTTTTACAGTTTTTGGGGTTAATTTTATCAGCCTCCTAAAAAATTATAATTTTTAGTTGGCTACAGAACAAACCACTGTTATCCAATGAATTGCCTTATTAACCTACTGTAGCAAAGCCTTTAAATTGTGCATTAAGTTAAAGGAGCTGTATGCAGTTTTTGACTCTTCTAAACCATAAAACACCATTATGTATGTTGGCAGATATTTAAGAAATATGCTAAGTGAACATTCTTGTTTATCTGAAAAACTATGCTAAGGTCAGTTATTCTGCTTTGAAAATCTGAGTTACGTGCCGGAAATTCTGTCTTCGTTTTGGTTCTTTTAACCCGCCCACTTCCAGTTTAGCCATCTATATTTTAGCACGTTGGGTTCCCTTCATGGGAAACATCAGATTTCATTCATTTAGTCCGGAAGGCTCTCAAAGTATGCGCCTGTGACTGAAATGCAACCTCTGGTGGATAGTATCAGACTCCAAAATGAGAGTCACATGAGGTGATTAATTGGTAAATAATATAAATGTTAGAAACGTAAACATTAGGTGAGCAGGTTACATTGTAACCCTGTTTATGAGCAGTGCCGGAGCATGCTCTGATGGAGAGAAACCGTAGACGCTCTGACTTGTGGCCAGCTTGTTTCCAAGGCAGAGCACATTTCAGAAAGTTTTTTGGCTTATTTCGTCAATTGTGCAAATAAATGTAGGTGTTTTTTGACACTGATTCAAGACAGAGGCAATCAGCATCAGCGCTGGTTTGGCATCACCTTATCTGTGTCAAACTGTGACCAGCAATATCCTTCTTTCATTTTGCTTCTTTGGCAAAATGTGTCTGTAGGCACCTGTGGTTGCATATTTCTTGCCCGTTAAATTCGGGGCTTCAGTGTCATTGCTTGACGGAGGGAGTCTCTGAAGTTGGCAGCGTCAGCCAGTAAAAAAAGTCTTCAATAGGCTACTGTCTGAGCTAGGGTGTTTGCATAAAGTATCTGATTGGCTCCATTTGCACTTGAAAAGTTGAGAAATTTTGAGACCCACAATTCAGTTCGGCAATGCTTACAGTCACCCATTCAAAGTGAAAATGGGGCATTACCATCCCGCAAGTTGACAAATATGCATTTGTTTAAAAATATGAAAAATATACATTTTTAATTGTTTAACTGATACCAAAAACTGAAATAATTAAAAACGCACCCTTTCAGTTATCGGTTAATCAATCATTTTGAGCATCCCTAAACATTACATTTAAAGATGTGTTAAAAATATTCTGTCGGTTAAACAGTACTTGGGCAACATCTGAAAAAAAATCCACAGGAGAGCTAATCATTTTGCCTTCAGTTGTACGTGTATAAATATAAAACAACTTCATTTGAATTAAATAAATTTTTAAAAAAAATTCTTCAGTGGTGAATATTTTCAGAGAAAATATGAATTGATTGTAATTCAATGTAACATTTTATTAAACTTGCAAGCTCAATAAATAGTTTGTGTTTTTGGTGTAGAATTAAAAAGAACATTTTGCCAGTGTAAAGTGCATTGTTGGTCAGTACCAGCAATTGTCTGTAAAAGGTATGGTATTGCACTCAATGTGAAAGAAAGGTTCATTTTAAATGTACTCTAGTATTAAAGATTGACCCTACATGTCAGCTAAATTAAGTTAAAGCACTTAAATACTAAAAGTGCAATTATAAAAGTATTTAATGATTAATGAATAGCAATAATGTATAATATTTAAACCAAAAAATAAAACAAATCTACACATCATAAAATTCAACAATTGGTTATGAGCAGTGGTAAACACCATACTGACAGACTAAAATTCACCAAAAAAAATCAGGTTCACACTCACATGATGCGTGGTATATCACTGACAGGCACTGTGCCATCATGAGCTCCACCCTCTCCATCCTCTTCCTCACTGCTCTCTGAATCCTCACTGGATGAGGAATATTCCGTCACTTTCCTCGGTGGCCTGTTGGTGTCCTCATTGGTTCGCAGCTCACGCAGTTCTTTGGCCAGAGCAGTGAGGTCCTTTAAGAGAGGGAAGACAGACAAATTCTTTATTCATGCCTTTTTACATTGATTTATGCGAAATATTAATCCACCAAAACTTGAACAGCATTTAATCATTAAAGGGACACTCTATTTTGAAAATAGGCTTATTTTACAAGTCACCAACAGTTGAGTGTTACCATTTTGAATACATTCAGTTACCTCTGGATCTGACGGGAGCACTTTTAGCTTAGCATCACTAAATTGGACTACACCATTAGCAACTCTCTTAAAAAGGTTTTGATAATTTTTATATTTGAAGCTTGACTTCTGTAGTTACACTGCACACTAAGACCGACAGAAAATGAAAAGTTGTTATTTTGTGGGCTGAAATGACTACCCTACCGAAAAAAACAGCTTAAACCAGCCTAGGCTGGTTTTAGCTGGTCGACCAGGCTGGTTTTAGAGGGGTTTTGGCCACTTCCAGGCTGGTTTCCAGCCATTTCCAGCCTGGTCTTAGCTGGTCAGGCTGGGAGATGACCAGCTAAAACCAGCTTGACCAGCCTAGGCAGGATGGGAGCCCAGCCAAAACAAGCTATGTCCAGCTTAAACTAGACTGGTCAAGCTGGTTTTAGCTGGTAATTTTCCAGCCAGACCAGCTAAAACCAGGCTGGAATTGAGCCTGGAAATGGCCAAAACCCCTCTAAAACCAGGCTGGTCAACCATCTAAAACCAGCCAACCAGCCTAGGCTGGTTTAAGCTGGATTTTTCAGCAGGGTATACTCTCCTTTCTTCTATGCTAAGCTAAAAAGGCACCCAGCAGCAAATGGTAAAACTCCTGAAAATTATCTATGCTAAACTAAAAGTGCACCCACCAATTAATAGTAAAACTCCTTCTAATGATCTATGCTAAGCTAGGCTAAAAAGTGCACCCACAAGCAAATGGTAAAACGCATTCAAATGAACTATAATAAGCTAATAGTGGACCCACCAGCAAATGTTAAAACTCCTTCAAATGACCTATGCTAAGCTAAGCTAAAAGTACCCCCACCAACAAATGTTAAAACTCCTTCACGTGACCTATGCTAAGCTAAGATAAAAGTGCACCCACCAGAAAATGGTAAAACTCAACAGTTTAGCTCTAGGGGAGTTGTAAAAAGAGCCTTTCCAAAAAAGCCGGAGTGTTCCTTTAAAGCCTCTGAAGAGCATATGCTACAATGATAGTGATCAATCTGTTAGTACGAGTCAAAACAACAACCTTCGTTTTGCACATTTAGGTCATATAAATGGCACCGAAGAGATTTCCAGAAACAAAGGAATAAGCAAAGCATTACAGATGAGCAACTAAAGTAAGCTTAATAAATCAACTCTGAAAGTGGGGATTAAAACATCAGTCATCATTTCGAAGAATGATGCACAACTGTATAAACCATCACGTGCACAAGTCAGAGAAATCAAGGACACTGAAGAACCGAAGGCGAGCGGGGGGTCGTTCCTGAGGCCTGTGCCCTGCATGCAGGAGGTTAGTGGGGTCAGCAGTTTCCGCTCTGGTTCTTTCTTACCAGCTCCTCCTGTCCACAGGCCACCAGCAGCCGGAGAGAGAGAAAATATCATTGGGAAACCAGGAGTCAGCGAGAGAACTCTTATATTTAAACACTGATTCTTCAATGGGATGCTGGTTTCTAGGGATGTAATGATTCACTCAACTCGATACATGATTTTGAATTCACGATTCAGCTTTTTCCTGATTTTTTAAAGTGATAGTTCAGCAAAAAAGGAACTGTTACTCACTATTTATTCATTCTCAAATATTTAAAAACCTTTTTGAGTTTCCTTCTTCTGTTGAACACAAAAGAGGATATTTTGAAGAACCATCGACTTCCATAGTATTTGATTTAATGACTATGGAAGTCGATGGTTATAGATTTTCAGCTTTCTTCAAAATATCTTCTTTTGTGATCAACAGAAGAAAGAAACTTAAACAAGTTTAGAACAAGTGAAAGTAAATAACAGAATAAAACCTTTGGGGTGAACTATCCTTTTTTAAAAAGGAGACTATAAAGACAAACAGTAAATATTCTTTTATTAGGCCAAGGGTGCTCAAACTCTGTTCTGGAGGGCTGATGACCTGCATAGTTTAGCTCCAACTTGCTTTGACACACCTGCCTGGACGTTTCTATTATAGAAAGAGACTGGCTTGATTAGCTCGTTCAGGTGTGTTTAATTGGGGTTAGAACTAAAATTTGCAGGATATCGGCCATCCATGACCGGGTTTGGGCATCTCTCCTTGCTGGAAAAAACAGCTTAAGCCAGCCTAGTTTTAGAAGGGTTTTAAGCTTTGGTTAAGGCTGGACATAGCTTGTTTTACCTGGTCATCTCCCAGCCTGCCCAGCAAAAACCGGGCTGGAAATAGCTGGACACCAAACCCCTCTAAAACCAGCCTGGTCAACCAGCCAAAACCAGCCAACCAGCCTAGGCTGGTTTAAGTTGTTTTTTTTTCTGTAGGGCGTGTAAGGCTATATGTTTCATAGTGAAATTAAAATATAACAAAATTCATTTGATTTGCTGTTTGTTTAAATTAAGTTACACAAATAAATATTATCTCGTTATATAAAGGAAAGCTTTGCCTGTGCTCTGTCTGTATAAAATCAAAAGCAACCAATGCATTTCAATCATGATCCCAACAAAGGTGGTGTATACATGCAGCATAAGCAGTTTTTGATCTTTATCAGACCGTATATCACGAAATTTAAAGCAAAAACAGATTTGTCTGACTTTAGTTATGTGAAAATATCGTCATCAAACGTGTGAGGGAAACAAGACGAACTGAATGAACCGCAGAATCACTCTCTGCCAGCAGATGGCGCATGTTTTCGGTTTCTCCAATTCACTTATGTCCTGGATTATGTATATTGAATATGTATGAAGACAGTTGTGCTTCGTCTACTGAAGAAAGAAAATAGGTTGATTTATAATTAATACAAGCAAGTTGTAATGCTTACTGTTTTTGTAAAAAAAATGTTATCGCCCCTCCTTTGGACTTAATTACGTGTTTGGCTTATGAAAAGCTCACACATGCAATAAATAAATAAAAAAATCCTCAGAATTTTGCGATATCTGGCAGGTGTTTTTGAACATTTTGAAAAATGGAGATATTGAAGAAGCTTTGGAAATCTGAAGTTGTGGAATGTGAATGATTGATTAGATTAATTTTATTTTTTAATTATTAATAAATTTTTATTTTTTCCCTAAACCGGTCTTGAGTTTTGGGTATTGGGGTTTAATTTATTGTAAAACCTTGTAAAACTTGATGAAGACATGTTCACAACACTTTGTATGTTTAACGGTTTATAATGCTTTTCTTTATGAAATATAATGCTTACACAATCCCTTATAAACAACTTATAACGTGTTTGAGTCACTGTACATAATTGTTAATTGTAAGAAATTTTACTTGCTTTGATTGTATTTAACATAACATGACAATAACATTAAGTAATGAGTAAAGAAACGCTTTACTTTAAAAATGAAGTAATAATATTTGAGTTAATTTTTTAAAAATGTAAATGTAATGAGTTTCTTTTTAGATTAAGAGAGAATGAGCTCCCAGAGGAAACAGACAGAAACCAAGATGGCAGAGCCTTACATTTCTGTGATGGAAGAATTCTCAATATTTTAAACACATTGAAGAATGGACAGTGATTTAACTCAACTAATAAGACAAAAATACAAAAGTAGCAAACGCATTGTGTTCAACTTTTAATAATCTGTTTACACAGCATGCAAAGCATCAGGAACTTCCCAGAAGGTAAGATTATTCAAATTTTTTAGATTAGTTTTGTTAAAGGTAAAAGAAGGTGTAGGTTATACAGTGTGTCGTTAAATGTAGAGCTCCTCTATTAAAAAAAAACACTGAAAGTTCTAAAAGAGATCAAGCCTAACTAAGGCAGGTATGAAAAAGTAACACAAAAGTAACAACGCATTACTTTCCAAGTAAGTAGTTACTTTTTTCAAGAGTAACTCAATATTGTAATGCTTTCAAAAGTAACTTTCCCCAACACTGATAAGAACCACTTTATACTTCTTTCCCTCACTGCCTTTCTTTCATTTCAAGAGTTCACACTTAGCTGATGATTAATTATAATATGATACAATATAATATATGGTTTGGCATGCTGTCCTGGTAGAGAGCACTGAGCTTACAAGATCCTTGAGCCTGGGGCTACCTCCCGTTTGCAGGGCCAGAGGGAAGTTTGAGCTTAGGTAGGTCTCGAGAACAACAGTGCTAACTACTGGGCTACCATGCCGCCCTACAGAAGGAAATGTGGAGGAGTAGGGGTGAAAAGAGGGCATCTTCAAAACAAACTGTAGTAAGAAATTCTGATTATTTATAGTAAGTTAGGAATCATCGGATTGATAAATCATGGATTAGTTATTGCAGGACCTGCCGTCTTCAATCATAATCACATGCTCCTCTCAAAATGAGTAAATAAATAAACTTCACTCAAATAAAAAAGTGAATACTCTTATTTTGCCACAGCTAAATCAATAGTAAAATTTCAGTTTATACCCCAAAACTCACATTATACGTCTCAACAAAATTAAACACACTCTCATTTCCTTGACCCACACCAGCTAGGTCACAAATAAAACTCTTTGTCAAGGATCACGGACACTGTGAACTGTGAAAAATTGGTGCGATGGAGAAATGTGCAGCTAATGATGGCGACCGACGTGTCATTTGAAGCTGTGAAGGAGAGCGACAGACAGAGAGATCGAAGGGAAGTTAAGGAATGTGAGTTGGTGTGAAATATTGATGAGAGAACGATTGAAGACATGAGAGGCCGAGTGACAGAAATAGATGAGACAGAAGAGTACTTTGAATGGTAGGAAACACGAAACTGGGCAGAGAGAGAAAGATGAAGCGAGAAAATGTCACTAACCTCATCTACGGCTTTCTTATAACTCTGGAGAAAGAGAACCGACAATAGAGAACCACGGGTGGAGGAACAATTGAGCGGATTAGACAAAATGGTAAATGAGAGAATGGTTAGTAACACAAAGCGGCACACACATAGATATATTTTAACATGTGCCCAGAGCGAATGTCTAGATAAGGATTCTACCTAGAGGTTGTGGAAAGGTTATGAACAGGTTAGCTTAAATGAGACTTAGTTGGTATATTAAAGACCCCATAAAATTGATTTAAAAATGGAGCTTGTGTACAGGGACTATTAAAGGGGTTGAAACTTTCAAAAGAGCTTCAGGATTTCATAAATGTGAAAAACAAAGACAGAATCATTCAATCCCATCATAAAACTGTTTAAAATGGATTGGCCTGGAGTCTGGCACACTTTTGATTAATACATTAGAATTATGAACAGACACCTAAGCAAATGATGATGTGGACTAATGTTTATGAATATTATACTGCTAAAAACAGAAAGGAAAAAGTCACTTCATGATTTATTATATTGTTTTATGTGAAAAAATTAATGTTTGTATACAGTCAGAATAAGTTAATAATAAGTCAGAATTATTAGCCCTGCTGAATTATTAGCCCCCTGTATATTTTTTCCAAAGGTCTGTTGTATAGAAAGATTTTATAAACACATTTCTGAACATAATAGTTTTAATAACTCATTTCTAATATTAGTTTCTTTAATCTTTGCCATGATGACAGTACATATTATTTGACAAGATACTAGTATTCAGCTTAAAGGTGCTGTATGTATGTTTTTGACTCTTCTAAAGCATACAATTGTTTTAGCTTTTATGTTTTAGTAATTTTAACCTGCCCGATGCCACTTTAGCCAATTATATTTCAGCAGCCCGGGTTGCCTAGTTGGAAAACTGCATATTTTATTAATTTCTTCATTTATTTATTCATTTAGAAAAGCTCTCAAAGCAAGCGTCCGGGACCGAAATGCGACCTCTGGTAGACAGTAGCAGCCTCTGAATGAGCTGGAAATTCAGAGTTCCACATGAGGTTATTAATTAGCAAACAATATAAATATTACAAACGTAAACATTAGGTGAGCAGATTACATTGTAACTGCGCGTCTTAACAACACACTACATGATGAGATTTACAGTGCAATATAAGCAATCTGGCTGTTTGCACCAGACAAAACACGACAAAAATTTAAATACAGTCATTCAGAAGCACAGAAAAGGCACTTAGTCATGAAGGTTTATAATTTAATTAATACATCTTAAACCTCTTTAACATTATTATATGTACATGCTGAATCACTATGCGTTGGTTTGCATTAACACTGAATAAAGCTGTTGTTCAGCTCCAAGAAATAGATCATAATATAGATAATATATCAATTCGAGATGTTGGTTAGAACAAAACTATGGAGTATATTCCCTTTATCGCGTGCCGTTGCTTTTATTTAGAACACCACTTAAATCAGACTCACTCCTCAATCTGGCAACATGCATTTGCGTTTGTTTTGATCCAGCAATGTAATACCTAGATCAACCACTGTGTCAAACTTACATACTGCACCTTTAAAATGTAATTTAAAGGCTTAACTAGGCTATTTTGGTTAATTAGGTAAGCTATGGTAATAAGGCAAATCACTTGTTAATGCCGCAGTCACACTAGAGTTTGAGCTTGAGAAATTCTCTCGTACGGCGCTGCGAAAAGGGGCGGGATTAAACAAGATGAGTAGACATTAAAAAAAGCAAGCGATTGGTCCATGTTTTAAATTCCTGTACAGAGAGGTCATGTTTTGATCCTTGATTGGTCTCATGTAGTCAAGTGATGCGATTTCGCAGATAAAAGTTCACCAAGCTTGAACTTTCCAACGCATCGATCTTTGAAACTTGACGCACGACCTTGTGTTTCTGGTCTGACGCATTCGCGATGAGACGCAAATGAGAGAAGTCTATGGGGAGAAAAGTCCATTGTGACCGCAGCTTAAGGCTGATTTGTTCTGTAGACAATGACAAAAAGATATTGATAAAAATAGAAGAGGGCTAATAATATTGACCTTAAAATGTTTTTTAAAAAATGAAAAACTGCTTTTTATTCTAGCCAAAGTAAAACGAATAAGAATTTCCCCAAAAGAAAAATATCATAGCAAATACTGTGAAAAAAATACTTGCTCTGTTAAACATAATTTGGTAAACATTTAAAAAAGGAAATAAAATTCTAATAATTTTGACTTCAACTGTAATTTTATGTAGGAATAAGTAATTTTGCAGAACCTGAAATTGAGGAACAAACTAAGATGTATTTTAAAGCAGGTTCTAATATGTAACTGTAAAACTGTGTAAATATATTTGTAATTAAATAATGTAAAATTGTCATGACTTCAATTACTTAGAAAAACTTTCTGACAACTAAAGTTCAATGAAACTATTTTTATATCCAGAAATACAGAATATAAAAAAGTAAAAATGTAATTTTCTATAATAATATATTATACAATATATATTTTTATAATGCAATAAAATAATACCTGGGAAAAGCTAAAACAGATTTCTCGTGACCCTACTTGTATAAAGTATATTGACTTCAAAATCATAATGAAAGTACTACGTGCTGAAATACATAAATTTTAAATTGAATGAGGTCTTTAATTGATGGATAAGACACTGAGTTCAGAGAGAACATCAACAGTTTTTGAGATATTAGGAATAGAGTGAAAATATTCAAATAGAGTTAATGGGAGAGTTCATCCAAAAATCTAAATTGGCTGTTCTGTTGCTTAATTAATTTATTCCCTGTATGTTTTTTTTTTTATTTGATTTGGTGTTTGGTTGATTGATGACTTTACAAATCACCAATTTCAGCTAAAATCTTCTTTAATGTTGTATTCATTCATTTTCCTTCAGCTTAGTCTTTATTTATCAGGGGTCGTGGCAGCAGAATGAACCGCCAACCATTTCAGCTTATGTTTTATACACCGTTCTATGTTTTACTCATTCACATACATACACTAAAGCCAATTTAGTTAATCCAATCCACTTATAGGACATATTTTTAGCCTGTGAGGGAAACAGGAGCACCCAGAGGAAACCCACACCAACACAGGGAGAACATGCACACTCCACACAGAAACGCCAACACGAACCAGCAATCTTCTTGCTGTACCACAGTATGTTCTTTTCAATGTAATGTAAATAAACAGCCAATTTAAATGTCTGGGTGAATAATAATAATAGCTTCTTTAGGGTTGGCTGTTCTCATTTTAGTTTATCCTGGTCTCAGAAACAAACCCTGTGAAAGCAGAAATGTGTGTTACAGTTTGGTGATCTCTGTGGATTCTGGGAAGTGTGTTTCTCACCGCGGGTCGGCTGGGTCTGGTCACCTCCCTGTTCTCCTCTTGGGTTTTGGCCTTGGGTTCTTGGGACACTGCTGGTGATCCCTCAGGTTTATTGGAGCCTGTGGAGAAAGCGGAGCGTCAGGAGTCTGTGCAGAGGCCTGGTGTTTGTGCTCAGACTGAGGGAATATTCCAGAGGGTCTCTCTCACCTCCCAACCGGTTCCTCTCACTGGAGCCGCCCTGAGAGCTGGGTGTGCTGGAGCTGGAGGAGCTGCCACTGCTGGTCCTCTGGAGAGAGGGCTCCACGGGGATACGCAGGTCTGGGTTACTGCGGAAACACGATCATACAAGGAAGATGCAGAGGTTTTATTTCAGCCATAGCAGTTTTATTCACTTGTCATTGACAGCTGAAGGATTGATGAATCTTTCCATTTTAATTGAGTAAAGTACACATGAAATCAAAACTAACCATATTGATTTTGTTAGCTTACATTGCTAGTTTTGTTGTCAACAATTCATCTGTGCATGTCAAAGTTTATAAAAAAAAAGTTTACAATTAAAATCCTTAAATAAAATCTGAATATGCGCTTCCTGTTTGTTTTCAGTTAAACTCTCAGATCACGTCGGTCTAAGGTATTTGGGCGTGGCTAACATACTTAACTACGCCCCTCCAACTGTCAGTTTTGACAGGTCTCTGACAACAAACAGAAATAGTATGTAGGAGGCATCTGTTAGGTTGTAATAACACTTCTAAAACTTTCCCTGATCTTTCTGAATGAAATGCCTACTTTATAATATCCAATCAGCTCACAGTAGAAAAAACAAGCCACGCCCACTGTTTTCTCATTTGATATTCTGTTCTCTAGAAACTACATCACAATACAAAACAACAGTCACAGCTTCCAGTTCATGCAGACTTTTAGTCAAATGTAATGATTAAAGCAGATTTTAAAAATATTTATTAAATGGCTGTCTGGAATACTCGTTTCTGATTGGTCAGTCGTGACATACCAAGGCACCTGAGATGCTTAACTGCTAATTAGCGCAGGCTCATCCTGGAACTTTGAATCATATTTACCCTCAGTGAATACGTTTAAAGCCATATATTTACATCCACATTCATATGCATCTACTCCGCTTTGCAGGCTTTATTCTCTGATAACAACCTCCTGGATGCACTTCATTCCCAAAATATGTGATCTTGGACCACAAAACCAGCCATATGGGTATAGAAGTGATAAAAAGTGTTGGGCCAACATACTATTTGAATATCTGATCAAAATCTTGAGCAAACAGCCTTTACAGTTGTCCAAAATAAGTTCTAAGCAATGCATTATCACACAAAAATAAAGTTTTTATATAATTACAGTGGAAAATTCACAAAATGTCCAATAATAAAGATAATCTTTATGTAATATACAGAGTATTTGTCATAAATAAAATCAATAATTTTAACCGATGCAATGTATTTTTAGCTATTGCAACAACAAAAAAACTTGTGCACCCAAACGCATCTTTGCTTCTAAACTTGCAAGACGTGGTGCTAAGGAATCTATTTTAAAAAGCACAGCATAGCACGATATCCTGATTGGTCCACTGCTTTTGAAACTGACATTGATGGGCTGTGCTGCATGTGAAAGTTAAAGATTTTTCAACTTGATACAGTATTAGTCAAATGTCTGTCAAGTGCATGTTTACATTAAAAAAAACAATAGAAAAGTAGTGAATTGTGAAGAAAAACGCATTATGTGTGAACGATCCCCTTGTGGTCCAGGATCACATATATACAGTTGAAGTCAGAATTATTAGCCCACCTGAGTTATTAGGTCTTGTTTATTTTTTCCCTAATTTCTGTTTAATGGAGAGATTTTTTTCAATACATTTCTAAACATAATAGTTTTAATAACTCATCTCTAATAACTGATTTATTTCATATTTACCATGATGACAGTAAATTATATTTTACAAGCTATTTTTTAAGACACTTCTATACAGCTTCAAGTGACATTTAAAGGCTTAACTAGGTTAACTAGGCAGGTTTGGGTAATTAGGCAAGTTATTGTATTATGATGGTTTGTTCTGTACACTATCGAGAAAATATAGAGCTTAAAGGGGCTAATAATTTTGAGCTTAAAAAAAGAAAAAAATTAAAAACTGCTTTTATTCTAGGCAAAAAATAAATAAAAATAAAAATAAGACTTTCTCCAGAAGAAAAAAAATATTATAAGACATACTGTTAAACATCATTTGGGAAATATTTAAAAAAAGAAAACAAAAAAATTCAAAGGGGGGCTAATAATTCTGACTTCAACTGTAATTTTTTGTAATTGAGGGATTATAGTTTAAAAATAGAACAAGATTTTGTTGCCATATCCCCCAGCCTCAGTTAAAGGAATGAAAGTAAAAATAAGAAAATGAAATACACATTGCTCTATTTTAAAATGAAGACAGAAGTTTAAAATTGAAAGAAGTATACTATACCTGGCTCGAATCAGATGTGCTCCGGTTCTTGGACCCAATCCGCCTGGTCCATTCCCAGGAGAATTTTTCCTCACCAGTGCAGGGGATATGGAAGTGGTCCTTTGGGGCACCTGAAGCATGATAACAGATGTTAAAAAGTTACATTACCAAGACACACTTCAGAAAATACACATTCTTTCCACTATTCATTTGGCTTTTATCCCTATATTAAAACATGAGAGCCATGCAAAAATATGCTATCATAGTGTTACAACATGAATGCTAAATATTCTGAATGCTAAATACGTTTTTTTTTTTTTTAATTTAAGATGGTTCAAACATTCAAGTTAGAAAGGATAGTGGAAAGTCATATAATCAAGCTTTCTACCCTTATGAATATTAATTATGGTTTTATGACAGCAACTATGTAGTAATTATGTTTGAGGGCAGGCTGATTGCCATTTGTATAACCACAATTTTACCACAAATACCATGGTTAAACTATAGTTAGAGTAGAAACTAGTTCAAAAGTTGAAAACTACTGCTTTATAATAATACTTTTTTGAAAGGTTCCATGAAATTAAAACACATTTTTTAGATGTTAGTATCAGAATTGTTCATTTTAGGATATCTATAATAAGCTAGTGCGCACCAAAATAGTGACAAAATTCACATTTATAACATATAAATCTGATATAAACATGTAAAACATGCAGTTTGTCACTTCCGCCTAAATTGATCACGTCACATCAGTTTCTCAGAAAATCCTGACCAATCAAAAGCTCTGTAGTATCTAACATACCCCACCCTCTTCAAGATGCTTCTTATTTGATGCGCTTGAGCTCAACCACTCTCACTGGCAGAGCTGAGGAAAAACTAAACGCTATTGGCTGTTTTTTTTAAGAGGAGGGGCTACACTATGTCCCGCCCTCTCTTCATATTTGGGTTGATATTATGTCTCGAATAATTAAATGACATCGAATAAAAACGGCCATTCCAAAGCTCTTCACGGGACATTTTAAAAAGACAACTACAACACATTTTGCTCTCGATTCTGACCTTTGGAGGCACGTCCTCCTCCTGCCTCAGCCAGGAGCCGCGATCGTCTCGGCTGGTGATGCGAGGCGGTGGAGCCGGGGTCTCTGATGTGGGGTCAGAGTTCTGCCGAGGCATCGGGGGTCTGTGAGGCGACAGACCCTCCTGGAAAGCAGAGACGCCCTGAGACGACTGATCATGCAGAGACTGGGATCCTGTCATGGAGGAGCCATGGGACTTCACTGAAACTAGATGTGCCATCTGAAAGAAGGACTCTGGAGTCAGTGTTTTCACAACACACCTAAACTCTGTCAACTACTACTGAACTCCATGTGTAATGCTGCATTCCACATAACTCAAAATAAGGATTGTTCTACTTCATAATTAGAAATAATTTCTAGACACTTTAAGTTGGAAGTCTGACCTTTGTACCTGTGAAAAATCAAACAACCCTGACTCAGCAAGACACCTCATTTGACGACACTCAAGCGGTACTTCTGGTTCCAGTGAGATCAGTGCAGAGAAAGGTACAAATAGTTTTTTTTCAACACGAAATGAGTGGAATATCTATTAATAAAGACTCTTTCTGATGTGATATTAGCTTTGTAGCTTTTTGTCAGCAATTCTCTTCACTTAGTTTTTGTCATAATTGCCACAATAATACAAAATCTGATTAAACATTCGTACCTCATGTATGGAATCCAGTCTGCTTCCTTTGAGTTAAATAGTAAACAACTTAGGGCCCTATCATACACCCGGCGCAGTGTGGCGCAAGACGCAGCGCAATAGTCTTTTGGTAGTTTCAGCTTGGCGCAAGAGTGGTTTTGAGGCGTTGCGCTACGCTGTTTAAATAGCAAATGAATTAGCGCTCATTTGTGCGCCCATAGGCATTCTGGTCTAAAAAGGGAGGCGTTCTGAGGCGGACCGCTGGCGCGTTGCTATTTTAAGAAACTATAATAGATTTTTTATTAGATCAAAACTAACCCGGTCTAAACTCCGGCACAGAGTTGCGGCTCGCTTACGCACTGCTTAATACGCACAAGAGAGCAATAGGCAAATATCTTTACATATGAAAATATTTAAATATTAAGGATATATATAGGATATAATAAGAATAGATATAGGATATAAATATAAAGGATTAAAATATTACAAAACACATTATTTTCTAGCCTACATAAATATGAAAAATCACTGCTTTTATGTCTTCTTCATCTCGGGAGGCTTTTTCAGTTCATTCATAACAATTTGCTTTTGTATAATGTTATTATTATTAGCAGTATGATTTAATATATCCATATGTATATTTGTTTTACTAAAAACAAGCTTAGATTTGCCCACCTGTCAGGTTTTAGACCATAAGGGGCACAGCATGTGTTTTAGGACATAACTCAGGTTTTTGAGCACATTTTGTTATTATTGTTCATTTATTCGTTTGCTGGAAATTAGAACTGAATTTAAAAATAGTTTTGAAACAAATCTTTGCGCTTAACAAACGAAATATTTATTTATAGACTAATTGATGTCTGTGCGTAAAGGTTTCCCTATCCAAGAGCGAATGTGAAAGTAGATCCATTATCTCTCATTCTCACGCAGTAGATGCTCTGTTTAACAGCTTTCTGTAAAAAAACTGTTAAATGTTAACTGTTTGCTTGTGAAATGCTCATTTTTTCCACTTAGACTTACTTTGCGTCCTGTAAATAGCGAATGCGCTCTTGGCGCGACGCAGCTGACTCTTAAAGGGAATGGTAGATGAGACTCTAATTGGTTTATTCTCAAAACACACCTATAACTCATTAAGAAAATAAACTCAACCCTTTTAGACCATGCGCCTTGGTGCAAAGCAGAGTTTCCTGCCCTTAAATGAGCAAAAACGCGTTCTGACACGCCCTGAAAGCGTTTGCTCCCTGCGTTTTGTGCTCTGCGCATGGACCGTCAAAATAGAGCCCTTAATGTGACTTCATAGCAAACAACATGAAAGTGGTTTGGAGTTTGCTTAAAGAGTTTTAAAACAGCTTACAAAACGTCAAAAAACATTCATGTAGAATTATCTGTGATCTGCTATTTCACGTAATCAGTGAGCGTGGCTCTGGGCTCCACCTTCTTTGAGCTCACACCAAAATCGTGCACTATAAGTAGGTACTACATCCGAATCTGAACCTACTTCAAGACCTTAAGAATGCTAGAACTATGTTAACTATGTATAACTAAGTTCATTATAGAATAAATAGAAGTATGAATGAAATTGGGACATACCTCATCTGCCATTTTGTCACTGACATATGACTAGCCCCACACGAAATCTGCACCCGCAGAAATCCGCAAATTTTATTTTTTAATGAAATATTATTATAGAAAATATATTCTGCCAGCTTGTTGACCACTGTTTTATCAAGAAATTGATACAATAAACCATTGTTTAAGGAAAGAGAGTTGAACGTTAAATGTAGACGCGGATTTTATAGTATATTATTGATTTACTTGTATAAATGTGTGTAAATTTATATTTATTCAGTTTTTTAATTAATTTCAGTAATATTACGGACTAATATGAAAGTGTTCATATGATTTATTTACAACACAGTTTGTAAAGTCATATTTTTTGTCTTTCAGCAGATATATTATATGACAGACTTGCTTTGTTTGCCCAATAAGTGGATCTAATAAAATTTGCATTGTAAACATTAAATAAAAGTTAAAAGGGTATTCTTTTTTATTTCAAATATTAAGTTTTTAGTTATGAAACTCCCAAAATAATTCCACATAAATCTGCAGATTTTTTACAAATTGTTGGCAGACTCTGTCTGGCCCTACATATGACCAACCCGTGTCTGTTGTGTCAATTTACTCCCATTCATAAATCTACTCTTGTGACTTAATGGGATATTAAAGAGCCTAGCTAATGTGTGCTTCAGAAGTAATAAGTTATCCATGTACTTCTTACGTCCTGTTTTTCAAATACTACAGATTCAGATGCACTACTCGGGTTAAGTACTATTTTTCACATACTATATAGCAGGAAAGTCTGTGATTTTGGATTTTGGTTTATGTCCTCAGCTTAGACACTGCAAAAAATGTTTTTTTTCCTTACATTTATTGTCTCGTTTTATAGTCCAAACACTCAGTCTTAAATCTCGTAGCATTTTGTAGACCAGCAAAAAATACAATCTTGTTTTAAGAAATAACATCCCTACAATACACCAAGAGATTTCATTACAAATGATCCTGGAAACTATGAAGAGGTGGTAGTGAAGGAGGATGTTTACCTTGTAACTATATTACAAGTGTGGCAGCCAAGAAGAGTATAACCAGGTACTGGTATAAGCATGATACCCCTTTATTGTGATTGGATACAAACTGTGACAGAAATAAACAACATGGAAGAACTGACATTTATTTTGAGACTTAAAATAGACTTCTTTTTAAAACATTGGAAGAAATAAATTGAATACTGCATTGTTAACAACTGTTGAATGCATTGAATCTATAACAATGTAAACCTTCCTCCAATGTTGTGTTTTTATTTATAATTTTTGTTTATTATTTCATGTTGAATATTAGAACATTTTATATCTTTGAAAGTAAAATGTTCTGTTGTAAAATGTAAAAAAAGTTCATAATAAAAATAACCTAATAAAATAAACACTTTATTTTCAAAAGGAAAACCAAATAATTTGACTTACCCCTTGGCAGATTATTTTGCTTGTTTTAAGGAAAAACCTGCTTAATTTTGACAGATTATTTTTGAAAACAAGACAATTTTTTTGCTGGTCTAAAAATGCTTCTTGATGTTAAATATTTGGACTAGAAACAGGAAAAAAAAAATCTAAGCATGAAAACAATTTTTGCAGTGAACTATTAAGACACTGGGTCTTTAGAGAGAGATCTGAATGTACCTGAGGCTCCACGGAGCGATGCATTGGAGGCGTTCGGGCCTGCTGTATTCCTCCACTGCTGAAGGACTCTGAACGGGGAGGGAGGGAGGGGTCTGAAATACGGTTGGCCACTTTGTGCTGGAGAGCCGGAGAGCTCTGGCGATTCAGCTTGGATCGTTCCTCAACCTGACAGACAGAGAGGATGTTAGTGTCCACACTGCTCTTCACAAGCAGTCTGTTTCCTCTTTGCTCGAGTCAGAATGGACTGCAGAACTGCAAAGTGGCTCATGTGTAACACTTCAGGATCTACACAAAATTAAAATGTTTTATTTTTGCTTGTTTTAAATGCTTTTAATTTCAAGCAATTAAATCCAGATGAACAAATGTTATACTCAACATATATTCACTCATTTATTTTCCTTCGGTTTAATCCATTGTTTATCAGGGGTCACCATGGAGGAATGAACTGGCAACTTTTCTGGGATATGTTTTATGCAGTGGATGTGCTTCCAGTCGCAATCTCAACAAATATATATAATAATATAAATATAATACTTAACAAATGTCTATGCTATAAATATTTATCAAAATATCAGGTTTGTTTTATTGAAAGACGTCTCTTAGCTCATAAAGAATGCATTTACTTGATCTAAATGACTGTTATTGTAATATAGTATTATATTAGATTATATATATATATATATATATAACAATAAACACCAACAAAAGTTTTAATATCTAAATCTAAAGGTTTACTTTTGATCAAAATTATACCATTTTGCATATCTCGTTACATTTAGAATAATAAGCAACAGGGAGTTGGTCTTTCTAAACTTTGTAAACCAAAAGATCTTGGGGGTCTCTCCTTACCCAATCTCCAGCTTTATTATTTGGCTGCTTAACTCAAAATAGGCATAGGCAGGATAGGCAGCACGCTCTATGGATTGACATTGAATCTTTAGTTTGTCATCCAAAAAGATTAGATTTCCTGTGGGTTATTAATAATATAATTCATATAAACTCTCTTACTGACAATGTGATTGTCTATAATACATTACTAGTTTGGAATGATGTAAAAAACATTTGCATATCCTCCAAACTATGTCCAACCATCCATTCCCCCTTTGCCTTTGAACCCAGACTTCCCAACTCAGATTAGGAGCATCGGATTGAGGGACTGGAGCTCTAAAGGTTTGTCTGACTTTTCAGGAATGTTTACATCTGAAATTGTGAAATCATTTGAACAAATTAGAACAGAGATTGATTTTCCCTTCGAAGAGTTTTTTTTAAATATCTTCAAATTCTGCATTTTATAGAGTCCCTATTAAAGCAAAGCCAATTCCATTTTAAATTATCGATACTAGAAAAAAACTATGCTGTCAGTTCTTTTAAATGGCTTATTTCTAAATTATATGCCTTATTAGTTTACTCTGAATCGTCAGTCTTAAAGCCCTATGAGAATGGGACCTAGGAGTTCTGTTTAATCCTGAAGATTGGTCCAAAATCTTTGTTGGTACTTTTCCAAAATGTTCATCAATTTCCATCCATAAACAAAATTTGACATTTTTCCCACAGAAATTCCATCCTTGGTCTTAAGTGCTTGTCAGAGCACATTTTTTCATGTATTTTGGTCCTCTGTTCACATTCAACCATTTTGGGAAGGGGTTCATTCTGCAATCAAGGAGATAATTGGAAAACGTTTTATTTTCTTTCCCTCACTTTTTTGGTTGAATGATATTCCTGAAGACCTTTTTGACTCAAACCTCTGTTTACAACTCTTACATTTCTGGCTAAGAAATGTATATTACTAAAATGGTCTACTCCTCAAATTTTAACCATTTCCATGTGGATTTCTCAGTTGTCAGTCGTTCTTCCATTGGAAAAATTAACTTCTGACCTCAACCACAAGCAGGACAAATTCAGGAGACTTTCCCTTTTCAGGAACCTCTCCAATCATTTCTACATAAACTCTGAAATCGTTTATTTAAAAAGCGTTCTGGCTTCTTTGGTTTTATTTTGATTATTATTATTATTATGATTTAAAACTTAGATTTGTAATTTTTTAATTAAATTGCAGCCCTTGGCAATGGTTTGTTTGTTTGTCTGATTGTCTTTGTTTTTTGTGCTATTTAAAAATACCTTAATGAAAAATAATTCTGCCATTTTTGTGTTATATTTAAAAATACTTTCTACATTAATATATAAATCTATATTTTTTTCTCCACTATTTAGGGTCTGAAACCATTAAATATATTCTATAATATAATATGTAAAAATGTTATGAACAAGATTTTTATTTGAAATAAAAAAAAAATCCCCACCAAATTTGCACAAAATGAACCGAATACATTATTATCAACACAAATAATATTATACAATTATGCAAGATTAAATGCTAATTAACACTGAATTATTGAATTTAGTATTAAAACCATAAAGACCAATTACATCATGTGACTTTAATGCATTTGTATAAATTATATTGACAAATGAGTTTACCTTTTCATAACAGAAAAAGCTAATAACATCCTTCTGTCAATCTTATTCATCTTTAACATTGACATAATCACCCGACTTGGAGTTTTTCAATCTGTAATGAAATGAGTGTGTCCCAATTTAAAGAGACGGCCTCATTACCAGACATTTCAGATATTTTTAGAGCTGCTCCCTCAGCTTGACTGAAGACCATCTTTTATTCAGTTCTGCGAGCCCAATCAAAGTCACTCGATAAGCAAAGACGAAACATATAAAGCAAAAGACGAAAGATGAAACATCATCAGGTTAGAGACAGAAAGGAAATGTTTAGTCCATCGTGTCCAGTACGGTAAAGAAGACGCTGAGAAGAAGCTGGATGTTTCTGAATTGTCAAATCCAAACAAGCTTCGGAATTATCATGCACCATTCACAAGCATTTTCAGAGATGACAGGAATCACTTATGAACCATCTAAAAGTCAAGTTAACGTTGAGACAGAAAAACCCAAGTTAGTGAGAAACTGCTTCATTGCTTCTGTGAGAATGAGGGGAGTTTTGGATCTGAAATGACACACAAACTTCAGCACATAATCTGTGTCTACATTTAACGTTCAACTCTCTCTTTAAACAATGGTTTATTGTATCAATTTCTTGATAAAACAGTGGTCAACAAGCTGGCAGAATATATTTTCTATAATAATATTTCATTAATGATGATAATAATGACAGCAGTACATAAGATGGAAGAAGGTCCTATAAATGTGGCTCAGTGGATTGAGAGACAAACCGTTCTATATAAGGGAAAAAAGGACTGCATGTCTACAAATGAAGACGGATATTGTTCTGAAGAGGTGGAAAAGTACTGCAACATATTTAGACATAGAGGTTAATTAACTGATCATCATTGTAATCTGAGGTAACTACAATGTAACTTGTACAAATGTGTCCCCTTAAAAGTATTTCTGATGGCAGTACTTTACTTATTTTGTATTATTTTTCTTGTTTCATTTTTAAAGTTGTATATAATTATTATATATTTTTATTTATTCCCTCATCTTCAAGGGATTCAATTGTTGGGGAAGAAGTTGTTTAGAAAAATAAAAATATTGAAAATTAATAAATAATGTTTAATCTTCTATTTTTAACTAATGCAATTAAAAAGCCTCTACTCCAATGAAAGGTAACACAAGCTTATTGTACATATATATTGTTTATATATATATATATATATATATATATATATATATATATATATATATATATATATATATATATATAGACAACAGTTCTGTCTGATTCTTGAATCTGATTGGCTGATAGCCGTGCTATATTATGCAAATAACAGCAATTGTCCAGCCTCTTAACTCTTCACTCTTGTGTGCTACTCTGTACTCTGCCCACATACAGCTACAAGCAGAGGACACTCTACAGTTTGAAAAATATTGCTGCTGTTGGACAACATAATGTACTTTTGCTTTTTAGTCACAAATGTAGTTGCTTAGATTGCAAATATGCAGTTTATTTATAAGGATAGTGCCTATTTTAAATATTTATAATTTCAGAGCATCAGATTCAGTGCATCGGCCGCCATGAGCCTGTCAAAAAAAATTACCTGTTTTGTCATCACTTTAGACATTACGCTAGAGAATCATTCAAATACTAGCTCTAAAATGACGTTGGTGAATGAGTAACACTTTCTGCTGATCTAAACGTTAGCTGCAGAGGTGAATGAGTGGTGCAAGAAAGTAGTTCCTCGTACAAAAGGGTTTTTGAGACTCTGCATGTTTGATTTTCTGTTCTATATACATGATTATCGCGTCAAACTGATGTATAAAAGCAATATCACACGAGTAGCAGTGCTATATGGCTGTATATCAGTTCTGATGGGACACTAAGGCACTCGGCCTTCGACCTCGAGTCAACACGCCTCGCACCAGTGCCAATCTACAGCCATATCGCACTGCTAGTCTTGTGATATTGCTCATGTATATAAATAACTATTTTAAATAACTTTATATTTATTTGTGTTGTGTGATTTGTCATTTTAATTAGTGCTAATTGTGTTAATCTGCAAAACTGCTATATAAATAAGCTACTAAATAGCACCACCAAAGCCACCAGTAGTTGACAAAAATGTTACTGTCCAAGTTCTTGTCTAAGATTTACAGAAATTATTAAAATGATTTGTTCAAAAATATCGCTTCAATATGTTTTTATGAATTGATTGTTGAACCATTGACTACAAGGATTCATTCAGGAACAAACTGCCTAGTAAAACAAGTTGAGAACCACTGATTTAAGGCTACACATGGTCAAACAGATCCAAACCTCCCTTTCAAACATATCCAAATCACAATCCCGATTCCTCAGTTTATCAGCCTTCTGTAAGAAGAGAAGGAGTGGCGATAGAGGAGATCAAACAGAAGATTAAGGAAAATTAGAACAAGATGACAGCAAGAGTTAAAGCTGTCCGATGAAAATCCACCCGACTAACTGGAAACGTTCACCCAGAAAACAAGAGGAAAACAAAAAAGGCATTCCAGAAAGAATCATCCAAATGCCCCAGTAGGATGTTTTCCCCATTGATTCTTTATCAGTAGCTACACCATGACCAGATCGGGAAGCGTCTAGATCATGACAAACAGAAGGATTCATGCTAGCAGAGGCAGACCTTTGAGACGTATAAGTCTCTATCAATTTCAGCCCCTTTGCTGGAGCGATTGTGGCCCCGGGACTCTTGCTCAAGGTGCTGCTGGACCATCCTGGCCAGCTGGGATGGATCTGGTTCACAAGACACTCGGATTCTAGGAACGTTTGGCCCACTGACTATCCTGAGCTGGGGCTCGGCCAGATCCATCTCTCTGGAATGGGAAGATGCTGGGTAGGAAGGGGGTCTCGTGGGTTGATTAGAGGGGTTCTGGTCATGAGCAAGGAATTGGCCGACTCGTTTGTCTCCTGGACTGTTAAACGAATGGTGCTTCTTAGGAGGGATTCGAGGGGAGTTACTCTGAGCTCTCTCCATCACCTGTGTTCACATAAGCACAATAAAAGCGTTCAGATTGTGAGGCACAAAAACAAAGACGCAAAAAGGGCCGCTTAGGAGAGCGAGAACCAAAAAGCATCCATTGGATTCTGAAACAAACGGGAAGTTATTCACAGAAAAAAGTGAGATCAATTATATGTGGGAAGCCAAAAATTAAATTATTAGCAGGAGCAAATGTGAAAACTGACATAATGTCTGCAATAAAAACACTAGGGCTGAGTATGGATACAGATTCCTGATTCAATTTGACATATTGCTAAATGTGGCTGTGTCAGTTTTGACTTAGATTTGCTAAAAAATAATCAGCATGAACCAAATCAGTCTTTTTTCATCTTTTTTATTTATTTTTTTATTTATCAGGCCACATTAATGCAGTGTATCTTTTTTAATCATTAACAACACAAGAAAAAGCCTTGTGAACTGAAATTTAACTACGTGCTAAATTATATCTGATTCTTTTGGGAACTGTTTATTTCAGTGATTCATTTGGTTGATGGATCACCAACACCAAAGTGAGTTGTATGAAAGTTGTATGTATGAATAAGTCAATTATTATTTGTAAATAAAACCCCATTAACCACGTGTATATCATTATATCACCAAAAAATGACCTACATGAACTAGAAACAAAACCAAACCTCAAAAAATATGAAGTACCAAAGAATTAATTTAATTCACTCACTATAGTTATATTTGATTGTACAGATTTGATTTGATAAAAATAATCAGTTTACAGAGTCATTTGCTTGATGGATCAGCAACACCAAACCAAGTTGTATGAATCAAATCATAAGAGTCATTTATATTTTGTAAACATTAACAACATTAACAACTATTATTAAATCACTACAAACTGATCTACATGAACTAGAAACAAAGCCAAACCCCCCCAAAAATATTGAAGGCAAAAAAAAATGACTTCTATTAACTTGGCTATATTTCAGTGTTCAGTTTTGATTTGCTAAAATGAATCATTTCAAAGTTTTATTTGCTTGATGGATCAGCAACACATGACAAACAGAACAAGTGTATAAACGAGTGTATGAATCAACTCGCGAGTCAATTATTGTTTGTAAATAAGACCACATTAACCACATGTCATAATCAAAACACATTAATGCAGTGTGTTTTTGAATCACTAAACAAAACCAGCTCAAAAGAGTCGTTTGTTTTGTGAACTGACCAACCCAACCACTGTCTGGGGTTTTGACTCCCTGAAACGACCCAAATCATGTGTCCTTTAGTTCATGCAGCGTTTTTGAGTCACCAAATAAAACAAACTCCTTTTTTTTCATGAACCGACCTACACTCACACAGCATACGCTTTCTAATGAACTAAAAACATCTGAATCATTCATTTGTTAATGGATTGGCCATTGCTTACAACTCAAAAGTAATAACTGCCAATATTGTATCTGAAATATAACTGCAAATTCAGGAAATCTATATTTTTACCCAACCCTAGGTAGTACCATTCAAGTCAAGACCCTTAACCAGATCTCTCTGTACCTCTTTGGCCCAGGCCGGCTTATCACTTGGGTTGACCGAGTCTTTGTAGTGATACAGTTGTTTTTTGTCCGCAGGTCGTGGCTCCTGCTGCTGTTGTTGCAGTGAGACCAGGTAAGCCCTCTCCTGCTGGAGCTGCCGCTGCAACCGCTCGGCCTGACGCTGCTCCTCCAGCTGCTTGCGTTTATATTCCTATAAACGACAGAAGAGCAGGGTTTCACAGACATCGGGAGCAGAAAGCCACCTAAACACAACCCCATGCTAACAGCTTTGGGCTTTTGAGCGCCTAAAAATAACTGGGGGCTATCAGAAGTTGGAAAGATCTTCAAACTCGATGGCTCTACACACTAATCCCATCGATGGCCGGAGTGATAACAAAAAGAGCTCCCAAACACCTCAGATCAATTCACACAATCCATACTCTCTGTAAGGACTGACATAAGATGAAAAGAAAGAAAGTGGAAGAACTTAAGGCTTGGGTGACCAGACGTCCCGTTTTTTGAAGCATATCTTTTGTTGAGTCTTGAAGTAATCATGTTTAATTCACTTTTCTAAAAATTCTTAATTCGTTAATAAAGCCAAATTAATGGTAGCCAATGACGTCCCAGTATATTTTGAAGAACAAAAGTACCATCCATTCATATTTCCATATCTATCAATTTGCGGTTGAAGGTGTGATTTGCACAATCAGGTTGTACAGAGTAGAACTGCACAATATTGGAAAAATCTGACATTGTGAAATTAAGTTTCTCTGCTATCTATATTGTCGGTAACACTTTACTATAATGGTCCATTAGCTAATGCATTTAATAACATTAACTAATTATGAATAATAAAGCATTTAATAATCACAGTTTAACATCAACTAAAGCATTATTAAAATCAAAACGTGTGCTTGTTAACATTAGTTAATGCACCACAAGTTAATATGAACTAACATGAACAAATTTTATTTAACTTAAATAACATGAACTAATTTTAATCAATTTTAATAAATAGCATTATAGACATTACTAATAGTTTGTTCATGTTAGTTAACTAATATTAACTAATGGACCATTATTTTAAAGAGTTACCATATTGTAGGGGAGTGAATCATCACTGCTTATTCTGAGATAGGACTATTGTGGTTGTTGCTAGAAGGGATAAAGCTACAGCATAAAATTTATGAGAATTATTTTTATTATTTATTTAAATTACACATTAATTGTATTAATTTACGTCTAACCCTACCTTAACCCTAAACCCAACAATCAAAGTAATGTAAAAACAGAAATAATACAGAGTATTATTCAGTTCATTTATTACATTATTAACTCAAGTTGAATACCCCCATCCCAACCTTAAATCTACCCCTCACAGAAATGTAAAAATATCATGTTTGCTGTACAGTTTCACAAAAATAATTCTGTATTGATGCAGGTATGGATGGCTGTATCCCATCTAGTCATGATAAACTATTGAAAACATATAATATGAAGAAGAGTGTTTAGCTGAGTACATCTTCTAAGCTTTTATTACAACCAATATACAGTTGAAGTCAGAATTATTAGCCCCCCTGTATTTTTTCGCCCCCAATTTCTGTTTGATGTAAAAAAAAAAAAAAAAAAGATTTCTCAACACATACAGTTGAAACCAGAAGTTTACATACTCTACACTGAAAAAAAAAAAAAAGGCACATAACCATAAAAAAGTCAGCTGTTAATGTGACTAAACTTTCTCTTTTAGGTAAGTTAAGATTATATATATACATTTTTTTTTCTGTAATGCTTAATAGCAGAATAATGAGATATATGTTTTGAGAAATTTCTTGAGAAACTTTTCTAGAAAGTCAAATTTACATACAATAAAATTATTATGCCTCTGAAAAAGCTCAGATGATGGTGTCAAAGTTTTGGAAGTTTCTGACTGGCTAATTGACAACATTTGAGTTATTTGGAGGGACAACTGTACAATAGTATTTAAGGAAAACCTCAAACACACTGCTTCATTGTGTGACAACATGGAGAAATCAATTAGCCAGAATCAAGAAAAAGCCAGATTAAATTTTGCTAAATTACACTGGGAAAAATAATATTTTTTGAGACATGTCCTGTGGTCTGATGGAACTAAAATTGAACTGTTTAGCCATAATGACCAGTGTAACATTTGGAGGACGAAGGGGTAAGCTTACAAGTCTAGGAACACCATCCCAACTGTGAAGTATGGGGGCGGCAGCATCATGTTGTTGGGCTGTTTTGCTGCAAGAGGGACTGGTCCACTTCACAGCATAGATGGCGTCATGAAGAAAGAACATTATGTAGAAATACTGAACAACATCTCAAGACATCAGCCAGGAAACTAAAACTTGCCCACAAATGGGTCTTCCTAACAGACCATGACCCTAAGCATACTAAAATGTGCTTTAAGGACAACAGAGTGAATGTTTTGGAGTGGCCATCACAAAGCCCTGATCTCAATCCTATAGAAAATTTAAAAGCTTGTGCGAGCAAGACAGCAAAAATCAGTTACACCAATACTGTCAGGACGAATAGGCCAAAATTCCTGCAAACAATTGAGAAGCTTGTGGAAGGATACCCAAAACATATGACAAAAGTTATACAGTTAAAAAAAAAAAAAAAAGCTTAAAAAAAAAACAAGGAAATTTATTTAAACGTTTGACTGTCTAGAAATTAATAAAAAAATTCCCTAAAAATATTTCTTTCATTATTCTGGCATTTATCAAATGTAAATAATTTTGGTAATCCAATTACCATTTTGGTAATTTACTATGATCAGACATTTTTAAAAAATGGTTATGTTCCTTTTCTTAGAGTGAATGTAATCTACTGATTTCAACTGTAACAGTTTTGATAACTAATTTCGAATAACGGAGTTCTTTTATCTTTGCCATGATGCCAGTGCATAATATTTTACTAGATATTATTCAAAATACTTAGCTTAAAGTGACATTTAAATGCTAAACTAGGTTAATTAGGCAAGTTAGAGTAAATAGGCAAGTCGTTGTATAACAGTTTGTTCTGTAGACAATCAAAAAAAGAAAATTGCTTTAAAGAGCTAATGATACTGACCTTAAAATGTTTTTTAAAAAATTAAAAAAAACTTATATTTCAGCTTAAATAAAATAAATACACTTTAAAAGAAAAGAAGAAACAATATTATCAGAATTAATTTGAAAAATTGCTTGCTCTGTTAAACATCATTTGGGAACTATTTAAAAAAGAAAAATAATTTACAGGAGGGTGAATAATTTTGACGTCAACTGTCTGTATGTGTACATGCATCCTCACTGTGCGTCTCATTTTCCACTCTGAGAAATCTGGTCACCCTGTTATAAAGGTGAGAGTTGAGATGTTAGTTTACCAGCAGAAGAGCTTGTTCTTGCAGAAGCTGCTGTTGAAGAATCTCCAGCTGCCTTTGTTCTTCTTCTAACTGGCGACGGATATACTCCTAACCCCATAGCAGAACCACAGTGAGAAAGAGAGAGGTGAAAAAGAGGTGACAGAGAGCTCCAAGAGTTTATGAGAGAATGAAAGATTAATCAAGAAAAAATCAGAAGGTAGGAAACCCTAATAATAACCTAATGCCCTTCGCAGCTCTCCTGTGGCCTTATGGCAGACTCACTACACAGAAGTCATTGGTTCAGAGGCTTGGGAGTTACTTTAGGACCCTGATCCTAATTTTCTAGAGCAGAGCAATTAACCCCGGACTGCTGCAGGGGAACATTGCCTCCAGGAAAAAGTGTTAGATGCTGATTTGGATTAAAACCACTTCTGTTACAGAGTGATAGGTGAAGCACAGATATCAGTTTGATCACAAAAGGTTTTATCGTCTTCCAGACAATGGGCTGCATAATGCATGGAGATGCATGGGATGTCAATAGGGATTTTCTATCTTCACGCATTGAAGATTAGAATTCATTTAAGTTGAACATGTCTTTTTCGTGTCTATGTTTAAAGAGTTAAGAGGTTAATAATTTCATTGTACTACAAAGTCAACACAGTCGAGATCCTTTGTATTAGGATGTTTCTAAAATAATATAAAATAAAATAAAAACAGTTTGTAATCTATTATTTAAGATTTTTTGACAGGGGAATATAATAAAATAAAACAAACCAAAACACACCAAAACAAACAAAAAAACAAGCCAAAACAAAATAAAAACAGTTTATAATTCATTATTTAGGATCTTTTGACAGATGAATAAAATAAAATAAAAACAGTTTGTAATCTATTATTTAAGATTTTTTGACAGAGGAATAAAATAAAACAAACCAAAACACACCAAAAAAAAAAAAAAAAAAAAAAAAAAAAAAATATATATATATATATATATATATATATATATATATATAAAACAATAATAAATAAATTAAAACAAACCAAAACAAATAAAAAAACAACAATAAAAAATAAAACAATAATAAATAAATAAATAAATAAAATGGAGATGGGGATCCATTATTTTAGATTGTTTAAAAAAAAAATATGTATAAAATAAAATACTAATACAATAAAATAAACCTACTTATTTTGAAATAATAAAATAGAAACCAGTTAATTTAAATAGTAATCATTTCCACATTATCATCTACACAGTATTTTTTTTTATCAAAATGTCATATTATGTAATGTTAATCAATAAAACGTAATATTAATCAAATTCAGTGTGCCGGAGGACATTTTTAAAAAGTAAACACGGTATGGATTCATTATTTTAAGATGTTTAAGAAGGAAAAACTGCATAAAATAAAACAGAGATGAGATCTATTATTTTAAAATGTTCCAAAGGAAAATATGTATAAAAATAAAATCACATACTAAAAATAAATACCCATATTGAAGTCATATTTTCAATATTGTAAAATAATATCAGTCTTTATAAAGAGGATATCATGGTTTCTTGATTATATCTCCCTGACTGAGGGATAACGGTGTAGACTTTCACTGTTTTTTGTAACAAAACAATGAAGCGCTTCACAACAACAAAGAAAACGCAATGCATTATAGAGTTACACCACTGAAATATTGCATGATATCCTTTATAGGGCTCTCTCAGGCTATTTAAACAAAAAAAAAGTACTTTAATATGCTTCTTGTCTGTTAATAATTACCAAAAATACACAGAACAGTTTATATACGGCTAGAGAACTAACAATATTAGCAGCTGTTACTATTCTGCTCCAGCTCTAATTACAATGGCTTCAACAGTGGCTTTAAAGGGCAGTGTTTAAAGGGGCGTGTCAAATTTAAATGAGCCTGCTAAATCACTTATAACTCTTTGGCATAAATGCTGAAACTTCGCATTAATTATTGGCTCAGTCATTCTTATTTGTCTCTGTACAGTCTCGCGCTCTTACACACGACCCGCGAGACATCCTCATTCACTATCGAAACTGGGCTCAAGCGGCCCAACTGCATTTGAAATAGTGGGTGGGAGGCCGCTTTAAATATGCATCTATCCAGCAGAACATTTCCCTCCCAGGAGGAAGTGAGTCACAGACTGGAGCGAACGCTTCAGAAACATGAGCGAGGCATGTGAGAGTCTGATATACTTATCTGAGCGGACAGTTACAGTTGTGAACAGAGTGCTGTTGCATTATACACAATGTAGGATTAAAAGAGAGTTATGCATCAGGAGGTGTCCATATACACCCTTAGTGATGATGATAATAACGTGTGGTTACATAGACATAGATAGAAAGATAATAGTACTGGTATTGTTTCATTTACTCTTCGTATTAAAATATTCATCAAAACCATTTTTATTGGATGCCATAATCATTATTTGGCTCTTGCTGCTATCACGATTTAAAAAGCTAAATTAAAAAAGCATTTAAAATTGGTTCTGCGTATCTGATGACTGGCATACTTGTGAATGTTTTTGTTTGTGTACTTGATGTTAAATGTTGGTATTTATTGTGTTAAGTGTGTCATTCTTGTTATATGTGAAGCACCATACCATCTCAGAATGAATTTCCCCAAGGGGATTAATAAAGCTTTAAACTATAAACTACTTTTAAAAAGTCATCGGTTGAGATCCACCATTTTAAGATTTTTCATAGGGACAACACACAAATTGCACAAAAATAAATATTTAGGATCCATTATAGTAGGATGTTTCAAAGAGGGAAATGCAAAAAATGAAATTTAATAAAATAAAAAGTTTGTAATCCAGTGTTTAGGACGTTTCGACAGGGGAATAAAACAAATAAAATAAAATAAAGTTAAAAATAAATGTTTGTAAAAACTTTAGTTTTGTCTTGCTTTAATATTTTTATATTTTTCATAAGGAAAACAAAATGCGCAAATTTGCACAAAGGTAAATAGTTATGATCCATTATAGCAGGATGTTTCAAAGGGGGAAATGCATAATATGAAATAAAAAAAATAGTATAAAAAACAGCTTGTAGTGTATTATTTGGGATGTTTCGACAGGGGAATAAAACTAATAAAATTAAATAAAGAATAAAATAAAACAAAATACAATAAAAAAGACTTTTTAATCCAATTATTTCGGATGTTTCACCAAGGAAAAAAAAAATAAGGTAAAAAAAATAAATAAATGTTTGTAACAACTTTAGTTCTGTGTTCGTTTATCATTTTAAAATGCTTCATTGGAAAAACAAAACGCACACAAAAACAATGTTAGGATCCATTACATTAGAATGTTTCAAAAGGGGAAATGCATAAAACAAAACAAAATAAAAAGTAATAATAAATAATAAAAAATAAAACAATTTAATACAGTTTGTAATTCATTATTTAGGATTTTTTTGACAAGAAATAAAATAAAATAAATTACAAACACTTTATTTAGGATGTTACGATGGGGGAATAAAAAAAAATAAATATAAAATTAATAAAACAAAAACAGTTTGTAATCTATTGTTTATAATGTTTGGACAAGGGAATAAAATAAAATAAAACATATATAATAAAATAAAAACAGTTTGTAATCTATTATTTAGGATGTTTTGATGGGAGTAAAATCAAAAAAGAAAAATTCTAAATAAACAAATAAAAACTGTTTTTAATAAATTATTAAGGATGTTTCGACAGGAGAATAAAATAAAATAAAATAAAGTAAATTAAAATAAAACAGTTTGAAATTCATTATTAAGGATGTTTCGACATGGAATAAAATAAAATAAAATCTAATAAAACAAAATGTTTTGATTCATAACTTACAGAATGATAAATAATGTAAAATCAGGCCTAAAAGCAGCTGAGAATTCATAATCTAGAAAGCTTTAAAAGGTGAAAAGATAAAACATAAAACATTATTCATAAAAAAAATAATAAATCAGTTCTGAAGGCTTGAACACTGAAACAACTGGTATCTCTTTAAAAAAAAAGTTATTCATCTCTGTACATGTGCAGTTTATTAACAAAGTACATCTCGTCTCCATCTCTGTAGTGGTGAATGAGTGGGAGTTTGTTAGCGTGTGGAGAGTGTGAGTGTGTGAAGCTGCCACATCACTTATTCTTCCCTTCCTGTTCACATGAGCTCAGCTGACATTTCTAGCATGGCTGAGCTTCCCCATCTCTTTTTGCAGAGCAGATTATGGGTCAGTATGTAATAATAGACCAACATATAACAGTCTGAATAATGATGTATATTTGGAGTCTGCCCGTCAGTTCTTGCCCTATTTCTACTTTACTATTGATATAAAAGTGGGCAAAAATACTGGTTGAGGGCATGCATATACCTGCTCCCTCTCGGCGTGCCTCCGCTCCTCCTCTCTCCGCAGCTGCTCCATCTCCTCATAGCGCCTCCTCTGCTCTCTCTCCTGTTGTTTGCGAAGCTCTCTCTCCCGTCGCTGTTGCTGGAAGAGTACAAACACAAGTCTTCAATACAGCTGCAAGCAGCAATTACTGGTTATTCAAGACTTTAGTGTAATATTGAGTCATTTTTACAGGAATATTGTTTTATGATTTACTACTTTTGGCCAGTAGGTGGCAGTGCTTCTGAACATACATGGTATGGTCAACTAGTGAGGACAATGACTCGTATGAAGTTTTTTGCCGAGTTTAACTAAAACTGTTAAGTGGGGATGCACCGAAATTAAAATTCTGGGATGAAAGAGTCGAGACCAGTCATTTTACCAGCGTTGTCATAAGGGGTTGGGTGCACAAGCTAGGTGTAAACCACTGCTCTTGCGCTTTGGTCAGTATAGCAACAAACCATTCTTGTGCTGCACAAGCCTTTGAAATGAATGGGTTTCAAATCGCAGTGCTTTCCACATCTGGTGTGAAAGTCGCTTTACATGTGTGGTGACTTTAGTGGGGTTGCACAATGAATGCGCCGCTTGGCGACGCAACGCAGCATGCACATGACAGTTTGAAGTATCGCACACCAAACATGCACATTCAAGTGTTATTTCATATGAAACTATTCAGATGGCGCTAGGTGGCACGGCAGAACTATGTACAGTGTCCTGAGTCGTAGCTGGGTTCAGAGAACAGCCGCCGATTTGCAGTGCCAGTGTGCACACACTGATAGAAATCTTTGTTCAGAATTCGAAAATGTGCTTCCGAGCGCCGCATTCGGTGTACGGAGAAATGTTTCTTATGGCTGGAGAAAGAGTGAAACAAGCACTTTGATAGTTACAATTCATGACTAATGAGTTTTAAAAAAGTTTTTTTTTAAATCTAAATAGTGGACAAAATATGATATAACCTGCACCAATTTTATTGCATGATCCAAGAAATGTATCAATACAAGTCTCATGACATTTAGAAAGATTCAAAACGCTATAAAAATATCTTTTGTATATACAAATATACTGGACAAGTTTGCAAAAATAATCCCAGGTTTGGACCCTATATGCGATCGCTGCAAGCAAGCCTTTGTGGATTTAATACATTTGTTTTGGCTTTGCTATCTTTAACTTCCTTTTGGCTATCAATTTTCAAATGTTTCTCCTCTGTGACAAAGATGTACATCAAGCAGTGTCCTCTTGTTGCACTTTTTGGACGAATAATGCAGGGTTATCAAATTGTACTGCAAACTCTTTTGCATTTTAGACATTCTTAGCAAGACAGTGCATACTTTTACTATGGAAACAAGGATTTCCTCAGAGTTTCAACAACTGGTTGCAAATTGCAATGAGTTTCATGCATTAGTTTTTCTTTTAGCAATACTAGAGCTTTTTCTGAGAGCTTTTTTTTCCCTAAGCATTTGTGTACTTCTACAGACTGTCAATCTATGCCTTAGGGTTTTTTAATTGCAGAGTGAATTTAATTAAGCATATTGTATAAGCATCTGAGGATTAAGTTTATAATTTCAGTTTGTTGATGTACATGTGTACTTTGTACATGGGTTATTTCTAGGCCCACACGGAATCTGCGCATGCAGAATTCCACAGATTTTTAGCCCATCATTGATTCTGTTTATTTACTTGTGTAAATTTATATTTATTGAGTTTTTAAATTAATTACAGTAATATTATTGACTAAAATGAAAATATTCATTTAATTTATTTACAATATAGTTTGTAAAGTAATATTTTCTGCCTTTTAGTAGATATATTACATGAGAGACTTGCTTTGTTTACCAAATAGAGTGGATCTAATCGGATTTGCATTGTAAACATTAAATACAATTTTAAAATGTATTACTTTTTATGTAATATATTGAGGTTTATTTTAGTTATGATTCTCCCAAAATGATTTCACAATTCTGCGCACATAGCAAAAATTGTCCGCAGATTCCGTCTGGCCCTAGTTATTTCTAAAAGTAAATGCTCCAATATATATTTTATACATAATTGACACTATCCTCTTAATTTCTTTTAATTATTATTATTTTGTGTGTGTGTGTGTGTGTGTGTGTGTGTGTGTGTGTGTGTGTGTTTGTGTGTGTGTGTGTGTGTAATTGTAATTTCATTTCGTTTATGGGGGAAGGGTTGGGAATAATATTTGTTTACATTTTTCAGTAAAACTATCCTGGAATTTCAGTAAAAGTTAAATAAACAGATCCAAAAAAATGTCTTTTATAATCACAAGGTGGTAGGTCCTTGAAAATGTTTTTTTTTTTTTTTGAGTACCATTAAAGCAAGTTCTATAACGATACAATTGATACATTTGTAAAATATACTATGACAAAATTCAAGATGGTTGACACCCTAAGTTGATTCTTGTGGAAGTCTGGATTCATCTAGACACCAGTCAAAGCAAAACTATTTTCATACCAGACCACTCACACAAAACTGTGCAGATAACCTTGGGTCATGATTTTCATAACCAACTCCAAGCTTGGAGCTGCATCCGAAATTGCATACTTGCATACTATATAGTCCGTTAATTACAGTATGAGAGAAGAGTAATATGTCCGAATTCATAGAACTCAAAAAAAAAGTATGCAAGTACCCGGATGACCTACTACTTCCAGCAAGATTCTGAAGTGCGCATACAATGGACGCCATGCCAGAGAATTCATGAATGGGAGTGAAGCGACGCAACTTACGTGTTAACGTCATTATCATCACGTAGGTAACGTGATAATGACAAAATGGCTGATGTAGTACCTCTGAGCTCCATTAATACTACTCACATTCATACTATATAGAATGTACTTTTCTTAATTATTAAATTATCAAATTAATTTATTTGACATGGACATCACAATTACACTGGACAACCAAATGCATTTGTTTAAGTGTTTTAGCAAACTTGCTCACTCAACACCATTCCACAGGAGGCTTGAAAAAATTGACAAAATGGAAATATAATAAATACATATACACATTATTAGAATTATTAAGGCAAAAGCAAAGGCGGCAAGATCCAACAAACTAATAGTAGACTATTTGTGCCAACACTGCTGTTTTGTTTTGAACCACTTTTTAAGAACACAACTAAAAATATTTATATTACTTTCTGATTTTAGGCCAACAGGTAAATCATTCCAGATTTTGGCTTCCTTTACAGAGAAAACAGATTGACCAAAAGAGGTCTTACACTTTGGCACAAGACAGTCACCATTAGCACGATTACCCATGTGACTCTATGAGAGGTTTGATGCCCACTGATTGGATCAGAAAACAGGATTGGAACATGATTATTTAAATATTTAAAAACCAATTTAAGATAATTAAATTTATTAAAACTATCAAAACTAAAAAGGTTGTGTTTACATAAAACCTCACAATGATGCTATCGCAAAGGCTTTAAATCCATATAGGCTTTAAGTCCAGGCTTTAAGTCCATTTTCACTGCTTGTTTAAACATTGAGTCAATAGGCTTCAATTTAGTTAAAGAGCCTGGTGACCATTATGTAATTATGCAATACGTCAAGTGAGAGAATATCATTGTGTTCATGTATAATTTTGCAGTTTGATATGTTAAAAACCTTCTAATAAAACAAAAACAGTTTACACTTGGCTTAACTTTCTTACATATATTTTTTACATGACTTTCAAATTTTAAATTAATGTCTATCGTTATGCCAAGATACTTCAATTCATTCACATCTTTAATAACTTTAAGGCTCGAGTAGTAAATTCAAATTCAAATGTAGTACCTACACTAGTATTTCGGATGCAGCCTTGGTCTTAATTTTATAAAGTGTTGAGGCGATACAACCCCATGTCCACAAGGCGAGCTCAGCCTATATATCAGCTACAGTAAATCTATCAAAACCCAGAATTTTTTGTAAAAAAAAAAATATTTTCACGACAATTAAATAACTTACATAGGGTCAGTTTTGAACTCCTAATTAACGACCTTCCAATTTCTACAAATAAATCTCACAGGAGCCCAATCGCTCAACCCAGATTTACGCACCAGCCAATGCAGTTCCTTCCATGACCACTAAGTGGCGATGGAAAAGATGGCGCATTTGGAGCAGGCAGAAATGCTGCTTTCCTGCTGACAGGGGCTGTGCAGAAACGATAGCGGAGCAGCGGGAGACAGATGTGCTGAATGAGGGGTCTACGCCCAGCCGGGCTGCCCGATTCATCCACACGGGTCCCCCTACTGAGAAAACTCTACATCACATAACTCAAAAATCTATCTATCGGCTCAGTGATCACCATCTCTCTTTGTCTCCCGTTTGAAGAATTCCCGAGATGTCGGATAACCTTCCTGTGGATTGATCGTCGCTCAGTGTCTCCCGGGGACATTGAAAAGCCAGTCATCCCATGAGCCATTGCACAGACAAAATAGAGTACAGTATGGTGTGTTCAATATGCGAGGATTGCAATGAAAAACAATGCTGAAGGCAACCAAGCATTTGCTCATGCAGGATACAGCGGAAGCTACTTAAGCGTTTTATGTCAGAGGGTGTGTGATTTGTGGCTCGAATTCATCCATTGGGCTCACACTATATTGATTTGCTAATAATTTATCACATTTTTTGGTAATATTATTAGTGAAATGAAATGGTATTTACAGATATGTTTAGTAAACAACTTTGGTCTACTGTTAGGTCAAAACAAAAGCTGAAAAATATTCATTCATTCATTTCCTTGTCGGCTTAGTCGCTTTATTAATCCGGGGTCGCCACAGCGGAATGAACCGCCAACTTACACCAAGTTTTTACGCAGCGGATGCCCTTCCAGCCACAACCTATCTCTGGAAAACGTCCACACACACATTCACACACACACACTCATCCACTATGGACAATTTAGCCTACCCAATTCACCTGTACCACATGTCTTTGGACTGTGGGGGAAACCGGAGCACCCGGAGGAAACCCACGCGAAGGCAGGAAGAACATGCAAACTCCACACAGAAACGCCTACTGAGCCGAGGTTTGAACCAGCGACCTTCTTGCTGTGAGCACTACCTACTGCGCCACTGCCTCGCCTCAAGCTGAGAAATATTAGATGTGAAAATCGATAACTAACTACATAAAGTGTCTAAAATATTCAAATAAATAAATTAAGAACACTTTACGATTAAGTATATAAAATAAATGCATTTAACGAAGATTTTTTAATGATGATGATGATGTACTTTTATTGCATGCCTGTTTATTTAAGGCCTGTCACGATACATACTTTCTGTTGTATGATATTCATTCATTCATTCATTCATTTACTTGTCGGCTTAGTCCCTTTATTAATCCGGGGTCGCCACAGCGGAATGAACTGCCAACTTATCCAGCATTTTACGCAGCAGATGCCCTTCCATCTCTAGGAAACATCCACACAAACACTTATACACTACGGAGAATTTAGCCTATCCAATTCACCTGTACCACATTTCTTTGGACTGTGGGGGAAACCGGAGCACGAGGAGGAAACCCACGCGAACGCAGGGAGAACATGCAAACTCCACACAGAAACGCCAACTGAGCCCAGGATGATGTATGATATATTACACCAAATTACATTGCGATAAACATTATTATTGTGATTTTAAGACCCTTTTATGCCACTCATTGTATAAGGCCAGATTGGCAATATAGCATATTAAAGCAAGTGCACTCTTCCAAAGAATGCATATTTTATTCTTAAGAATTTTTCATTTTTATAATAGTCAATTAAACAATTTAACAACTGTAAAACATTTCACATTGGTTAAACTTACAAACTCAAGTTCCCAGGCTGCCTTAAAAATGTGCGTCAACTCAACGTAGAGAGATTTTTTTGTTTCAACTTAAGATGTTGAGTTTTTGTTAATTGTATATTATATATTATCATATACCCAAGAAAAACGTTTTGCAGTGAAGGAGTGTGAAAGCGTATATCCAAAACAATAAATAATAATAAATGCTAAGAAAAAAGTTCAAAGTAAAAAGTAACCGATGCTGCGATATCTGCTGAACTATTTTCAGTTGTTAGACACCACATGAAAATATAATATTGTAATTTATTGTAAATTTCCTAGTGTTTTAACCATACTGACACTGGCACCTCCGATAGGGATAAAGATGTTGCACAATCAGCTAAAATGTTGCTAAAATAGTTTATGTATGGGTGATGTATATTGCATCACCAAAATTATTAAGGTCATGTCCATGTGCGATAAGTTGATATATTAATTTTTGTGACAGGCCTATTAATGCCATGTCAGCAACAAAGGCTATTTCAAAACATTTCAATAATAAATATTCAAGGAGGTTTTGATAAACAACTTCATATTAGGGCTGCACGATATTGGAAAAATTTGACGTTGCCGTATTTTTTTCTTCTGCGATTTATATAATGTAATATATAATCAGAATCATTTTGTTGCCAAGTTTGCTTGCACACACAAGGAATTTGTTTTGGCTACAGAAGCTTCCAGTGTACATAAAGTGACAACACAAAATAAATATGAAAAAGACAATAAACAATAAACAGAGATGCAGTTAGACAAAAAAGTTCTGGATGCTGAATTGTATGTACAGATTTGTTACAAATATACATGTTATAAGGACATGTGTACAAGTGAGCTCTATTAAAATGCTTTTAACTCTCTTGAAATTCTTACATAGTCACAAATGCAGACAATTCACTTTCACTATGTAGTGCTTAAATTCTGCAGTCTCCACAAATCTCATGTGTTTTGACCAGTGGTTCCTGGTCATCTATAATCCCACTCGGCATTGCATATCTTGCTATGTGACTTTTGCGGATGTGCACATTGCGATATCGATGCTGAAACGATATACTGTGCAGCCCTACTTCATATGCTATATATCATCACCTTGGAGTGGTGCTTGAGGGGACTAATGCGTATCATGTGGACAGCGAGAATCACCAACAAAGAAGTAATAGGGTGCATTAAGCCACCTCACTGGAAGCCAAGATTACAAAAAAGAAATGTTCCTATTTTGACCATGTCATGAGTAGCAATCCACCTGAGAAGGCAGTCATGCTGGGAATGGTCAGCGGAAGTAGGAGGAAAGGCAGTTCAGGAATTCGTTGGCGCGATACAGTCGAATCTGAAAAAGGGTTAATTCGATAGATGATGCCATCGTCAATCGCTGAGCCGGCATCGGAATTAGTTAATTAATTACATTTTAAAACGAAAACGATCCATGTGCACACTGGTGTGTGATCTAGCATTTATGAAAAGATTTCTGTTCACACTACACCGCTGAAAACGCACATCACATGACCAAACAAACTCTAGCATGAGCTGAAGTGTATGCGCACGTCTGAGCTCCAGGCAGTCAGCGGGTGCTTTGAGCACAAAACCCCAGAGAGCAGTGCACGCTGAAGAGTTTATCAAGGACGTACCACTGGATTGTGTCTCACTATAGTTGTAAAACAGGATTTTTAATTAATCTTGTCTCTATCTGAGGACTCTACGGTCTTTTGAATCAATCTGGTATCGTGTCACAGCGTCAGTACACTGCTTTAATCTTTCGCTTTCTCGCTTGTACTCAGTAACTTTTGTGAAAACCTTAGATACTATTGGCTGGTTTCTGTTGGTTGTGCACCTTTTTAACCAACCAAGTTAGTCAACGCCATTATAACGGTGGTAATTTGTGTGTAACTTATCTTTATGTATTTATGATTTGGTTATAGGTAAAACAAAGACCATGTGAGTCAGGTAGTTGAAACAGTAGGCTACAAATAATGAATTAGTTATGAATAATTAATTAATCATGAATAATTATTTCTCCACCGTCTATGATGACGATGCCATCGTTCCTCGCGATGTTTCACAGTAGACATTGTACAATGCCAAATTGGTCGACATCACCCAACCCTAATCTAAAAAACCAAGATGGGCATGCCCGAACTTAAAATAGTGGTGATTAATATAACTGTGCGGAGGGGAATGATCCATAGAATGACAGAAAATCGACCTCAATTAAAAGGATAATTGATTGATTGACTTCATATACAAAGATTTTTTTTTGATAGAGTAATAAAATAAACAAACAAATAAACAGTATATTATATAACATCAATAATATACATAACAGTATAGTATATTAAAATATATATTTTAATAGTAAGAAAATCCTATTAAAATAATTTTAATTAAAAAAGAAATGAAATAAATGTATATAAATAATAATCAAATTAAATTATATTATATTATGAAAACAAATACATTTAAAAAGGTATTATATATGAATGACTGTTTTAAATTAATAAGCTAAACAAATATGTCAAAATACTATTTATAACAACTAGAAATAGTAAATATAAAACTGTATTACATGCATATTAGAATAAAAACGACCCGATATTTTAGAAAAAGAGTAAGATGTTAAAGGTTATATTTATACATTTTTAAAAAAACTAATTTTACTTGTGTTATACAACTAATGTAAACAAATCTGTCAAAGTAAACAAAAACATAATTTTCTGATTTATCATGATTTTATTTTTTATAAAATATTAGACTTGGTTATAAAATATTTTGCTTAAACATATCACATCACCTTAATATACTCGATATAATATACTTAATATAATATATAATCTTCTCTCACCTCCTCTAGTCTCCTCCTTTGCTCCTTCTGCTCCTCAATGCGCTTCTGCCTCTCAGCCAGTAGTTGGCGCTTGTGCTCCTCGTTCTGCTGCTGCTCCAGCTGTTGTCTCCTCAGGGCTTCAGAACGCTCCTTATTGGCCAGCTGTAGACGCAGGAAGTCCCGCCTCAGAGTCGACTCACCGGGGATGTTTATGATGGAGCTGTTAAATCATCAGACGTTAAATCATCTTCACGTCAGTCAAGAGGTCCACAACTACACGCTTGTATAAAAGCTCTACACACCTCGGCTCTCCTATATCTCGCTCCTCTTCCTCCTCTTCGCTGCCACTGTACTCATATTCGGTCTCGTCTGAAAGGTAAACACATAGAATAATCATGGATTGCAGGTTACCAAGACAAAGATTATCATTAGGAATACAATATCTGACTATTTACTGATGAGTACTGTTGTAACAAAAGAAAATAAGCTATACAATAGTTATTTTTTAAAGCTACATCGGCAAAAAAAATCGGCAATAAACAAAAAAATTAAAATGTAAAAAAAAAATAAAAGATAACAATTATATGATTAAGTATGCAAAATACAAAGATGTTTTGATAAACAACTTCAAATGTAAAGAAAAAAATTAAAAAAGCAATAAAATAAACAAACAAAAAATGCAATAATATATTCTATAATAATATCAATAATAAATATAAAATCATATTATAATTATATATATTTAATGGCAGTTGTGTAACAATGTTTTAATAAAAATCTAATAATAACATATAATATAATCTAATAACATATAATATAAACTAATATAATAACATATAATATAAACTAATATAAACTAATATAAACTAATATAATATAATATAATATAATATAATATAATATAATATTACATTCACCGGCCACTTTATTAGGTACACCTGTCCAACTGCTTGTTAATGCAAACTTCTAATCGGCCAACATGGCAGCAACTCAATGCATTTAGGCATATAGACATAGTCAAGACAATCTGCTGCAGTTTAAACAGAGCATCAGCTCTGCATGAGCATGAGTATTTCAGAAAATGCTGATCTACTGGGATTTTCATGCACAACCATCTCTAGGGTTTACAGAGAATGGTCAGAAAATTTGAAAATATCCAGTGAGCGGCAGTTCTGTGGGCAAAAATGCCTTGATGATGCCAGAGGTCAGAAGAGAATGGCCAGACTGGTTTGAGCTGATAAAAAGAAAACAGTAACTCAAATAACCACTCGTTACAACCGAGGTATGCAGAAATGCATCTCTGAATGCACAACACATCCAACCTTGAGGCAGATGGGCTTCAGCAGCAGAAGACCACACCGTTACATGCAAGTTGTACCTAATAAAGTGGCCAGTTAGTGTATATGAAGTGAAATAATAGAATTACAAAAATTCCTACAGAAATAACACTTACTGTTTTCAGTATTACAGTATCAGTCTCATTTCAAATCTGATTTACAAGTTCTTAGTTCAGTTTCAGCCTCAATTGAAAACAGATTTATTTAGTTCAACATCAAACACATGCATTTTTATTGAGGGAAAACACCTTGACTGAAGTACTGTAATTTCTGAATTTCTGTTTTCCATACATTACTAATGTAAAAATATCATTAAAATTGTAATAGTGCACATATTCAGCAAATTGCTCCTCTCTCTCTTGCTCTCGAGTTTTCAAGCTAATTAACAAGCCATGGATAATGCAGTCATTTTATATTATCCCATGCTGCATTTCAGTTTTTTTCAACATATACCCTTAATGATTATTCATGTTAATTGTGTGTTAACTACTAGTAAAGTAGAGAAGATAATCAGTTCATGCGCTTCATAAACCAAGGCAGCCGCAGTAATATCATGTCACAGTGTCAAAAGGACATCTATGGCTTGAATTTCATGATCAAAGTGACAGAATTTGAAAGCTGAGATGGTTCACTTTTAAAAGTAACAAAGCTTATCACATTTATTAGATGACAACCACTACAAATAAAGCTTGCTAAAGTTTTGCTCAAGCATCAACATTCACTGTAAAAATGCTGGGTTATACACAATTCCTTCATGTTGTCCCAACACAAATCTATAAAACGAACTTAATTGTTTTTACAAAAATTTAAGTTGATTGAGCATAAAAACAAAGCTTTCCCCCCGAAAAAAAAACATAAGAACTGGTTAAATTTATATTAAATAAGCAGATTGAACAAGCAGCAAAAGTAATTTTTTGGAGTGTTGATAAAAGATCAAGATTGATATTTAATTATCAATATGAGCTTATGATACTATCAAAACAGAAACAGTAAACTCACCCCTCTCTCCTCTCTTCTTTTTAGTCCGGTCAATGTGGTCTTTGAGCTGAATTCGGACCTGTCTCTCATTCGGCAGGTCTTTGATGAAGGGGTGTTTTATGAGTTGTTCAGTACTGGGTCTCTGATTGTGATTCTTCACTAAACAGCTCTCAATAAACGATTGGAACTTTTTAGACCTGTAGAGAACGACACATCATTCAGGCTATGTTTACACAACAGCATTTTCACCAACAAAAGCTTTAGCCTCGCGTAAAAAATCAAATCACCATAAAAATAAAATATACAACAACACTTTCCCTGTATTCTGCTATTTTATGTTGTTGGTCAAGCTTGGCTCTAAAGATCCCGTGAAACAGTTTGAAATTAGCATTTTTTTTATCCATGTTTGACGTAATCTCTACTGAAACATAAAGAGAGGGTGTATAATAGAGTAGCTCCCTTGAAAAAAAACTGCCAATAGCTACAAATAATTAATTTGTTATGAATTAATTAATTATTCATAAATAATTAATTCTCTTATGACAACGTTGCCATTGTCGAAGATGCCATAAAACTTCACAGTTCTGCCAGGGAGAGTGGTTGAGCTCAAGCGCATCAAATGTAAATGAGAAAGATGTAAAAAAAAAAAAAAAATTCGTCTTGTGGGGGGTGGGACATGTCAGATTATAGGGAGCATTTGATTGGTCAAGACTAGAAGTTAAAAAAAAAAAAATAAAAATTTGTCGATCCATTTAGATCAGGGGTGCTCAACCCTGCTCCTGGAGATCTACCTTTCTGCTGAGTTCAGCTCCAACCCTGATTAAACACACCTGAATCAATTAATCAGGACCTATACAGCCCTGGATAATTACAGGCAGGTGTGTTTGATGTGGGTTGCAACTGAAATCTGCAGGATGGTAGATCTCCAGGAGCAGGGTTAAGCACTCCTGATTTAGATGGACCTGACAAACTACAAGCTTTGGACATTTATGTCAGGCTTATGTTTTCTCAAACGTAAAGTTTGTAAAACTAACATATTGACAGTAACATCTAAAAAAACTTTAAATTAGTTACTTTTAAAGAAACCTTTAAATCTAGACCTCCCTAATCACATATGCTCGCATGCACGACATCATCTTTTTCATAGACTCTTAAACATCTTCAGTGCCCAAAACGTGTTTCTTGTATAAACCAACAGACAAAACACAAAGAATGTTGGCAAACAGTAGCCATTTTGACTTCAATAGCTTTTCTTTCATATGGAGGTCAAAATGTTTTGGAATATCTTCTATTGGAGCACAACAGAACGAAATTAAAAATGTTTGGAACCACTTGAGTAAATGGTTTACAGTTGAACTGCCCCTTTATCATGAGGTTTTACTCACCATTTCTTGGACTTGAGACGGGGTGCTGGGTTTCTGGGTATGAGGAAGAGCGCGCGCATGGGATGCATATCACAGAGTGCTAAGAAAACAGACAACGTGTTTATTTAGCTTTAACTGTTTGTTCATATACAACACATTCCCTGCACGCTCATATACAGACATCTATACTATACAGTAGGTGAAGACACTTTTCAAATGCTGGGTTCCACACAATTCCAAAATTTTTTAGTTTTTTACTATTTTAATTGGATTGAACATAAAAGAATTAAGCTGTCTCCAAAAAAACGTAAGAATTGTGTTGTTTCAACTCATTTTAAATGAGTAGTTTGAACAAGCAGCAAAAGTCATTTTGTTTGAGTGCAGTATGTGAGCTGAGTAGTATGTCCGATTTCAAAGTATTCATCAATTAGAACTACATCTAGTGAGGATGTGACGTATACATTTACTAGACATTTTACCAACTTTCATCTGGACAGCAACAGTACTATAGTGTATGCAGTTGAAGTCAGAATTATTAACCCCTCGTTGAACTTTTTTTTTTGTTTGTTTGTTTTTTTTTAATTATTGCCCAAATTATGTTTAACAGAGCAAGGAGATTTTCACAGTATGTCTGATTTTTCTTTTGGAGAAAGTCTTTTTTTTTTTTTTTTGGCTAGAATTTTAATTTTTAAAAATAACATTGAGGTCAAAATTATTAGCCCCTTTAAGCTACATTTTTTGATAGTCTACAGAACAAATCATCATTATACAATAACTTGCCTAATTACCCTAACCTGCCTAGTTAACCTAATTAACCTAGTTAAGCCTTTAAATGTCACTTTAAGCTATATAGAAGTGTCTTGAAAAATATCTAGTAGAATATTATTTACTGTGATCATGGCAAAGATCAAATAAATCAGTTATTAGAAATGAGTTATTAAAACTATTATGTTTATAAATGTGTTGAAAAAAATCTGCTATCCGTTAAACAGAAATTGGGGGAAAAAATAAACAGGGGGGTAATAATAATGAAGACGCCAACTAAACTACTGTATATATACACACATATCAAACATTTATTTCATCAGTTGAGCCCATTTGCAATCTTAAAAGGAACAATCATAATTTTTTATCAAGCAATAATCTTTACATTTATATTGGGCAGAAGGAAATGTGACTGAGAAAATATACTTCAATGGCTCACCCTTTACTCTTAAAATTGAATGTTTAAGTATTTAATTGCTACTGCTGCTGTTAACTTAACAATAATAGCAAAAAACTAAACAGTAACAAGCACATTTCCTCAAAATATATCAGTCAGGGAATGTGTAGATGACAACTTCCGTATAGCAGCTTTTTTGCTCATGATATTATTGCTTGATTATATATGCAAATTTACGCTTTCAGTAATTGTTCAGGACAATATCAAATCATTTTTTAAGATGAAATCCCCTTAATACATGATCTTTTTTTATCAGCCAAATGGAAATTTCAGTAATCCAATTTAGGGGTCAGACCACAAGAAATACACTGTACAAGAATCTGCTAATTAACAGTTTACGTATTTTGTATTTTCTGTTCATTTACGGTTGTGATTTGCATTATGGGCCCTTGATCTTGGAAATTTAACTATTACAGTTTAACTAAGTGACTTTTATAGACATTTTAGTAGTTTGAAATAATATAGTGTATAAGATATAATATATAGAGAAATAAGTCTACTAGTAAGGTTTTTGTAGCATAATTTACAACACCCACAGAAACACTATATTAATTTAAACTACTAAAAATGTTAATAAAAGTCAGTTTTTCAAACTCTTCAAGCTTGAAAGTTGTTGGAAGATTGCAATTCAAAAGCATAAACAAATGGGGGAAAATTTTTAATAAAAACATGAATCACAAAATACAGACAACTGCTAATTTACAAATACTTCTTAAAAGTCTACCTAGCATACACTATCTGACAAAAGTCTTGTCACCTACCCAAGTTTTAGGAACAACAAATAATAACTTCTAGTTGATCATTTGGTATCAGAAGTGGCTTATAGAAAAGGCAAAGGCCTCGAGATTACGTTTATTTTACCAAAATAAAATATAATCATGCCTTGATTTTTAATTAGGTAATTAGGACAGTAAGGTCTGACTTTGCTTAAACAAAAGTCTTGTCACTTAACAGAAAATATGTACAGTATGGAATATAAAGTCATGCTGCAGTGGAAAAAGAATTAGTACTGTGTATGACTTCCATGAGCTTGAAGGACTGCATCCATATATCTCTACAATGACTCAAATAACTTATTAATAAAGTCATCTAGAATGGCAAAGGAAGCGTTCTTGCAGGACTCCCAGAGTTCATCAAGATTCTTTGGATTCATCTTCAATCCCTCCTCCATCACATCCCAGACATGCTCAATAATGTTCATATCTGGTGACTGGGCTGGCCAATCCTGGAGCACTTTGACATTCTTTGCTTTCAGGAACTTTGATGTGGAGGCTGAAGTATGAGGAGCGCTATCCTGTTGGAAAATTTGCCCTCTCCTGTGGTTTGTCATTTAACAAGCAGCACAAATGTCTTGATACCTCAGGCTGTTGACCCCCATACTGAATGTAACCCCAAACCATGATTTTTCCTTTACCAAACTTGACTGATTTCTCTGAGAATCTTGAGTCCATGTGGGTTCCAATAGGTCTTTTGCAGTATTTGTGATGATTGGGATGCAGGTCAACAGATGATTCAGCACAAAAATTTACCTTCTGCCACTTTTCCAAATGATCGACTAGAAGTCAAGTTATTATTTGTTGCTCTTACAACTGGGATCGATGACAAGACATGTCAGGTAGTGGACTTCGGACGAAACAATTATCATAATTTAACATCACACTGCATTGTGCCAGACTTACGAGGAGCCCCTTCAGCCATTTCGATAGCCGTAATTCCCAGCGACCACAGATCACTCTGTAACCAATAAAGAAAAGTTAAACCCGAACATGCCCTCACCCAAAAAGCAATCAGCATCTCTGAGATGAAACTGACAGCATAATTAAGAAACGCTTGAAATACCTTGAAGTCATATGTGGCGTCTGGGTTCTCATCACAGGCTATGACCTCCGGAGCCATCCAATATGGCGTGCCAATAAAAGTGTTCCTCCTTCCGACGGTGCGGTCCAACTGTGCACTCACACCGAAATCAACTGTTGAACACACACACACACACACACACACACACACACACACAGAGAAGATTTGGCCTTAATGTGTCTGCGTGCAGTAACGAGAGGAGAGGTCTTTGATGAAGAGCATGCTGCCATCTGCCTCTGTGCCACTCTTCCCTCATCACCGCAGGCACTGTCGTCATGGCAACCAGCCCGAACTGTTTCGCAAACTCACACAACTCAATGACAAGCCCTAATAACTCCAGAGGAGGGTCACAAGTTCCTCTGCACAGCAATAAGACACAGACACATGTGATTCTGTAATTGTGACTCTCATGAAGTAATTAAGCTTAATTTTCATGTTTTTTTGTGTGTGTTTACTTTAAGTTTAATAAACATTCGCAAGAAAAAATTCTGTATTATTAGCAATTTCAGTTATAAAAAATACATTATGTGTCTATCTTAACATTCTGGCCAACTATGTTACATTAGTTATAAAAAGCTTGAGGTGAGTATGTTGAGCTACAGCACAAAATGTCAACTGATATTGTCTACTCCATTATGGTTTAAAGGTTCCATTAATTTAAAATAAAGTTTTTTAGATGTTAGTATTAGTATTATTATTTTTCAAGATATTTATATACGAATTACCAACCTACATCCCACATGACGTCACACGGGTTCCCGGTTGCAGTAGCAAACATGTCGTGTTGTGTAGTAGGATGCCAAATTCGAAAACTTAACTTTTACCGTACACCACATTGCTTTTAATGCCAACCGCAGACGTCGTTGGCTAAAAAGGAGCTGAATGAAGTGACGACCTAATTAAAAATGCTGAACTCTCTAGTTAAAAAATGTACTGTAGTTCAATTATATGATGTTTAGTTAAAATTACTAGTAACTAATAAAGTTATGGTAACTAATAACTAATAAACTGAGTTAGATTGTAATGCAATAATGTGCACCTTTTGTAAACAATAATTATTGTGAAAAGTGCTCTAAAAGTAAAGTTTAACTGAATTAAATATTCGTAGAATTATTTTTTGCTGAAAGCGCTAATACTATATTCAGCTCAACCATTTAATCTAATAATAATAATAACAACATGGTTTCCGCTACATTCATTCTTTCATGGCAGGGGCTTTTTATTCAAAACATTTGGTTGTGTTTTTTTTTAACAGCGGGTGATAAACGCACCAAAACTAATTAAAAGGTAAGTGAATTATAACAGCGCGAACTTCTCTGTAACCGTAGTAGTGCTGTGCATTAATTGTTTAATCCTTTAAGGTTACGTGTTGACTGACTGGGTGATTTAAAGGTGCATGATGCGTGAGGCCAGCTAACACGACGTATAGCCGTTTCACTTTACTTCAGGATGCATTAATACAACTCTGTAGGTCTATTTGAGACATTCATAAATATTCCTAGCAAATCTAACAAATGTTGGAGACATACTTCTTACAAAAACGCACTAAATCGCACTTCAGCAGCGTTTATTTGAGAGCACACAAGAAGATCTGGGCTTGAGCAGCGTATATTTGAGGGGGCGTGCAAGAAGTTTTGTGCACAAGCAGAGGAAAACGGCACGCAAGCAAAGAGATTCGCAGGCTCGTAGGCTATTACATAAATGCGATCTCGACTTGTAATACTGCTCTCACGACATTTGTCATTGAAATAACGCCACAGGTAGTTGGTAAAAAAGGCCTGCCGCCACAGCTGGAAAAAAATCCTAGAGGAAACACTGAATAATATTATGTTACTGCATAAAAAAAACGTCTCACACAGAATAAAAAAAATCTCAAGGCTGTCGAATAAACTCTCAACCAGACCTTAAAAAAAAAAGTAAAAAAAATGTAATCAACTTAATTAAAATGACCTTGATGATCCTAATAGTGAGCCTTCTATGCAAGATAGATAATCATACTGCATTTTATTTTTGATACTTAAAAAATGTTTGGATTTTACACACTAAAATGTAGCTTTTAATCATAACCCTTATTATATCCATTTTAATAACTTCCTATGTTTTTATTGTTTACAGAGAGGCATTAGTGCTAAGAACTCACCCAGTTTGACTTCCGCATTTTCTGTAAGCAAAACGTTCTGCCCTTTGATATCCCGATGGATGACCTTATGTTGATGCAAGTGGGTCAGACCCTATCAAAACCAGATGAAGAGGTTAAACTCAGCAGGAGAAGGTCAAATGAAGGAACACACTTCAGAAATGACAATTCTGAAAGCTAATAATGTCTCCTCTCGGCTTACACCAACACACACACACACACATACACACACACTCACCCTGAGGATCTCTCTGCAGATGTAGGCTGTCCACTCCTCCTTCAGTGAATTCCCTTTGGTGTTTTTTATCAGGTCTGTGACTGAACCAGCGCCACAAAACTCCATCACCAACTGCAGACAGAAGTTGATAACATCAGGATAAAACATTACAGTTAGCAGCATTATTCATTTCTGGACATAACGGTTATTGAAGATGAAAAAATGTCTAAAATAAATATTTCTTCATTTATACACACACTATCAGATAAAAAGACAGACAGATGATAGATAAATAGAATGACAGCACACTAGATATACAGAATGATCAAAAGATAGAACGATAGTTAGGTATGAAGAACTATAGAATAATATGGAAAGAAAGAATGACAGACAGAAAGAAAAACTGAATTACAGAATTTTAGACAAATATATAGGATGACAGATAGAAAGAACGGTAGATAGATTAAACGATAGATATAAATATTGCTCTATGAAATATCATATCCATCTACCATTCTCTCTCTACAGTTATTTAATGATAAAATGATAGATAGAATGACACAGAATGATAGAAAAAAATGATAGAACGATAGAAAAATTGACACAGAAAGATAGGAAATAAGAGGACGATAAACAGATAAAAACAGATAGACAGACAGATACAACAATGTAGAGCGACAGAACAACAGAAAGAGCAAGATATAACAATAGAAAGATCCATTGATAGAATGATAGGTAGAACGATAAAACAATATATAGATTGAAAGAGTAATAGATAAATACATAGAACTGTCATTCTATCGCTCTACGGTTATTTGATGGATGGATGAATGGATGGATGGATAAATTGAAAGTGTTAGATAGACAGATAGATTGATATAAAACAATATAAAGATAGACAGAACGATAGATGGATCATAAGAACAATAGATAGAATGATATATAGAAATAAAGAACAGAAAGAACGATAAACAATAGATATAAACATTGTTCTATAAACTATCGGTCTGTATACTGTATCATTCTATGGCTTTATTGTTATCTATCTAATGATAGAACGATAAATGGAACAAAGGATAGAACGATAGAAAAAAAAACAATAGATGGAAAGTTTTGAAAAGGAACGATAGAAAAAAACAATAGATATAACGTTTGAAAAGAAAAAACAATAGAACGATAGAAAAAATGAAAGAACGATAGAAAAAAACTATTGATAGAACGTTTGAAAAATGATATAACGATAGAAAAAAAACAATAGATGGAACGTTTAAAAAAAAACGATAGAACAATAGAAAAAATGATAGAACGATAGAAAAAAACTATTGATAGAACGTTTGAAAAAATTATATAACGATAGAAAAAAAACAATAGATGGAATGTTTGAAAAAAAACGATAGAACGATAGAAAAAATGATAGAACGATAGAAAAAAGATAGAACGATAGAAAAAAACTATAGATGGAACGTTTGAAAAAAAACGATAGAACGATAGAGAAAATTATAGAACGATAGAAAAAACAATAGATAGAACTTTGAAAAAAATTATAGAACGACAGAAAAAAACAATAGATGGAATGTTTGAAAAAAAGATAGAACGATAGAAAAAATGATAGAATGATAGAAAAAAGATAGAACGATAGAAAAAAACTATAGATGGAACGTTTGAAAAAACGATAGAACGAAAGAAAAAATTATAGAACGATAGAAAAAACAATAGATAGAACTTTGAAAAAAATTATAGAACGATAGAAAAAAATAGATGGAATGTTTGAAAAAACAATAGAACGGTAGAAAAAGTTATAGAACAATAGAAAAATCAATAGACAGAACGTTTGAAAAAACGATAGAAAAATGATAGAATGATAGAAAAATTAATAGATAGAACGACAAAAATGATAGAAAGACAGCACAATAGACTGACAGATGGAATGATAGATGATAGAAAGACTAATCACCACACATTAGCATTATGAAAAGGGGGCTTAATCGCTGAACAAACCAAATAGGATAAATTTAGATAATTAGGTCAAAATAAATGCACACTAGAAGATAATGAAAGTGTTTACAAGTCTTTACATTAATGCAAGAAAAATAAAAGAATTCATATATCTCAAATATCCAATTCTGTAGCTGCAGCAGCTCACATAATGAAGAGGCAGAACCTGTATTCAAATTAGACATTCGACACTCACACACAAAAAAACGTGAATTCACGCTTTTCAGCTGAAACTAGATCTGCGAGCGACACTGCTGTCCCAGGGCAACTTCGCTTTCTCACTTCAAGTTTTTAAAAAAAAATTCAACGACAGGATTAAGTTAAGCTGTTTTTTTTATTTATTTTTCTTTTATTAAGCCCTACCTATGTGTTCAAATTATAAAAAAATCCGTTTTTTTTTTACTACTTTGGTTTCACCCTTTCTCCCAGGAGTCTCATAAAAGAGTCCAATTCTCGCTAGAGGCCCCAAGGGCACCATAAAAGTCAATAAATATAATTGATGAGCAGAATATGATGTTATTTCTGAAATGCCGACTGGCTTTGAATGCTCTATTGAGCTGATCCGTTGGGACTCTCAAAGTCACGAGTGCTGAGTCAGCAGCATTGAGCCTCCTTTAAGGAAAATACTTTTTACAAAGACGTCCGATGGAGGGCAGTTGTGCTGACCGAAGGCTCTGGTGCCCGTGAACGTCTTCAGCGTGTCACTTATCTTTATGTTGATGTGCAAAGAGAAACCCAAGGCTCGCAAAGAAAACAAGGCTGCCGGTTGTGGTGAAAGCACCTCTGCACAAAAGTGTGAACGCTGCGTTACTAAGTGAGAAATCAGCAACTGTTGGAAAGCATTGCCGTTGAGGAAGCTACTTTGAGCTCTAAAGGTGCACAAGCTAAGCTAATCAGAATTCCTAATGCACAATTAAATACACATTGGTACTACTAAGTAATTAATGTTTGCTAAATGTAATCCAGATGTAATCCTGACACATTGTAATGATTAGATAACATGTTTTTTAGAGTTGGATAGTGATAAAACAGCAGCTTTTTGGTTAGTTTTTTGTCAAAACGCATAGTTTTTAAAAAAAAATTGGCCATGTGAATAAAGGCTTTTTAATGTTTTTACACATTTTTCGAGAGCCTTGGACTGATCTTTGTTGTTAATTCTGATGAATTCCTTACCTAAAGAGCACAGACACATTATTTAAGCTACCCCTGAGCAATTTTGGTTCAATTTTAGCTATTTTGTGGCTCTTTGCTAATGTTGACTTAGTTACAGTTATCGCTCAGGATTCGCTCAGGGTTTGCTTTTGGACAAAACATCTGAAATGCAAATGAACTTTTTAGACCTGACTAATACATTTTTTCAACAATAAAATGCAACTTTGTTCATCATTTACTCCCCCTTCCAGAGTTTCTTACTTCTTTTAAAACGCAAAGGATTATAAACTGAAGAAAGCTGAAAACCTGTAATCATTGACTTGCACAGCATTTCTTTTTCCTAATAGGGAAGTCAATGGTTACAGTAAGTAAATCAGCAAACTATCATCTCAAAAACTTTGAAAGATTGAGATGCTTTGTTTCCAGTGAGAAACTTGTTCATGCTTTTATGACCAACAGGATGGATTACTGTAATGGACTCCTCACTGGCCATCCCAAAAAGACAGTCAGACAGTTGCAGCTCATCCAGAGTGCTGCGGAAAGGATTCTGACCAGAACCAGAAAATCAGAGCATCACAACTGTCCTCAGGTCTTTACACAACCTCCAAGTTACATTCAGAACAGAATTTAAAGTATTATTACTTGTCTATAAATCACTAAATGGCCTAGGACAGGGGTGTCAAACTCAATTCCTGGAGGGCTGAAGCCCTGCACAGTTTAGTTCCAACCCTGCTCCAACACACTTACCTGTAGATTTCAAACAAGCCTGAAGGACTCAATTTGTTTGATCAGGTGTGTTTAATTAGGGTTGGAACTAAACTGTGCAGAGCTGCGGCCCTTTTGGAACTGAGTTTGACACCTGTGGCCTAGGACCTCAATACATTACAGATATGCTCACTGAATACAAACCTCACTTAGCTCGTTAGGATCAAGTAAACTAGACATTTTTTAAGAGCTCAGTCAAAGCAGGGTGAACCGGCCTTCAGCTACTGCGCACCCTACTGTTGAAATTAGCTTACAGAAATAATCAGATGTGCTCCAACATTAGGTACATTCAAATCAAGACTTAAAACACTGTTCCTTTACTGAATGAGCACTGTGCTACGTCTGACAGGTCTTCTCTTATTCATTATTTTAAAAACAGTTTTTATCACATTTTAATAATTTTTATTTTTTGCTGTTCTTATATCAACTTCTTTTTTTTCCTGTTTATGTAAAGCACTTTAAATTACCATTGTGTATGAAACGTGCTATATAAATAAACTTGCCTTACCTACAGTTTTTCAGAATATCTTCCACTGTTTAACAAATAAAAGACCTTCATAAAGGTTTAAACAATTTGAGTGGGTAATTTTTCATTTATGTGTGAACTATCCCTTTAAACATCATGAGTAGCACCACAAAAATACACCTTAAATTAGGACAAGCACACAAACTATCACTGTAAAAATAACGGCTGTAATATAGACCATTTTGAGGAAACAAAAACAATGGTCTCAACATACTTCCTGTTTTACATTTTTAATTTCTATAGCGTCAGAGGAAACAAAAAGAGCCACGTATTGATAAATACTGTTATGATAGCTGTTTTAGCATTAAGTTATGATTAAATTGCCTCTGGTTACAGTTTTGAAATAGTTTCATAACAAGCAGGAAATGTTCATGGGCCAACGACCATATTGAAATGGTCTATACCAGAGATGCCTAAACTAGGGCCCTCAGGCTAAAGTTGGCCCATGTTAACTTTTGATTTGGCCCACCATCCCATCTGAGAAGAGAGAAAGAGAATGATGGGGATGATTTAGAGACTGCCATTTCTAATTTGATAAAAATTTTCTGTTTCTTTATTTTTATTGCTAAGCTACAACAGGCTAATGCAAATTCAGCGTTGTAATTAAATGAATTTTTCAAATGTACATACTGTCACTCGACAGATAGAGAGCAATCCAAAGATATCTGCAAACGAAGGCAGTCCGATTCTGCTTCACTTATTTATTCAGCATTGAACTCCACAGTGCGATAAACTTGATTGTTTATGTTTTTATTGTAATAAGCTATACTAAAAATATACTGCATTAGTTAATATGATTTAAAGTAATGTTATCAATTTATTTTTGAAATATTATAAAATAAGTTAGGAAATGACCTATGACAATTTTAATGTAATATATTTGTATTTTTAGCCCATGGGTCTTAATGATATTTAGTTTTTGGCCCTTTATACGAAACAGTTTGGGCAGCCCTGGTCTATAAAGTAAAATATCAGCAGCTACAAAATGTTTTTTTACACAGAATTATATTGTTGATTTTCATTAATGAAATAAATAACCCTGATTCTCTTTCAACAGCTAATGTAGACTGACCCAGAGCTGGTCATCCATGCCAGGTGGGTTCTTCTTGATGAAGGCACCATAGTAGGTGGCGATGTTTCGATGGTGGGAGTATTTTTTCAGCATGTTGATCTCAGCTTTGATCTCCTCCTCCTCATCCTGTCAAGTAAAACAGATGACACTTCAGACAGAGCCGGAAAAATACAGCACAGTCATTGTCAGAAAACAATGAGCAGTCTAAATTCTTCAGTATGCAGTCTACTCCATTACAGTACATCATTTTCTTTTTTATTTTCTTTTTTTTTTATTTTGATTTTATTCCAGTCCATTTAAAAGTTATAAAGATAACCATAGGTAAAACTTAGGACAAGTGGTGGCGCTAGAGAGTTTGAGTTAGAGATTCAAATTTGTTGTGGTTGAAGATCAAACTGTCCTCTCTCAGTGTGCTAAAGTTTGTGCAAATGCTGAAAACGGTTCATAGGGCTGCCATAGACTCCCAGAGCGGGAAAAAAAAGAAGCCGGAAGAATAATAAGAACCGGAACGGATACAATAGGTGCCTACGCACCTTCGGTGTTTGGCCCCTAAATATGACTTATTATCTAAATTTAAATAGATTTAAGTGATTTAGCATACTCTAGTTCAGGGATCACCTAACTTGTTCCAGGAGGGTCAGTGTCCTGCAGATTTTAGCTCCAACCCTAATCAAACACACCTGAACAAGCTAATCAAGGTATTACTCGGTATACTTGAAACACCCAGGCAGGTGTGTTGAAGCAAGTTGAAGCTAAACCCTGCAGGGACAACGGCCCTCCAGGAACAAGATTGGTGACCCATGCTCAAGTTAAACAAAAAATATAATAATAATAATTAAGTTATTAAAATTCCTAAAATGCTTTTTGAAATATTTTTCAAAAAGTTTTAAAAATTAATTAAAAAATATTTATAGGCATTCTTTATTCATTTATGATAGATTGTCATTGGTCATAAAATGACGGCCCCTGATATGTAATATTTCATCTAGAAATATTGACTCTTGTTTGCAAACTTTAACATTTTATTAATTATCTGCACAATTTGAGAAAATAAGAACTTACTCTAACCAACCCGAATCAGCCATGAAAAATGCCATTATATTTGATATTCGTTAATCTGATTAATCTCACATATGGTGGTCGAATAATGGTTATAGCCCTGGTACTTTGTTTACATAAATTAACCCTTTATTGGGTGGGGAACCACATGTTCTAACTTCACTGAATCTGATTACAATTACATTTTTATTATTTGTATTTGTTTTTTTAAGTCAAAACTTCAATGGTCGCATAATAACCCCCACTGGCACTCAAGTGTTTTTCCAATAAGCATTTCAGTGCCCTATAAAGTATTAAAAACAGTTTTACTGAAAGGTTTCGATAATTTCACAATAATAATAAAAAAAAAAGTTCAAATGCCACTGAGGATGACCCATGCATATTTGTGTCTTTGAATCTGTCGGAAGTGAACAGAAACCGAAAACTGAAATGGGCCCTTACCCCTGTGACATCCATGACCTTGATAGCAGCGAGCTGACCCGTCTTGACATGACGTCCCTAAGGAAGAAAAAAAGACAGAAGAGAGGAAATATCACTCACCAGCAGCACACAAACATCAGGGTAATATTATTAAAAAGGTGGCAAAGAGCTCTATCTATGACAGAAGAAAAGGTGGACGTAAGCCTCTCTGGCAGGCGGCATCATTACACAACACCCTTCCTAGAACGATTGAAACGGACCCAAAAACCTGTGTGAATGATCTTGGCCTGTACCATTGTGTGCGTGTGTGTGTGTGTGTTACAATGCCACCAGATGACAACTCTGTTTGGATTGGAAGAACCTCCAAAAGCATTACGCAAGTTGGATCGTATCGCTGTTATGGAGGAACCGGAGGAATGTGGAAATGGAAATCACTGTCCCAGGTTTCCCCCAATTCCCTCCTGTTTACCTGTTAAGATCTGCACTTCCCCTGATCTGCATTTCATAACGAGGGAAACAGACGCAGCGGACACCGATCATCTGCGCACACAGCGGGTCTCCTGGTTCAGGACAATAGCAGGAGACAACCCAACAGATCTGAGCAGAAGTGGCTTCATCTGAACGGCTGAATCACCCAGTGTGTGCTTTTCAGGATGAATTATGCACACTTCATCTCCTCACCAAACACACTCCCACTGCTTTGATTCGGAGCAGAGGAGATGTTTCGGCGAGAGGAGGAGGGAAAGATTGAAAAAAGGTGGGAAAGAAAGAATGACATGAGGAGTGAGAGTGTTGCACAAGTCCCTTCAGTGCTCGTTAACAACTTCAACTGCTACTGGAAAGTATTAAAGAGCTAAGAAACCTGGAGACATCCACATGGCTACATAAAATCACTATAGTCATTGAGAAAATCACTGTGTGGGAAAGTTTCGCGCATTGCCTGTATTGGGTTTGACCCACTTTTACTTTCATAATTACCTTAATTTATTGTGGCACTGATTCAACAAGGTGCTGGAGATATTGAGCAGAAATTTTGGACAATATTGATATGATATTGATGTGTTGCTGTACACAGGGTTCATACACACTTTTAAGGGTTCATACATATTCATCATATGATTTTTCCAGGACTTTCAAATCATTTTTCATGACCTAATGTTTCATGTAATGTATTCGTATATGTGGTAAATCATAAAAAACAAAATTTATTACACCATATCAAAGCACACGACAATCTCTTTAGTTTTAATTTATTTTTATACCCATGTAAAATAGATGATGCTTACACAGCACTAATTATGTGAGGCCATGTTTTTGGCCAAGAAATGAAGTAAAAACAACTAACCTCCATTCCAGTATACAGATATTTGTCAAACAAATTTTAGATGATTTTAATAGTTTGTTAAACTATGAATAGTAGGCCAACTACTTCTATTGTAAAGCCACAATCACACTACACTTTTCGCTCCATAGACTTCCATTCATAGCTAGACCAGAAACACAAGAATTTGCGACAAGTTTCACATTTAACTGCATTCAAAAGTTCAAGCTTGGTGAATTCTTACCTGCAAAATCGCATCACGTGATTGCGTTAAACCAATATAAGATCATTTAAAATAAGAAATTTTAAATATGAAGCAATAGCTCACTTATGCAAGCACAAGCTCTAGTGTGACCGCAGCTTATGTCTCTTTGGACAAAAACGTCTGCTAAATGACTAATTTAAATGTAATTTCCACGACTTTTCCAAAACCTTGTGGGTTTTTCTGTTTTTTCAAAATGACATGAGTTTTCCAGGTTTCCCATGACTGTATGTACCCTGTGTGCTCTGTATCAATAGGATATTGGAAAATTGGCAATTACATGTTTTAGTAATGACATTTATCTACATAAAAAAATATAAGTTTGAGCTCAAGCTTGACCTTTGACCCATATTTTAAAGTAACTGTCATCTGCCTTTGTATTGTATGCAAAAAGTGAGCAGTCAAGCCAAGACAAAAAGCAGTAACTTCCACATGATCAATATTGCTGCTCAACATTTACAACAAACAGCAACAACTCTAGTGTCTAGTAATCTTGCTATTTATTTTGGATGATTGGCAGTTACTTACAGCCAGTTACTTATTTCTATCCAGTGCTTTGGATGCATCTGCAAATTACTTCAAAATATATAAGATAATATATATTAGTTTCTGTAATTTGAAAGTAATTGTTTACAGTATTCCAATATTTCTGTCTCTGTGTTGTTACAATACTTTCACATTCATTTAGAGTTGATTTTCTAAATTACAGGTATGACGTAGTTATGTAGAGTGCAGTTCCTAAACCTTTTTAGAGTGGCATGCTCCTAACATCCTTCTGCATTCTCTTTTCCACTTAGTGCCGTTAAGGCACTATATTTGCAATTTAAATAAAATTTCAATTGAATTCTTTACCCTTCATGAATTCTTTTTCAAATTAATAATGTTTCAAATAACAATATTTAAATAAAAATCTAAAACTGCCAATAGGTGGTCGTAACTGTCTTAAGACTTTTTAGTAACAAAGCAATGGTTGTATTTATGAATAGGTCACTGATTCAACTCTCACAATTTATTTAAAAATATAATTCATCACAAAAAACCAAAGTTAACCTTAAGAACGACGGGACAGATGTAAATGCCAGCAGGATGAAATAATGATCAATATTCTTGTGGATTGAACATCTCTGTTGTCATTAACTGCAGTGGATTTTATTGGGTTACAAAAAAGATGGTTTTAACTGCGAACACACACACACACACACACACACATCACAAGTGGTTCAGACGCAGTGAAGTACAACATGAATTTATGACCTGGCAAATTCCGAAGCAAAATCGCAACATTGCTTTCAGAGCCCCCTCTCACAACAGCCATTGATACAAGCCATTGTTTGTTACACAAAACATACAGGTTCTTATTCAGCAGTGGGAAACCAGTAAGCCTGGTCACCCTGTGTGTGGGAATTATAAAGGCCTATCCTTTGTGAACCATCATCTCTGACTACTCTGTCATGCATGACACGTCATACGAAGCTCGCTGGTCGGTGAGTTGGTCCTCCTGATTTGTCAACTTCAGATAAATCAACAAATCATCTTGTTCAACTGCAAACACATCACAAATTGAAGCCTACTGCTCCCAAACATAATAAAAAAAACTTGAGCCACACTTCTCAAAATTCCTCAGAGTAAGAGCCACAACCATAGGAACGTCACTGATTTCCACTTGACCTCCCAATGGGTTAAAAAAAAAAAAAAAAAAAAAAAAGTCATGTATAAGCTCAAACTGCAAAACTTGCACCATGTACGTCTACGTAAGTGTAAAGGGCTACTGACGCTTACTGAATTTTTCAGACATATAACTGTAAATATAGAGATGTTTGTTGGTGAAAATGGTGAAAGAGCAGATCAGCAATTTCTGAAATACTCAGACGAGCTCATTTGCCACCAACTACCATGCCACATTTTTTCCCCATTCTGATGCTCAGTTTGAACGTCAGTAAATCTTCCTAACCACATCTACATGCTTACATACACTTAACCACCCCCATGTGATTGGGTGATTGGATGGTTCCATTAAAAAATGTGTATCTAATGGTACATTCGCTGCATGCTTTAGCACAGTTTGGTTCATTTTTAAGGGGCTTTTGCACTGTGTGCCACAACTCGTACATGATACATTTAATAGTACCACCTCGGTTGAGGTGAACGGTTATCAAAACGTGACCTATACACACTGCTGATCTCCGATTGGTCAGACAAAATCATCACGACCAGTATTGTTGTATTTGTAACACGAAACACGAAACTTGCTATATTTAAATCAGGGGTCACCAATCTCGAACCTGGAGGGCCAGAGCTTAGCTCCAACTTACCTCAACACACCTGCCCGGACATTTCTGGTAAACCTAGTAAGACATTGATTAGCTGCTTCAGGTGTGTTTGATTAGGGCTGGAGCTAAACTCTGCAGGATTTTATTCCACCACAAGTAAAGGACACACAAAAATGGCAGCATCAAGGTCAGCAAAAGAGGTTCAGATGTTCGTCTCTTTCGTAGCTGTAGAGGTGTGGATGGTACAACCCGGAACCAAAACGTTTTTCAGGAAGATATATAAAGTATTTTAGAGGCACACAAATATAGTGATAATCCCAAACTCTAAAGGTGCTTTCACACAAGCACTTTTGGTCTGCACCTGGATCATCTGACATCACAGTTCGGTAGGTTTAGCTAGTGTGAACACCGTCTTCTGAAGTTGGATGCGCACCCGCAAACCATACTGGAGTTCACCTGAAAGCAGAACGACCAGAATTTGCATACACCATTACATCTTGGCGCATTTGCTTTCATGGCAGTAACCTGCCAACATCTCTACACACAACAGCAGCTTAATGATGCAAGTGTACCAGGGTTCAGAAGGGAAAAAAAGGACGGTGTGAAAATGAAATAGCCCAGAAGGTGGCAAGGGGGGGGACAACTGAACTTGGGTTCAGACCAGGCAGTTGAACCAAATGTGACAGCACCCTTAAAAGCATTACTATACTGGACTATGAGCCAAGCAAAACTGAATTAAAGTAAGCCAAGCTATGCCAGACCGTACAAGTGAGAAACTGTATTGGTGGCTCTTAAGTGTTCGGATGTTACTAGGGTGTTACTAAAGTATTATTAGTAAGCTATTCTAAGTAATTTTAGCACACTACTATGCTTCTGCTAGGTTGCTTTGAATGACTGCTATTCATCACTGCTTTTAAACTGAAAACCTAAATTTAAAACAAAAACAGTGGCTCATTTGAATACATCTACACACAAGCCAATCATAACAGCACAACTGCCAACTCGTAACAAATGATTTTTTGTGTATTAGAGAATCAGATGCGTGTACACATAGAAAGGGATGCATGTGTGATGGACTTGCGCCCTGAGGCTCCACGTCTTTCCTGATGAGAAGATTTGGGGCTGACTGCTAACTGGAAAAACCATCTGGCTTCCTGACAGAGATTAACTGAAAACTTCTGAAGCACTGGCGTATAAGATAAGACTGTCCCCAACTGCTATAAGC